TTCCGAGATCATGTCTATTAAGTCACTTGACATTCCGAAAACCTACATCTCGGTCGAAGAACTCTCCAACTACGGTAGGCGCCTTTCTAGTAGAGGTCGAATGCTACGGCTGCTAATTTTATTGCAGAATCTGGATTCTTGGTCTTCAAGTTCCACGAAGTTCAACTCTCTCGCACCAATGTACAGGTTGAAGTTGTTATGGACGACCACATGTTCCCTGCCTACGTCTCTCCCAAGCTTCGTTCGAAGACCGCCCAGATAGAAGACAGTATGTGACCTTTTGTGGAATCGGTGGACCGAGGAAAGCTAACAACCTGCAGTTGGTGATGCCTTCGTTCGCGAGCTGGAGTTCTCGAAGATCACTCTCCGGATCGTCGATAAGAACAGCCCCAAGGATAACAGCGACGAACATACTATTGCGAAACTGACGGGTGACACGCTGTCGACCCTCCAGCGCATCCTATACACCCCCGCCGAACTTACTCTCCGATCTAGCGATGGAGAAGTGAGCAAGGTCACCGTCAGTGCCCGATACATCCCGGTCACCATGAAGCTCGACCCGACCGAGAGTATCAACAACATGGGTACTTTGCGGGTGGATGTTCTGGACGCTGCCGAGCTCCCGTCCGCCGACCGCAATGGCTTCAGTGACCCGTACTGCAAGTTCCGTCTCAATGACAAGGAGGTCTTCAAGACCAAGGTGCAGAAGAAGACTCTGCACCCAGCGTGGAACGAATTTTTCGAGGCCCCTATCACGTCCAAGATCGGGGCCGACTTCCGGGTCGACGTCTACGACTGGGATTTCGGCGACAAAGCGGACTACCTGGGCGGAACGCCCATCGACCTTGGCGTCTTGACGCCGTTCCAGAGCAAGGAGGTGTCGTTGGTTCTGGATGGCAAGTCTGGTGCCATCCGGTTGAAGATGCTGTTCAAGCCGTCCTACGTCATCCGGTCCCGGCAAGGATCCTCTACGTTCTCCGGTACCTTTGCCACGCCCGGCAAGATCGTGGGAGCGCCCGTAAAGGGAGTGGGATTTGTTGGCGGCAATGTCATCAAGGGTGCTTCATTCTTGAAGCACGGCATCATGTCGCGATTCCGCGGAGATGATTCTTCCAGCATTCACGAAGGCGAGGAGCCGGAGGAAACCAACAGCAGCCCGCCGGCGGCGGCGGCAGCAGCAGACGGGGGACTTGCACGCGCGCCCTCTCTGGCGGTGGACGGCGGCACTCCTCCGAGCGCTAGCCCGGCCAGTAACAATAAATTGGAACACGCACGGTCGCGCAGTGTGGTGTCGCACTACGGCGATCGACTGAGCATCGGAGGCGGGGCCGGCAAGGGCGAGACGGGCACGGCCACGATCACCGTGGTTTCCGCCAGTGACTTCCCCCCGTCGGCCAACGTGCGGGTGTTCGTGAAGGCCATCGGGCCCAAGGGGGCGAAGGAGGTTCTCAAGAGCAAAGCGCACAAGGCCAGCGGCACCAGCCCCGTGGTGTTTGACTCGTCGCACGAGACGTGTCGGGTGCACAACACGACGGCGGATGCGCAGTATCAAATCCGGGTGGTGGACCATTCGACGTTTGGCTCGGACAGCACCCTGGGCGAGACGCTGTTCTTCGTGGACGACCAGGGCTCCGTGGCCGGACAGGACAAAGCGGTCAAGGTTGGCAGCGGGACGGTGGTGATTCGGTCCAGTTTCTCGGGTACCGAATCGACGCTGCGGCCGTCGACATCGCATTCGAACAATGGCGATGCGGCGTCCGAACTGATGGACAGTCCGGACTCGAAGAAGACGGGTCGCCGCAGTTTCCTTGGCAAGAGGAACGTGAGCGGTGCTTAGATTTCCCTCCTTTTCTTTCTTTGTAACCAACTACATCATTGCTTTTTCTTCCTCTTATTGTCTGATGTCCTTGATGACGAATTTCTATTTCCTGTCTGTTTACCTGGCTTGTTCTGCTTTTTGCTGTTGTGATTCTTTCCTTGATCCTCACGATTTTCTTTGGGCATCAATATGACGTGATATCCTTGCTTTAGCGTAGTAGCGGTCGATTGGATATTGGATATGGATACTTCTGCCAGATCCGATCTGGGCGACCAAAATGAACTGAACTGAAATGAATGATTTCCGGTTTTAAATTTTCTGGTCACTGCATGAATGGTGGAACTACGGAGTACGGAGTAGAGCTAGGGTACCCTTGGTTTCTTGGTGTTTGGTAGAATGTGAGTAACCGAACCGGTGACACGAACATTGACAGTTTGACGCAGACACCGAGTTTGGTCTGTGGAAGGTACGTGGGTACGTACTCTCTAGAACGAGGATAGTTATGTGTACGGAGTACTTGTGTGCAGTGTACACCGCCTATCTAGATGTTAGATGTTAGATGTCAGACTGAGACGTCAATAATAGGATAGGGTAGGATTCGATAGATAGGAAGGAATATGTGATCGGTCTTATCTTGATGTGCGGTCTAGGAGTTTCGTGGGGTGTTGCGGTGTGGTGATTTGCGTTGGAAGTGAACGCACTAACTTGCTAACTGACTAGGTGAATTTACGGAATGATTAGGTGTTGTTTGAGATGAACTGAACTATTGGATACTGAATTTATTTGGTTACCTTGTTGACTAAGTAGTTATTGTATGTAGTTGTTGTCTCGGGGGTCGGGAGTTAACTATGTATGGTAGGACCGTAGGAGTTGGGAGAAAGGAGCGAGCGTCCTACAGTACCTACACTGCACGGAATGTTAACTACATTAGTTGCATGGGTAGGTAGGGAATGCATGTCTACCCTGTTCTGCCCTACAGGTCCACTTTGGTTGGCTTTGTTCCGGAATAGTTAGGAGATTGAGGTTAGTTTCGAGTTGAGTAGTAGTAATAGTTAGTTTACTTAACTAGCTAACTAACTGGAGAACAACCTACCTAAGAAAGAGATATGGAATATATATGTCGAGAACTATAGTATAGACGAAGAGTCTGAGGGTTAACTATAGTATAGACGTAGAGAGCAGAGACTAGGAAGATGAGCATCTGGATCAGATCGGGGTTCATTTCCTCTAGTGACAGCTGTCAGTTAGTGTTGGTTGACCAAGTCATTAACTAGCTATGGTCTGCAGGGTTTATATACTTCCTACAGAATCCAGATCCAGAGCGCTTCTAGGCTAGAATCTTTAGCTCCCTAAGGTACCCGACCTAACTAACTAGTTAGTAGTAACTAGTAACTAGGAGGTAGCCGTAGCTGACCGACTCCAGTTCAACCCACCGTAGAAGAAAAGGAGAAGGAAGTAGAAACACTAGTCTGTCTGTCCATGCCATCTAGAATTCTAGAATATAGATAAATATAACTTAACTGTTATATATACCAATAGAAGGGGCCAGCCCCGGCAAAGGGGCCGGGAACTCATTCTTGATTTAATTTTAGAAATCCATCTCATACCTAACTTTGCACCACTGCGAGAATTATATTATTACTACATAGATGAGCAGGGAGCAGACCTCACGGTCGGACGTCCAATGCCTTGGACTGACCTGCATGAAAGATGAGGGGAAAGGGAAGGGGAAGACAGCTGTTGCGGTGTTATTTGTTGGTGCTATTTGCCCCTCCCCCTCCCCCTTCTTTCCTTCCGCCACTTTATGTATACTTCGAATTTCCCTGTAGTTACACTCAGGACTCTACTCCGTAAGTATCTCGTGGGGATATACTCCTTGGTAGTAGGAGTAGGTACTAGACAAGGTAGTATTTATAATTAATATTAATGCTATTATGGATCCCCGGAGGACAGGGGACCTAGCCGGTTGGAGCTAGGAGCTAGCTTGGTTAGCAGTTAACTAAACTGCAACTCCGTAATTAGAGCTGGTAGAACTAGAAGCTCTGGTCTTCAGGAGAATGTTGACTGCAGGCGAGGCATTTATTTCGAGCAGGCAGTTAGTGGGTAGGTATGGAAGCCCAAAGCCAAAACATGTCGGAGGCATTGGCATCTGTGTGTACCATAACTACTCCTGTAAAGAGGAATGCAGCATGGCAAAACGTCGGTCTTTGAGTCGTCAAATAAAATGAAAGGTGACGAGGACAGTGGGCCCGTTGGAGATTAGGATTCCCTTCCAGGTAGAGGAAGCCTGAAAAGGGGCATCGTCGGTCTAGATTAACCGCCGTTTTCAACGCGGCTGTCAGATGATGCCGTGCGTTTTTCTCTCTGAGTGCTCCTTGGAGTCTCTGCAAAGGAGTTGATAGTACCGAGGACTACTTCGTACACCGTAGATAGTAGATACTACTGTGTAGATACCTGGTCCTGGAGAGGTCACGGGTTACCCGCCCGACCGGCGATACTAAGAATAAATCATTTTTATTCGAAAGGAAAGGAGACTCTCCCCACTTTCCCCTCCCTCGTCCTGCTCTCTGCACCTTCAGCCTTCATCGTCATCAGAAATAAAATCGTATTTAATATTAATTCAATTCATCGATCATCCTAATATTAAAGAAACCCTCTGCCCCCTCTCTGCTCTCTGTCCTTCCGGAACTTCTTTCACTCTTTCTTTGACCTCATCCCTCATCCCTCATCCCTCAGCTTCAACCCACCTAACACCTCAGGTACGTACTTCCTTCTCCCCACTTCTCCTGCCTGCTTGTCGCACCAATTGCTTGCTCGAACGGTCGCCAATGACGGCAGCTTGTCGACATCCCTCCTTCCGAAGGGATCGACAGCTGCGGCCGTGGCAACTTTGGAACCAGGACCCCTCCTCTGCTGCTGGAGGGGGGCCCGCTTAAAATGAAGTGTCGTGTCCTGTTGGCTTTTTCTTGGTTCCGTCCTGACTTTGACTTGACTTGACTTTGCCTTGTCTTCCTCCACAACCCGTCCTCTTTTATTTGTTTTGACTTCCCGTCTTAAGCTTCGTCGCTGACTTTTGCCTTCCTCGTCTTTCAGCGACCTCCGCCTTGAATTCTTCTTCGGCGGTGTTTACATTCTCGTCTCCATCTACCCCGTCCATACCTTCAGCTCCTCTTCATACACAATGGCTTCCAAAGCTTTGCCTTCTCACCTTCGCGCCCCCGCCAGCGAGTCCAACGCTGGCGGCTTCGGCAAGCACCACGGAAAGTCCCAGTCTCACATGGTAAGTTGCGCAACTTTGCTCGTACTCCGCGCCCGTCGCTGCCCCTGATCTTGGATTCTCCCTGTTTTGGCTTCATTTGGACGCGATTATCGTATGATTCCATGAGAATCCCCTTTGGACAGTCCAGGAGAGCTGCAAAATCCCTCGAGTTGCCGAGTCGTTCGCCCACGCTCTGCAGTGCTCCGGGTTGCAACTACTCATTCACTGTTCTGGAGTTTTCCCGCTATCAAGCGATTCTTATTGCTATCGTTTAATCCCGGCTTCTTCATGCTCTCCCTATCGCATCTGCTTGCTTGCTGGCTTCATAAAAAGACGTGAAGCTCTCCATTGCCATGGTACCATTGGCAGCGAATTGCGATAAGCCCTCATGTGTCGTTTGATGTATTGATTTTGGACCACCGTTTGTTTTCTGTCACCCACGGTTCTAAAGCTTGACATCCGCTTCGCCCTGCCCCTCACCAAAGTTATTCCTTCAGTTTTCAACCTTGAATTAACACCACTCTTCGCTTCCCCCCTTTCGATCTCTCTCCGTACTAATGACTTCCCTCGTTCAGGCATTCGAGAATGCTTCGACCAGCGTCGCTGCCTCCCAGATGCGTAATGCCCTGAACGCCCTCGCCGAGACCGTCCCCGATGCCAACGAGCGCAAGCGTTTCGAGGCCGAGACCGACAACTTCTTTGCTCTCTTCCGCAGATTCCTCAACGACAAGGCCAAGGGCAACGAGGTCAACTGGGACCGCATCGCCCCTCCCCAGCCCTCGCAGGTGGTCAACTATGCCGATCTGGGCAGCGAGGCCTCCGTCGAGTTCCTGAACAAGCTGGCCGTCGTTAAGCTGAACGGTGGTCTGGGTACCTCCATGGGTTGCGTTGGACCCAAGTCCGTCATCGAGGTCCGTGAGGGCATGTCCTTCCTCGATCTTTCCGTGCGCCAGATCGAGCACCTGAACCGTACCTTCAACGTCAACGTGCCCTTCGTCCTCATGAACTCCTTCAACACCGACCAGGACACCCAGTCCATCATCAAGAAGTACCAGGGCCACAACGTCGACATCATCACCTTCAACCAGTCCCGCTACCCTCGTATCATCAAGGATTCCCTCCTTCCCGCCCCCAAGTCGTTCGATGCTCCTCTGCAGGACTGGTACCCTCCCGGCCACGGTGACGTCTTCGAGTCGCTGTACAACTCCGGTACCCTCGACAAGCTCCTGGAGCGCGGCGTCGAGTACATCTTCCTGTCCAACGCCGACAACCTGGGTGCCGTCGTGGATCTCCGCATCCTGCAGCACATGGTGGACACCGAGTCCGAGTACATCATGGAGTTGACCGACAAGACCAAGGCCGACGTCAAGGGTGGTACCATCATCGACTACGAGGGCAAGGCCCGTCTCCTGGAAATCGCCCAGGTGCCCAAGGAGCACGTCAACGAGTTCAAGTCCATCAAGAAGTTCAAGTACTTCAACACCAACAACATCTGGATGAGCCTGCGTGCCATCAAGCGTGTCGTTGAGGAGAACGAGCTGGAGATGGAGATCATCGCCAACGAGAAGTCCATCCCCGCCGACAAGAAGGGTGACGCCGACCAGGCCATCTACCAGCTTGAGACCGCCGTCGGTGCCGCCATCCGCCACTTCAAGAACGGCCACGGTGTCAACGTGCCCCGTCGTCGCTTCTTGCCCGTCAAGACCTGCTCCGATCTCCTCCTGGTCAAGTCCGACCTGTACCGCCTGGAGCACGGCCAGCTGGTCATGGACCCCAACCGTTTCGGCGGTGTCCCCGTCATCAAGCTGGGTTCGGACTTCAAGAAGGTCTCCGACTTCCAGAAGCGCATTGGCAGCATTCCTCGTATCGTCGAACTCGATCACTTGACCATCACTGGTGCCGTGAACCTGGGCCGCAACGTCACGCTAAAGGGAACCGTCATCATCGTGGCGACCGAGGGCAGCACGATCGACGTGCCTCCGGGCTCCGTGCTGGAGAACTGCGTTGTGCAGGGAAGCTTGCGTATTCTGGAGCATTAAATGCTTGGTCATATCCGTTCTGCGCGTTACTTCAATTCTACCGATTCCCCCATTCTTTGTGTGTGTGCTTTTTTTTTTGTTTGCTTTACACAGCTGTAATTGATTCCCTATCTGGAAGGTGTCGCAGAAGGCATTTGCATGGGTTGATAGAAGTTTGTTAAGAGGACAATTGATGAGGTCGAAGACGGCGACCGAATTTTGGTTCCGATTCAAGTGATGGAATCTGGCAATCGAGCTGTCCAGTGTTAGGAAGATGTTCACCGTGGGAATAAGGAAATTAGTTTAATTCAACGTCCTGTCTTTACATTTGTCCTGGTCATTGATAATCCTTCACCGACGGAGTAATCATAATTGTCTTCACAGCAATGAGCATAATTTCTTTGAAGCTTAGCTTGAAGCTTAGAATCAACTGCGGCGTTCAGGACAACTGCCATCAGCTACGTGATATCTCAGATAGTCTTTATGGAAAGCGCCTTTCCTTCCCAAGCAACTTTGTTCAATTAATTATCGTTGCCCATTCCCATCATCATATTCTTAGCCGTCCAACAGTTATGTTTCATCTGAGAGGTTCGCACTACCTTACAAAGGAAACAATCACAACAAACGATACGAAGCACCTACACACTCTCTCAGTAATTTCGGCCCGACACTACTAGTCGTCACAAGATAGTTGAAATTCCCTGTTACCCTAGCATCAATTAGTAATGTCTTCTCGGAGATTCTAGGATGCCTGACACATGTACAGCAGGAATTCCGAGCCACATCCTCCCCCCAAGAGCAAAATATACTTTCAAGGGCGAAGGGTCTAGAGAGGGCTTTTACAGCCGGATGGACAAGAACATCCGCCATAGCCAAACTTTTGACATTCCAAGTCCGCCACCTGAATTTCCTCCCCGCCTTCGGTCTCCTCTCAATCAGGGAAATGCGTCCTCTGATTCCTCATGCTGTGGATCACGTGGTGTTGGGCGACAGATGTGCTGCCTGTTGGCTCCCCCCATCTATTCATTTTCCTCTCCCACTTTGGTCGCTGTTCTACTTCGGTCCCCTTCAGTTACTGGCAGTGCATTGCGACGCTAACCAGCCTGACAATCGCCGGAGTCATTCCCAGGTTTTATATCTGGTCCTGAAGACGCCACTCGTATTCACCACTCCCCGTGCCTGATGCTTCTACTACGTTCGAGACCACACTCCGAATGTTCTCCAGCGGACATGGTTCCACGGCGCCACTGCCCAGCACACCCCCTGGGACGTCCTCATTGTCGAACGCATCGATCAGGAGGTGAAGGAAAGGGTCACCGATCCACGGTCACATATTTCCATTGCATGGAACTATTGTATTGGTCTGGGTCCCTTTTCTTCATGACCCAGAAACTAACGAAGAGAAAGAACAGGAGCTCTATATAAAGAAAGCTAGATGGTCCTTTGGAGGGAGAAAAAAAAAAGGAAGTTTAGAAAGACAAATCTGGGATCTTTTTACGGCTAGTCTGTTCAAGGATACCTCAGCCACCATACGTGATCGAACATCGTGAGTGATTATATTTCCCAGCACCGCCAGTTGGCGCCGGGTCCGTCCCCCACTTCTGGAATGCCGAACATTCCACTTGGGGGGGATAGCCCTCCTGGTGAAAGCTATCGAAAGTCCAGCGACCCGGGCAAGAAGCGAGTGTCTATGGCATGCTTGGCCTGTAAAAAGTCCAAACGAAAGGTACCTCTTCTTTCTCACGGGCCCTTCTCCACCTGTCTATCAACAGGTGGTAGCCTTCTCTTGTCCTTCCTTGATCCCTTCCTTCCTTCTTTACTTCTTTTCCATTCCTATTCAAGGCAAGCAAACAGACACAAAGTACTTCGGTTGATATATGTACCTTTTTGATGATAGTGCTCCGGCACCGCCCCGTGTGATAACTGTCGGACCTTCAATCGGCAATGTGTCTTCGATGAGACATTGGATCAACGTCGCCGCGTGGCGGCCAAACGCACGGCCGATGAGCTCAGTTATCATCGAGACATGCTCAATGACATGCTCAAAGTGATGAAGGCGGAAAACCAGTCCTATGCCCTCCGGCTGTTGGAGATCGTCCGGAACGATGCCACAGCGGAGGAGATCCGCTCTTTCGTTGACGAGACGCTCGCTCATTTTGTAGATACGGACAGGGATTCTGCTTCGACTTTCCAGAAACTGGAAGAGGTGCGACGGGTCATCGATACCGAAGGCGCTGGACCATCGTTTCGCCCAAAGGTCATGGATATCCATTACCTGTGCGACGAAGTGCCAATTCGGGTCCCTGCGCAGCCGTGGACTACGGTCACCGAGGACTCTGATCTTGTATCGCATCTGGTGTCCCTGTACTTTACGTGGGACTATCCTTTCCATGCCTTCTTGGACCGGGACGTGTTCTTGACCCATATGACCTTGGGTGATACCAGCTCGAAGTTCTGCAGTCCTTTTCTTGTCAATGCTCTTCTCGCCAATGCTTGCGTGAGTCCTACGCATCCGAGATGAGCCCCTCCATATCTGATTAGTTCGTGTTAGTACTTTTCGGATTATTCCGAAGCATATGTCGACCCGGGCGACATTGTGACAAAGGGCGCTGATTTCCTCGCCGAAGCGGAACGTTTGAAGGAGGAGGAACCTGCTAAGCTTAGTCTAGCGTACTTACAGGGGACGCTTCTGCTTTTTGAGAAGTTCGTCTTGCTGACTTCCACCTGTTGACCATCGTGATACTAGATTGACACTCACCAGGTACTCCCTCTCCGGGGATAATGATCTTGGATACAAGATGCTCCACCAAGCGATATGGACCGGCGAATCGCTAGGGCTTATTGGACCCAGGATCTTTCGAATGGAACCTGGACACATGCCGGAAGATATGGACATATCTGTCAAGCGAACAGCCTGGGGTCTGTTCCATATTGATACGTACGATTTCCTTCCTTTCTTTCCTCTTTCTGTCGATGGATCGCAAGCCAAGAGACTCAACTAACATTACGAAAATAGAGTCATCCACACCGATTTCCTGAGGCCAAGCTTAATCGACAAGGTGAACGTAACTCGGCCCAACCAAGTGGAGGATTCGGCCCTGTGGATACCATACCCTTCCCACCGATCTGCACGGCTTGCCTATATCAGTCAATACTTCGACGAGTCGTGTGACCTTTGCGAAATCGCGCGCGACATATCTCGACAACTTTTCACCGTGAACGGGACCTCATCCTCGGCGGAACACCAGCGTCGAATCAAGGAGACCTTGTATGAGAGACTTTGTCGTTGGCATGATTCACTGCCGGCCATCTTCGACCCCGAGTATAGACCTCCGCCGTATATTATTCTGCTCAGGTGAGTCTGATCGTTTCGAGTCCTGCGCAACAATGTAAGGTCGTGGACGGCCACAACAACTAGTCGGGAAAATGGGGGAAAACGCCCGCTTTTTCTAATCTAACTTTTACGCTGTAGAATGCGGTATTACACATTGATCATCACCATGTTTTCCTTCACGCCAAAAGAGGACGTCTCACGGTTCGAGTCAGAGGCGCCCCAAACGCCCGAAAGTCCGCCCGGCCTGAATTTGTTCCCCAAGTATAATGCCAATGATATTGTTCAGTCTGCGGCACGGACTATCTCTGGTCTTGCCCTTTTGCACCGGCGAGAATTCGGGATGACCCGCGCACATCAATTTGCACTGTATGCCATTAATCTCGCTTTGTTTACGATGCTCGTACATGATACCTTCGACATTCTAGATCCGGATTTTCTTTCGCTGGCCAGCTCCTTCCACACCATAGCCAGCCGCTCTCGCCTGGGTAGGAATCTGTTCTACCTTTTCCGAGAGACCACGCGCTCCCGGGACCAGAATAAGCGACTGCAAGATTCCCATGCCGTGACCGCAGAGTTGAAAGCGTTGTTTGAAATGACACCCAACTCTCATTTTACCGCCCTGGATGACTACGCCAGAGGACTGGAAAAATTGGAAGCGGACGAGCGCTACCGTGGAATGCCCGACGACGTGGACCATAGCATCTCTAGCATGCTCGACCGTTATGAAAGTCTAAGTCTAGGAAAAGATGAAATCGCGCCCGAGAGACTGCATCCAGGCGACTAACAGAATATTGCCTCAATTTTGACCAGTTTTGTTCTCTGCTCTTTTCTTCCCTTTCCTGCTCGGCCAGCGATCTTGAAGCCAGCGGTTCTCGCGATCTATTCTTATCCGTTATCTATGTTCTTTGCAACCACGTCCAGGCGCGAAATTGAAACTGAATTGTCTTTTTGCGATATCACATGGAGATTTCAGGGCAAACCCCGTAATTTGACCTGTCTGCGGAAGGTTGAAAACTTGTATGACGACCGTTGATTCAGCGTCATGTTCCACCGATGGTCCGCACCACGCGAGGCTCTCTTTGCATACGTCGGATGACATCACGGGTGGGTTCCACTCACGGGTCAGCTCATCATCCTATCCTTACCTTCCTTTTCTTCTTTCTCTTCTTCTTCACCTCTCCCCTCTTCCTGTCCTGCCTTCCCCCACATCGAATCATTAGCACAGCTCGAATGAGCTGTCGATCATTCTCTCATTGAGTCTCTTAATAAATAAAAACAGGGAAGAGATTTCTGTCTCTTTCTGTCAACACACTATGCCATGGAAGGCTCGACTGGGTACTATCCATACGATGGCAGCTTAAATACCGACGGCGGCACTCCTCATTTAGATCCCAACGAAATTTCAAGACTGCCCCCGGGCTACGACTGGACTTGGGGACACGGAACACCCGCATACCTACACTCGATGGGCCTTAATCCCTACGCCCCTCCCCCTCCTCCTCAGTACCATGACCGACCGCCCCTCCCACCCAACACGTCATCAACATCGTCCTCCTCGCGAGATGTGCCCGGATCGACACCTAAGGTGGCCATTCCACGGTCGCAAAGCTCAAGCAGTCAATCTGAACGACGCCGGTCGGCGAGAGCCTGTGAACCCTGCCGACAGCGGAAGATCAAGTGCGATGGGAACAAACCGGCCTGCAGACAGTGTGTGGAGCATGGCGTGAAGTGCACCTATATGGATGTCAAGCGGGTGCGGGACCAGAAACAACTTGGGGCATTGGCGAAGAAAGTCGATCGCTATGAGAAGCTGTTGGAAGACATCGAGATGGAGGTCGAGCCTCAGACGTCCAGGCGAATTAGGAAGGCGATAAAGGTGTGCCTCGCGACGTTCATACACTTTGGCGGTTTCTGTTGGTCTAACCATACATACAGACATCGAATCAACCTTACACCGGCGACGAAGCTTCTGACTCGGACGACGATTCTGAATCCATCGGATCCCTAGACAACATTGACTTGGTTGAGGAAGACCTCAATCGGAATGAGAAGACGGTGGCGATGGGGTTCTTTGGGAAGAACTCCGAGGTCTCGTGGATGCAACGCGTTGAAGACGAGGCCATGAGCCTCAGTCGCCAGTCCTCGGAATCTATCGACGCAAAAGACAACCCAGCTTCTTCCAGCCAGAGCTCCACCCACCGACCGGACTATTCGATCTCAACGCTCAATTACCACCTCGATGATCTCAGCATCCCGTTCCTGGAATCGGTGGACCCCTACGCACTGCCGCCTAAGGAGCTGGCCGACCGGTTCTACGCGGCCTACTTGGAATCCGTCAATCCTATTTACATGGTAATTCGACCGAAGACGTTCACCGAACAATATCAGAAATTCTTCCGGGGACCGTCGCGTCCGCCACGCACGTGGCTCGCCATCCTGAATCTGATCTTCGCCATTGGATGCCGTTATCTGCGACTGGTCAACAACGCAGATGACGGGGACCTGGATGATCTGGTGTATCTGAACCGGGCTCGCAAACTGGCGTTGAGCGGGAACGTGCTGTTTGAGCATGCCGATCTCCAGCAGATCCAGGTGGAATCTCTGGCCGCTTTCTACCTCCTGTCGCTGGACCAGGTGAATCGGGCTTTCAAGATGTCCAGCTTGGCGTTCCGATCCGCCCTGTCGCTCGGGATCAACCTTCGCTTTGTGGATGACCGGACGCAGAATGCCTCGAAGGAAGCCCGCAGCCGCCTCTGGTGGGCCATCTACATCTTCGAGCACCTGCTCACCTCGATCACTGGTCGGGTGTCCTGCGTCGGAGAGGGTGTCACTGCGACTCCGCTGCCCGTTCCATTCGATGAAGACAATTTCAGCCGACCGGAGGCGCTTTGCCTGCTTCAGGACACGCCGCTGCGGGCGAGCCGTCTCAAGATGACGCTCTTCCAGACCCCCGAGGAAGGCAGAACCACTGCCGAGTGGCTGGCCACCTGCCCTCCGAGCCCGTCACTGCTCTTCTATTGCATCTCTGACCTGTCCAGCATCATGCAGGCCGTTATCAACAAGGTCTACAGCCTCCAGGGATTGCGGGACCGAGCCAGTCAGGTCGAACAGCGCATCCGAAAGTCCGCCGCCACCTTGGAAACCTGGCTGTCCAAGGTGCCCAAAGTCTACCGATTTACCGAGTCGCATAGCGATCGGCTTCACATTCCCGAGCACGGTCCGTTCCTGCGAGAACGTGTTTACCTCGCGTTTTCGTTCTACAGCGCTAAAATCGGCCTTTGCCGACCCTGTCTCTCGCATTCCAACATGAAGCCCGACGTCGCCGAAGAGCCGACCCGTCGCGCGCGTCTGCGTACCGACATGGCTCTTACCTGCCTGCGATCCTCCTGCTCGCTAATCTCCATCTTTCCCGATGAACCGGATATCTTCTGGCTCGCCCGGATCGCGCCCTGGTGGAGTGCCCTTCATTTCATCATGCAGGCGACGACCGCACTTCTGCTGGGGCTGACGTGCTGGCCGAAAGTTGAAATGGAAGATCGGATGCTCACCGAGTGGCAAACGATCGACAAGACGATGATGCTCGCGTCCACCCGAAAGGCCTTCCAATGGTTGTACGCGATGAGCGAGAAGAACACCGCCTTTCGACGTGCTTTTATTACCTGCGATAGTTCCCTCCGTCGAATCGCCCCGAGTCTGGGCCTCGACATTAGTGATTTTCCCGATGGCAGTTCGCTTTCCCCGACGGATGGCAACATCCTTGGTGGGGAGAATATCGGACTTGATTTTTTGGATCTTTAATTTTGGAGGGTCTTTTTCCTTAGCGCGGAATACTGGTGTTCAGGTAGGCAAGGTATTTGAATTAATCAGAATGGTGTTTGAAAAGGTCAGCGTCAGCGTTGGAGTCAGATTTTGGAGCGAGTTACCCTTATCATCTTTGTTGAAAAACACCTTTGCCTTTGGTCTTTCTGCTGTCTTCTACCTTATCTATCCTCTACTATCTTATCATTCTCGACATGACCTATGTTATGAACTCTTGTCAAACCTGAACAATGTGTCTCCATCTATCTACCCTCAATCTCCTACCTGCTTATCATTCAGGGCATGGTTTCTTGTCTTTTGGGGATAGAATCGTGACTGTGATGAATTGTGGTCGTCAGTTATATACCTTATTTACCTTGTATATATTATCAAATTGAGAAGGGTTTCTAAACCTGATATAACTTGAGTTTTCTGTGGTTGATATCTGTTTGTGCGTGGGTGTTTGTCTATCTGTATGCAAATAGTCTCAATGTGAGAGACATGAAGCATGATCGGGAGAGAACTTTACTTATCCTTTCTTTCCTGCTCATTTGTCACGGGTTAATTCTTTGGGATATTGGGTCTGGTGATATGACAGCACCGCATACCCAAAGCAGGCAGAGAAAGGACAAAAAAAAGGAAGTTAATCTAGATGTTTATGTATATGTATTTAGTCAATGGTGATGGTGCGGATTGGATATAGCCGTACGTTCATGGGAATAAACATATGCTGCACAAGGGACGTGTGGGAAGTTGATCCGGATCAATCATGTAGGTTCTGTTCTGTTCTGATCTAGGTGAATAAATATCTGTTGCCTCAAAAGGACGCGAGGGGCTACTTGTGAGGGATCTTATCTTGGGGATTTGTTTGGATTTGTTCATAGGGTAACTAGAGGGTAGAGGGTTATTAACAGTGCTGGTCTTCCTCTTATTCTAGGGCTGAGTTGGTCTTCAGTATTGTTTATTTTGTTCATTGTATTGTACAAATTCATATCACTAGATCTAAAGGTACATGGCCAACTAGGCTTCCCAAAGAGGTAAGTCAAGTAAAGTACCTTTGTAGCTAGATTTATAGATACAAGTTCATTTGACACATATATATAGGACTGATTGATGGTATAAAGACAGTAAGTATACAGATACGGTAGGTACTCACTCTGTAGGTGAACAATTCAATGGATGCATGAATGAATAGTTACTAACTATTAAGCTAGCGCACACACACACACACACACACACACACACACACACACACACACACACACACACACACACACAAACCCAGAATAGAACAGGCTGAACAGTACACACATGATAAACTATGGATATGAATGAATCTGGAAATGAAGCTGGCAAAAATAAGATAGAATATGATATGATATGGCATGGTATGTTAAGAAAAGAGTAAACCCCCAATGTTGCCAGCTAGCTAAGTGCCTTGAATAAGTGACTAAGTAAATATAAAGTTTCGTATCATTCAGTGTCGAGTGGAATCAAACAATCAATCAAATCGAACAATCAAACAAGCCAAATAAACAGAACAGAACAGAACAGATAAGACAGACGCGGAAAACAAACAGCTAGACAGGACAGGACCGATAAATACCAATAACTACCACAATACCACAACAGATGACAACAGGTCGTAACATGTACCTTCAGTGAAACTAGATCAACAATTAAGGAATGAGTCCCATGGATCTTGCACGGAACAGATTAGGTCATTTGCAATGAAAAACATCAATGATATAGAAAGAAAAGCCGGGATGATGGGATATGAAAATGGGATGGATGGGAATAACACTTGACAAGACAATGAAAGCACAATGAAAGTAATGATGTCAATCACAAGACAATAAAGATGGCAATCGCGATGACGATGACATGACTAAAAAATCAAGGATAGCAATGCAAACTACATATGCTGAGGCATGATATACGCCCGCTTCCTCGGGTCATCATCAACTGTTGACGGACCCCGTTTCTGCCCCGGGTTCAGACCCAACGTATCCGCCACGTGCGGATGGGGTAGCGCATGCGCCTGAGCATGATGGTGAGTCGGTTGTTGAGCGTGACGAGGCGGCTGCGGATGGACCTGCATCTGTGGCTGGGATTGCGGCGGCATGGGAATTTGATGCGGTTGTGGCTGTTGGAGATGGGCGTGGCCATGGGCGGCGTGCGCGGCGTGGGCGTGCTGCATGTGCATCTGGGGCTGCGCTTGAGACACGCGAGCCGCCGCTTGCATCTGAGCCTGAGGCATCTGATGCTGGAGATGGGCTTGGACTTGACTCGGCTGCATTTGGTTGTGCGCGTGAGCCAACTGGTTGTGGTGGTGCACTTGTCCGTGAGAGACCGCATTGGGCGTGCGTGCCTGAGGCTGCTGCGTCGCCTGTGGTTGAGCCTGAGGCTGCTGTACCGGAGTCAGTGCCTGAGGCTGAGCCTGGGGCGTCAACTGCTGAGGCTGCTGGGGCTGTTGCGACTGCTGTTGCTGTTGAGGCTGCTGAGGTTGTTGCTGCTGCTGCTGTTGTTGTTGTTGCTGCTGCTGTGGCTGCTGTGGCGGCTTCTTCTTCTTCTGGGTCGGCGTCCTTTCAGGCAGCTGCAGGGGTGGTGGAGGTGGCAGGCCCTGAGCTTTGGCCTGCGCTTCGGCCTCAGCGTGGGCGGCGCGAGCAGCGATATCCGCCTTGCGAGGACGACCACGCGGCCGCCCCGTGCCGGACGGCTTGGAGGATGGCGGCTTACGCGGAGCCTTGGGCTTGGGAGGCGCGTTGGGATCCGTCTCGGACTTGCGAGGCCGTCCGCGACCTCGTTTCATCGGCACCACGGTGCCGTCGGGGAGGGTGATCATGGGCGGCGGGTTCTTGGTCTTGGGCTTAGGAGGGGCGGTAGGCGGTGGTTGAGAACCTCCAGGGACTGCACCAGAGGCATCTGGAGCACCAGGGACACCGGGAATACCGGGGACGCCAGGGACACCAGGAGCCCCAGGGGGAACGGTCCCCGGCACGCCGGGAACAGCAGCCCCGGGAAGACCTGGCACAGCGGTATTGTTCGCATTCGCCGCGGCGGATTGCTTTGGCTTCCGGGGTTTGGGCGGCTTGGCACCTTCTTCCCCAGATTTGCGTGGCCGCCCACGCTTCTTGTTGGGTGTCCCAGCGGCGGAAGCATTTTCGCCGGGTGGCACAGCAGGCTGCTCACCCGGTTGACCTTCGGAGATGTAGATAGGTTGATGTTGCTGCCCGGGCCCCTGTGCCTGCTGCTGGTGCTGCGGGTGCGGGTGCTGGTGCGGCTGAGGGTGCGGTTGGATTTGACCATTGATTTGGAGAGGGTTTGCGGCGGGCGACGCGGTGGGTTTGGCGGGCTGTTTCCGCTTCTTGGCCTGAGGAGCTGCCGGAGCAGCAGCGGCAGCGGCGTTGGAATTCGACGTGCCAGCGGGAGTCTCGTTATTCTCGACCGATACAAGGTCAATGGTTCCACCGACTGTCGACGGCGTGGACGACTGCGGTCGATGGGCCTGTTGTGGGTGTTGCTGAGCCGACTGTTGCGGCAGTATCGAGTGCGGTTGTTGATGGGACTGTGAGTGGAATTGCGCCTGCGGTTGCTGATATTGGCGAGCTTGAAACGTGTGCTGCTGGAATTGATGCTGTTGATGCTGATGCGACTGCTGTTGGGCCTGCTGAGGCTGCGATTGGTATGGAGATCGCTGCGCTTGCTGCTGCTGATAGCGAGCATGCGCCTGTTGCTGGAACGAAGGATGCTGGGCTTGGGATTGTTGAGTTTGCTGAGCCTGAGCCTGCTGTTGTTGGTGTGCTTGTTGGGCCTGTTGCTGCTGAGCTTGTTGCTGCTGGGCCTGTTGCTGTTGCTGGGCCTGTGTCTGTGCCTGCTGTTGCTGAGCCTGTTGTTGGGCTTGTTGCTGGGCCTGTTGCTGTTGCTGAGCCTGCTGCTGCTGATAAGTCTGCTGCACTTGCTGATACGGAGACTGCTGCGCCTGCTGATACGGAGACGCATGGGCCTGTGCTTGTTGATACGGAGATTGCTGCGCCTGCTGGTACTGCGCCTGTTGGTAATGATGAGGTTGCGCCTGATACTGAGCCTGCTGTTGATGGTACTGCTGCTGCTGCGACGGTTGCTGCGATTGCTGCTGCTGGGGTTGACTAGCCGCCATCATCGGCGAAGCGCCGGCCGGAGTGGACGCGGACGGATGCGAATGAGTCGACTGGCGATGCTGCATGTGCTGGTGTTGCATGCGCTCCAGCGATTGCTGCGGCGACGAGATGGTCATGGCGTGCGCATGGGGCGACAACCCCTGCGCGTTCATGGCAGCGGGGTGCGCGCGGAAATTGGCCATAGGATTCATATTCCTCTGCAGACTCTGCAGCGATAGATAAGGGTCCTTCAACTGGCCGACCGTGTCGGTGTTCCGCTGCAGCAGATCCGCCGAGCCCTGCGGCGGATAATGACTGGGGAAGGGACTGAAATTGCCACCCGGCGGCAGACCGACCAACGGAGCCGACGCGGGAGTCATTTTGCGAAGGTCAGGAGAATTCGCGCCCGTCAGGTCAGTGGTTTGAGATTGACCACGAAGTAGAGAGCTGTTGGCGATGCCGCTGCCATGGTGGGGATTGGCGGCGGCCATGGATGGCGATTGCAGGTGATGTTGTTGATGCTGCGGATGAGATGTCTGCTGGGACTGCCGCTGCTGGGCGAATGGATGACCTCCATATCCCATCATCTTGAAAGATGGGAGGGAGAAGAAGTGGTTGTGGAGAGCGTGTGAAGATAACTATGTATAAGATCCACTTGTATATTGACAGGTTGGGGAATAAAAAAAAAAGAAAAAAAAAAAAAGAGGATGTCAGGTGCCAGACATGTGACCGCGTCGACAAACACGGTACGAGATTCCCCGGCAGCTGAGCCAGCGGGTGCGTTGTCTCTCCTGTTAGGCAAGAGGGAGAGAGGGAGAGGAAGAGAAAGAGGAGGTGATTGAGAAAAACAATTCAAGGGACCAAGTCAATCGACACACCGAGTCTCCCAAGCCCCCGAGCGAAGAGCAGAAGGGACTACTTCCAACGCGCAGTTCAGCGCGCGTATTTTCAGACGGAGAAGAGGAGGAAAAGACGGGGATTGGAGGGCCTGAGGCGCGCACCGAGGTCCGGGGAGCGACAAACACCGAAAGTGCAGTTCGGCGACGAGGCGGCCAAATAATTCCAGGAAAACAGGATCAATGCAAGGTGTCCGACTTCAAGAGACTGCCAGACGAGTGAATCCCCTCGAGACGCGTCGAAACTCCCTGGAAATCGAATCTCCCGGGGATCTTTCGATGGAAATGAGACTCGAACCGGCCAAGAGGATGACGATTTGGGATCTTTTCGATGGGCAACTTTTTTTTTTTTACCCTTTTTTTGATTTTTGATTTTCAGGAATTTGGGAAATTCTTTTTTTTTTCTTCTGGCGGGAGGAGGCGACCTCACGTGACGGAGAGGCCAAGTTGGCCACTCCGCGTTGAGGCCGTCAGGCACAAAGACGAGTCACGTCGGTCGCAGAGAAGGCGAAGATGCCTGAAGGTGATGTTGATGCTCTTCATCTCTTCTGGAGTTGAGGACAAGAGTGATACTATGCAATCCTCAGATTCAATCTTAGATCTGGCGGAGTAGATCTGATTTTACCCCAAGCCGGGGAAGGATAAATAAAATAAAATAAATAAAATAAAAATGAAAAGAAATAAAAAAAATAATAAAAATAAAATAATATTCGAAAATTCGAAAATAAAATAAAATAATAAATAATGAAAATGAGGATAATAAAAAATAATCAAAAATCCATAATCTTAAATGAAAAAGAAACCCCCATCTGATATTCCACCCACCTTCCACCGACCCATCGACCATTTAAGCTTCCTTTAGCAGCAGACTTGACTCCTTTCGCTGGTGGATGCTTGCTGGGATCTGCAAGTTGGTGGTGTTGAGTTTGAGAAACCCTCCATACCAAACATCCAGAAATAAATTTAAGAAAATTAAATTAAATCATCTGAAGTATAACAAAACACAAGGAAATAAAAATAAAACTCCTGCCAAATCCCCTCGTCATGTAACCTCAGAAACCTAATCTTATCATCGGTCGCATTCACTTCTGGAAGATGATGCTATCCCTGACGGACAACCACCGCGTGTTAAAATTGGTCAATTAATTACGAACACCCCGAACGAGGTTCCAGAAAGAATTAAAAAATTGAAATCAAAGGAGCCAGACCCGCGGGATTCAAAAAATCTAATAAATCTCCTCAGGCTGCCTTGCCCTCCTCGACCTGCGGCTCTCGCTCCATCACCGGGAGACAAGGTGCGAAAAACAAGCGACCGGACCAGACGCCCTTCAAAGTCCCCACGCTCACCACGACCCACAGAACCACCACACACAGCGACAGAACCTGCCACGGACGTTAGACAAGAATGGATCACAAGATGACGCCACGATGTTTTGACCAAAATCATTTCAAATCAACCAATTTTCGAGTAGAGGCAACGTACCGTTCCTAATATGCGGAAGAACCTCGACGGCAGCGCCGCCCCCATCTCACAGGTACAAACAGCAAAAACCCCTAGCGGGAATGTGAACCCCCACCAGCCGATATTAAAGGGGAAGCTCTTGCATCGAGCAATCGAGGCCAGCGCGAAAAACAGCCACACCAGGCCAAATGACCACATGATCAGCGCGATCAGGAATCCGACGCTATGGAACGTCTCCCCGGTCGACGCTTCCAGGGTCTCGGTTTGCGGGAAGATCGCGTGTGCGACCTCTCCAAGCTTCAGTGCTCTGTTTTATGGCATGAGTGTCAGTTGGTTGTGTCGGATCTGTTGATGACTGGGACAGGACGTACCCGTATCCGCCTTGGCCCAGCGGACCTAATGGCAGAAGAACGCTCACGATCACCCCCTTGGGAGGGATTTTGTGCAGAGTTAGTCGCTGCAGGTAGATCACCAACACCATCATGGCCAATGGGACCCCGATACCCCAGAGCATGTATGAGCAGATGATGGTCCATAGTGCATGTTGCGGATTCGGCAGGACGCTGGCCACGATGCCGCCGGACGACCCGGCCACGATACAGGTGACGATGGGGAGGAGCCAGACGGCTGTCATGGAGGACAGTTGCATGTCGCTGCCGTGGGCCATGCTGATCCATTGTTAGACGGTATTTTTATCTTTTCTTGAGGGGGAGCATACAGTAGAAAAGGTAGAGACAGGGCAATCACGACGGACAAGACCGCGTCGAAAATCCACAATCCCCAGGCAAAGTTGCGGGTCCACTCGCCCCAGGCGGGAACGCAGACATAGCAGAACATATTGATTATGGTTGCAAAGCCCATAGGAATGGTGCCCAGGAACATGGACTGCACGGGATGGGTGATCATGAGGGTGAAGATTTCCGGATAGAGGGTATATCGAAGGACGGAGATGACGGTTCCGATGGCGAAAAGGACGACGTTGAGCACGAAAAGCACGATGGATATGTACCGCAGCCAGTCACCGTTGTAGGGGAGCGTGTTCAGCAGAATAGACACGATTCCTGTTCCCATTGTGACGGAAAACCATCTGATAACGTTAATCTGGGATGCGTGGCTGTCAATGGCACTTGGCACTCACGAGGGCGTGAAATGACGAACGACTCTCCTCCAACCCACGTCATGCTTGCTGGGTGGAGGGCCGTCGGGCGTTGGGTCAGGGTTGTACATGGCATGCGATTGTCTTTCTCTGTCTTGAACTTATTCAGGGTTCGCGAGGGAAATTTCATTCGAAGCTGTGCGACGTCGGGTTGTCGGCTCTGCAAAACCGAAGTCGCTGCTTCCTATTTGAGATGATCTTTCCAGCCTTAACAAAGACTGGCAGAGTATCCACTCTGTGTCATTCCTCAGGGTCAATTTAACATCCTTCCTGTTGGACTATAGTGAATCAATCCTTGCCATCCGTGAGTCACCGAGGCTTCCGTTCAGGTCGCCGAGGATGGACTCGGCCGAGATGCACGGATTCCGGAGTTATCATGACCAATCCTGGTTGAAGACTTATTCCATGCCGGATTCCGTTCTGACAGTCCAGGTGAATAGATTGGGTAAGCCGTAAGTTTATTATAGAAGTGTGGTTTTAGAAGGTTCGCCAATTCAATATTTATGCTTCAGGCTTAGGGATGACTTAGGAGTCTAAACTTAATACGGCAGTGACCGAGGCAGACGCTGACCTTGTTGATGATATCATAGGGTTACAGCGAAGCCATGGGACCAGAGACACGGACGGATTCGGACAGAGCTTGCAGACAGCGGGGGAAAAGTTTCTGATTTTCTTATTCGCCTTTTATTCTAGAAATTAATTCTGTTATTCTAGAATGCTTCTATGGATACACCATGGAGAGATTGAGCTAAAACTCGGCAGTCGGCGAATGGAGTGGGTCTTCTATATATCTCCACATTTTATTTTTTTAGTCGCCGAAGTATGTCTCCATCGGGCAAATCTGGGGATTTTTATTTTTAATTTATCTTATCTTTCTTTCTGGCCCTCTTCTGGTTTAATGGTTTGCAATCCTATCATCTGACCCAAGCTATTGAATGTGTAGAATTCCTACAATAGAACTATAATGAATGAAACAAACCATCTTGACAGGTTCATGGCTACCAGACTTACCAAATTTACCAGAGAACAGCATCTACCTAGAGTCATCCACTCGAAGATAAATAACCTAGAACCATGAAACGCACTATTTACGATCGCTGTAGACTCCCTCAACAAACCATGTGATTTCCCGCATAGCTATTCGATACCCTACAATATCAGGATCAACTTCATCAACTTCATCAACTTCAACTTCATCAACTCTCTATTCTCCACACTGCCCTCTTCATGAACCAAATTTCCCACTTTCCTCCAACAAACCCCAAAATGCTCACCCGTTCCCATCAGCCATCGACCTCCTCTCTTTATCTCACGTCAACGAGCAAATCCACCACTAATCACACCCTAATCCTGAAGTCTAAGCACTCCTCATCACGCCGTCACGAATTGTCCTCTGCGTCTCCGCCCTCATCGACCCCGCAGAACATACCTGTCTTCGCACACAAACTCTACTTTACGCGGGTGCCGAGGGCCGCGTGATGGGGCGGGGAGGATGAGAAGGGAGAAAGGAAACAGGAAAAAGTGTATGAAGTTTACATTAACGAGGTCGGAACTCCCGTGGAGATACGATTAAGGACTTGAGGTGATTAAATATTCTCGACTTACTCGCATGCTGATGACTACAGACACGAAATCATAGACCTTCCGGCACGAAGACCGCTAAACAACAGTCGGCATTATATACGAGAAAGCTCCTTCTCCGAAGTCCGTCAGAAGAAAGTCATCCACGGCTGTGACTAACGACTGGGTTTAGAAACCGAACGGTTGCTGCTGCTGCTGTATCGCCGTTAGTCGATGCTCATACTCGAAACTCGAAACCGTATCCTGCGCGCTCTGCATCGGACACAGACTCGCAATACAATCCAACAACCTCCGATTCAACCCCGGCGTCATCCGACAGATCGGATGCTGTGCCAGACAAGGCGTACCCCGAAACAAAGCTAGCACGCGGCGAATGAGGTCGAAGATGCGGTCCGGGATGATCGAGAGCTGCAGCGCATAGGTCTTTGTGACCTCGAGGAGGAAATGCCCCGCAAAGGCGATCATAATGTGGAAGTAATGCGGCATGCCGACGAGGTTCTGCTGGAGCTGCTGCTCTTCCTGCAGAAGCATCTCGAAGATGGCCACGGCAGCGTCATGGGCCATACAGGCGGCGGCAACGAAGGATGGCGGGATCGGTTGTCCGTCGAGGCCTTTGAAGACCTGGTGGCCGAGATAGAGCTTTCCGAAGTGGTAGTGCAGCTGGAGGCCGCGCCGTGGGAACTCGCCGATGTAAGGGTCGGATTTGAATAGCACGGAAAACTTGGTGAACCATTTGTCGAGCTGACGAGAGTAGTGCATGATTTGATTTGCGAGGGTTGGGGGAACTCGTGTCTCTTGCTCGGAGCCTAGCAGATCCCGAATTTGCCCCATGATTAGCAGGAGAGCTACCTGGGAGACCAGACGCACGTCGGAGTCGGTGGCTTGATCTTGATGAAGGAAGGTTTCCCAGTGCATGGCGATGTCCTTGTCATTGCGCAGCAGGGGATCGCGATTATGTAGCACGGAGAGGTGGTGGTCGGATATGAAGATCAGATACCACAATCGCACCCTATCTCTATGTCCTATGGTACTAGAGGTATGACTTGGTGACGAGCTGTCACTAGTAACAGCCACATGTTCAAAGCTGCGATGAAGCCGCATGTCAGCCGCTCGACGGACGGCATCGCTGGAGAGGATCCGCGAGGCATCGGACAGCCAGAAAGAGCTGATGCAGAGGGCACGGACATACTCCAGGTCGTGCTTCTCAAACAGGGAGCGAGATACTAAACGGCGGAACTCGCGATTGCAGGATTCGTAAAGGGATTGACCTTGGGGATCGTGAAGGGCCGAAACGGTGCAAATGGCTGCCAGGAGAGGTGGTGACTTGGACTGTAAGTGTTGCAGGCTGTGATATTCACCGCAGATCCCGTATAGATAAGGGTCGAGTCGTGTGAGGTATTGATTGACGAGGCTCTCGGCGACGGTCACATTCAGGACTTTCTTGCTGATGAAATCATTGAGTATGGTCTGCCTCGGGCGAGATGCGCCTGGTGGGCTGTTCGGAGATGATCCCGGGCTGCCGAGCTTGGCGATATCCAGGAATGTATCGATAGGAGCGTGGACAGCCGAGGGAGTGGCAGGAGGAGATATTTCACATCCTGAGAGGCTCGGATGGTCTCTCTCGTCACTGACTGTATTGTCATTTTCCCGCTCAACACTGGAATCTGCACCAGATATCAAAGGCTTTGGCGATGGCACATTGATGTGCTGGCAGACGGCATTAAGAGTCGCATGGAGGTTTTGAATATCGGATTGGAGAAGCTCCGTGTTTCTGACAATAAGAGCCAAGTCAGCAGCACTCAGCACAGAGCATGGTAAGATTTACTTGACCTCCTCCACCAAGGACTGCAGACTCTTATTCAAGACACAGGAGAGAGATCGACGACGGCATCGCGCACACGGAGGCCCATCCGCCATATCACATTTGATCTACGCTTGTCAGTCAGAGCAAGCACTGAGCGAGCCAAATTGCACACACCTTTTGCTTGCGACACGCCGTGCAAGCAGTGATCTTGCGTGTAATACCGGGCACGACATCGACCATTGCCGAAGCATCTTCCTGGCTGGCAGGACCAGCAGGATGGGACTGCGGATCTACGCCCGGAGACTGGCCTTCTGACGGCAAGGTGTCCGGTCCGACGTTGCCAGTCAACGATCGCTTCCGTTTAGTCATGATGCGAGATATCATTGAAAACAGATGCTGTATTGCGAGAAGCCTCCTAGAGACGAGCGGAAATGCATCGGCGAGCTTCCGGTCATCGGATTAAATAACAAAAAGAGGGGATTCTTTCTGATCGACAGACAGGGATCCGTCATTGCCGTCAATAAGAACAATACGTTTTAGGGCTCCTGCAGCTTCCCCGCATCTCGAAGGATTCAACCGGTGGAGTCTCGGTCAATTGCCGATTCTACTGCATGGTGAGGTCGCCGACCCATCTGTTATTTCATATGAGATATCCAGGCACTCGGATACAACCTTTTCAACCCAACAAATAGTTACAATGTCGTCCAAAATATCCCCTAAGGAAAAAAGCCCCCCCACCAGGGATCTATTGCCCGGTCATCTCACTCTACAAAGCAACCAACAGACAGGAGATCGACCTAGACGCATCGTTCAAATCCTTCAGCTACCTGATCAACAGCGGCATCGACGGGCTAGTCCTGGCCGGAACAACAGCAGAAGCCGCCCTTCTATCTGCCGACGAACGAACGGATCTAATCCAAGTAGCACGAAAAGCAGCGGTTGAATCAGGACGACCCAAGTTCCCTATCATGGCAAGAATCAGCGCCCAATCGACCAACGAGACAATCCGACTCGCGCAGTCAGCACTGGACGCAGGCGCTGATTCCGGACTCCTGCTCCCGCCGAATTATTGGCCTAAGGCTGTGTCCACGGGTATCATCGCGGAGTTTTACCGTGAGGTTGCAGATGCTACGTCTTTGCCAATTGCCATTTACAGCGTAGGTATCATGGCGCCCACCCCAGGAGGGGAGTTACACTCCAGGTGATATAGAATGCTAATAAATGGCAGTTCCCCGCCGTCTGCAACGGCATCCACATGAGTTCCGACCTACTAGCCGACCTCGCCGTGCACCCTAACATCGTCGGCGTGAAACTCACCTGCGGCAACGCGGGCAAAGTAACCCGTCTAACGAATCGATACTCGCACGACCACTTCGCCGTCTACGCCGGGTCCTCGGACTGGTTGATCCCATGCCTCAGCGGCGGGGGCAGCGGCTGCGTCACTGGGATCGCCAATGTATTTCCTAAGACGGTAGCACATCTGTACGGACTATGGAAGAATGGGGAGGAGCGTGAAGCGCGCAAACTACAGGGCGTTGTCGCGGAGGCCGAGAAAGCGTGTAAAGAAGGGATCGCGTCGACGAAGTACGCCACGGCGTACTTTGTGGGATCGAAGGCTGGGGTTGAGGATGAGAGGGTGTTTTGGCCGAGGAGGCCGTATCGGGCCGTTGGGGAGGAGAAGAAGAGATGGGTTGTTGAGGCAATGGGTCATTTAGAGGTGGTTGAGGGGGAGTTGTAGGTTTGTTCAAGGTGTCTGTAGGAGGTGTGGACTCACGTACATGATACTAAGCCGCTTAGGTAGCTATTTATTTCCGTTGAAAGTTGTTCATGTGCTTCCCTCATTAACACCCCTAATCTAATATCTTCCGGGGTGTGATAGATTGGTAGCAGCCCGTTAGAGCTGTCAAGCCACATAAGATCTAGTTCATTAATTTGTTGCATGTGCATAAGGCCTCTAGTATATACTCTTGGGTCCCTGACTTACCTCCCCAATGTACCATCCCGCCAGATATAGTAATATCCCAACCTCAATAAAATATCTCATCATCCTCAACGTCTTCATCATCCTCATCATCCTCATCATCCTCATCATCCTCATCATCCTCGTCGTCATAATCAGGAATGTAATTTCCGGAGGCCTTAACGCAGTAAGCACTTCCCACCACCAGCTGCTCGTCGCAAGCCCCCGTTGCCAAGGACGGATTAACTGCCAGAAACAGTTTCCAGTCTATAGAGTTTTGCACGCAGAGTTTTGTACAAGTTTCTTTTTCTCCGCTAGAATCCTGGTCCTCCATGATGTACCATCGCGCACACCGATAGCTTGTGCCTTCGGCCACTGTTACGTTGGTGGGCGGCAGTATCTCGGGGTAGGAGTGGAGCGCCTCGTCGGAGGGAGGGGGCACGGTACCGTTTGCTGTTCCGCCTTGAGGTCCTCCGCACAGAATCGTTCCATATACTTCATTGCTCGTTTCTTGGAGGTTGGAGCAGTCGTGTATGATCCATGGGTTGTATTTGCGGACGGTGTAGCCCGAGGCTGCATCCAGATCAAGGGACGTTTCGATCGAACGGCACGTGTCGCCGTCCTTGAGCGTGTATGTGGGTGTGCAGCTAAATGGGAGGCAAAGTTCTGTACCCACGGGGATGTTATGGCAGTTACGGAGGTTGGAGTTGCCAATGAATAGGGCGGCAGATGAGACGCCGTGTTTGAGAGCGATGGTATCGCACGTATCATGGAAAGCAGTAATGTATCTTGTGTCGGAGGCACAGAATGTGCTGTTGTTGGCATATGGGTCCGTTGGTTTCTCGATGGGTGGAGGGATATAGGTGGGCACGGCAAGGCCACATTTGGAGTTCATGAAGACAAGGTCCGATTGATATGTTTTGTCGTAGATAGAGTAGGGAGTTGACTGCATCACCTCGTATCGCTTGACGTAGCAGTATGAGCAGAGCTCAGTCGTGGGCATTTTGTCGATGGTTTTGGCAACGGTGAAATTAGCAATAACGTCTGGAAATACCGGTCAGTAAGGCTTTCGAGGAGGCTGTAGTCTGGGTTCGGAGAAGTAACTTACCACCGCAATATTTGCCAGATTCAGGATCCTTCAAGCAGGTTTCGTTCCAACCTGCCCACAGAATACCCCCCGGGCTTCATCAAGACGACATTCTCTTCATGATAGTTGGCGCAGTTTAGCGAGACGCTTTCGAACCATGCTTGGATCGATTCACCGCAGGTCTTATCGCACACCAGATCGCTTAAGGTATCGTTATCTAGACCCGCCCTCCAACTTTTATCACTGAGCATGTACGTCTCATCATGGCATTCAATTAAACGGGTCATTGCCGTTCGGAAAGCCGAGGAGACACTTGATAGAAGATTTTCATCCCATTTAGGGCCGTATAACTGAAATCCGTCAAACGTGCGTTTGCCGATTGTCTCCAGCCCATGAGATAAAGCCAATGTAATACTGTTGTGCACAATTAGAAGCAAGAGAAGAGAAAGTATGCGTCTCATTTTGAGACGTGCCTCCTCGGAATGTCAAGAAAGATGCTCGTCTCGAAGGACAACTGGAGGACGAGATGTATATGTTCCTTGATGGAACCGGGGCTCAAAGACTTAACTAAGTCCGTCCAAGAGGTCGTTCCAAAGCGTTATATTTGATGCCCCTTTGATATCACCCATGAAATTGTGGGAATCGTGGCAACGTGAATTTCGCCAATTGAGTATTGGCGAGTCACGGTCAGCCACGAATAAAATGCAGTTCCCAGGGGTATTTCAGATCGCATTGCCTCCAAATCGGTTCGACGCGGGTTTAAGTCCAAGGCGAGCAGACTAGTCTTCTCTCTAGTCTCTTTCGGAAGTTCTCCGCGTGCATGGCCACTTCTCGAGGCCCAGCGCACGAATATGGTAACAGAGGCTCGCTTAAGAAATTGATCGGTGGACGCTCCTGGTGTTCATTAGTTGTATTGAGCTCCTAGGTCATGATTCAACTCGAACTTGGGGGATGAGATCATGAGATCTTTTGGGGGAAGCCGGAGGTAACTGCAGGTACACCATTTTTTAGACCGACTATAGTGGATATTAAGGTTACATCGCCTGCGCCTATTAGGGCTAGACAGAGGCGAACCAGCGTTTGTTGATATTTTCTTAGTCTGAATGAGCCTATAACTCAAAACTAGGCCCAAGGTCTGGCAGCGTGGAAGGTTTCTAGGACATTGATGTGCTGTTGGCAGAATATGTGGCTAGATGGAATTGATTGTGCATTTTTCGCTGCACTACAAAGGGTGAAATGGTGAACTGATGGAACAGCAGAGTATAGGCTTGAATTGATGAAGTCGATGAATGGATGAAAGGTCTCAAAGACCGCTCGGGCGTTGGCCAATGTAAGGCCCACTGTGGGTCACCTACACACTAAACCACGTTGGGTAAGGGAAGGCGATACAGCCAAGTGGTCCAACAACAAACCTTAGCGAGAGGTTGTTGTAGTATTCCTGGTCGTGGACACTGCCAAGTATCCTCGAACCTGTCAATTGATGGGACATAACTTCTGCTCCCTGCTGTACATGAGAGGCTCTTCGTAGATACCAGTCAAGTAATATGATATCGTCGGATCTTAAGCTGCTGTTGTATGGTAACAAAGAATATGTACGTGAAGTTCCTGGATTAGGCCAAAGATTGAGGGACTGTTCATTTGCCAAGGAATACTATCGAGTTAAGCGTCAAATGTTAGATTGCGCCAAGAGCTGCCAAGCTAAGACAATGTTTTCTTTTCCACTAATAAGTGGTAATACGCGCCAGGTACCTGCAATGCACTCTGGTCTCCTCGGATGACTTGGGATCCTTTTCACTGTTTAAAAGGTAAATCGAAAGATCATCTTGGTTTATATAGCAACCACATGCTCCCGACCTATGACGCTGAGACGCGATATTGGCACTGCTAAATCATAAGCGTTATACATTCGAATTAAAACCCATAAGGAATAACTAAGAAATCCTCCCGGAAGATCCGGCATGAGCCGAGGGAGGGCGGAATTCCCCGGGCCCATACAAGATTGGACTTTCTCGAGGCTAACCAGTCACAAATTACAGAGTAGTGGCGCACTGGCGAACGACGATGTAACTCAATTTTTAACTAGAAAGACTGGTTTTCTCGGTTGCGATTAGCAGAAAACTAGGAGGCATCAATACACCCAAGATAGTCTTTGGTTCCCAGTGTTTTAGGCTCCACTTCTAGGTGCTCAATTGGTTAGAGTGCTAAGTGAACCCTGGATTAGAATTTGTCGGAAAAAAACTCGATTGCCCCTTTTTACTGCGGGGAATCGAATGCCTACTTATCATTATTGAGATATCTTTTTCATGAATGAACCACTTGCGCTTCCTCCGATGTATACGTGGCAGGAACCGGCAAACACAGAATGACGGGAGTTCAGAGACCCTTTTTACGGATCATAAGCCTGGTAGTTGTCTTTCTCTTAATCTCTAAATGGTCTGAGATACCCATTTTTCCACTCAATTTATGCTTCGCCAATTTTGTAAGCATGCGGAGTTCATAGTCAAGTTTGACGTGTGTCCATCTAACCTTTCAATTAGGGATTCTGCGGCGTGACGAAGGAGTTTGTAAGTAATTTCTAGGCTTCAAAATAGAGAAAATGAAACATTGACTGACCGTCTTTTGCCACAAAGTCCGACGATAAACCCGTTACGCATCGAACATGCAGCAAAAATGGTACACTCTCACGGGTTGTGGGCTACTACGAAGGTTGGGGCACTCGGCGGACCTGCAACAGGTTCTGGCCCGAGCAGATCGTAGGGGGAGTCTACAGTCACATCAATTTTGCTTTCGCTACCATTGATCCCGAAACCTACGAGGTGATACCTTCTGACCAGGCAGATGTATCACTATACGAGCGCCTAACTGTTCTTAAGCGTTGGGATCCGAGGCTGAAGGTTCTGATTGCTTTGGGGGGTTGGACTTTCAACAACCCCGGACCGACAGCTACTGTTTTCTCTGATATTGCGGCGTCTGAAGAAAAGCAGAAGAGGTTTATTAAGTCGTTGATCTCATTTATGTCAACGTACGGGTTCGATGGGGTGGACTTGGACTGGGAATATCCAGGAGCAGATAATCGTGGTGGAAGACCAGAGGACTATGGGAACTTTCCCAAGTTCATAGCCAATATGGAGAACACGCTTTCGAAGACACCTGACAGATTCGAACTGTCGATTACTCTCCCCTACTCGGATTGGTACCTTCGACATTACGACCTCAAGGAATTGGAGAAGCATGTCAGTTTCTTCAACCTCATGACATACGACATGCACGGGACTCTGGACCGTGGGAATAAATGGACTGGCGAGCAGTTGAACGCACACACCAATTTGACGGAAATCAAGGACTCGCTCGACTTGCTCTGGCGGAAAGGTGTCAATGCCGAGAATGTGGTAATGGGTCTGGCATTCTACGGCCGCGGGTATACTGTTGCGAGCCCGTCATGTGTTGAGCCTGGCTGTCTGTTTCTGTCGGGAAGTGTAGAGACGCATTGCTACTACGAGACAGGAATTCTGCCTAACAATGATCTTATGAGAATCATGCGTACCAAAGGGTTGTCATCGAAGCTCTATGAGGACGCTGCTGTCAAGGTAACTCATTGGCGGGATCAGTGGGTGTCCTATGACGATGAAGAGACACTAAAGACCAAGACCGACTTTGCCCGTGAACAGTGTTTGGGGGGTGTCCACGTATGGGCAATCGGCCATGATATGAAGTACGCAAACTTCACTGAAGCCCTCTACCGCGTGGCCAATCGCCGAGGGCCGCGCAGAAGGCATCACGGTTAGGGCTGATGAAGACACGTGCAAATTGAGTAACTGCGGCGAATCCTGTCCTGACAGGGGGCGCACGATCTCGCGTAAGGTTGATAGAGAAGTGACATAGAAATGAATATATGCTGGACGCATCTATATTAAATGGCGCAGGCGTCCAATCGCGGTGCTGCCCTTCAACAAAGCCCTCTACATATGGTTGATACAGCCTCAACAACGGACACTAAGCATCCCAATGCTTAGACCAAAGGATGTGAAGCTTCTAGAATGTTGGGTCTCTTCCTATACACCATCATGGAAGATAGGCCCACAAAAGCTACCAGTATGGTACCTACAGTGAATTGATGTCTTCGGATTCAATAGTCATCTGGCTGTCCATTTCTCTATCTTCGTGCGCGCTGCTAACTCCCTCAATGCCTGATCAACATTACCACATTCTGAGCGATGGCTTTCCCTACATTCCCTGAAACAGGCAAAATAATCTGAGAAACGATATGGTCAAAACCCAGAGGAAGAATGGAATGTTATTAGGTAAGTTCTAACTACTCCGGAGGGGGTTAGTTCAATTTCACTCCACTTTTCTTTTAAAGGCGCCGAACCCCATCCACTTCAAGTCCCCGTCCAACTTCTGCCTCCTCACTTCTTGCACGATGTCGGACCCAAACAAGCCATCGTCGCCCGGTTTGTACGAAGATTTTTTCCGCCGTCAATCCTGGCCTGAACCATGGGATGAATCCGAGTTCTCGCCTGATCAAAGGAGGGCGGAGATCCAAAATCGCGTTAGAAGTAAGGTATCAAAAGGGATCACGGAAAGTTTCTTCGAACATTCCTTCTACCCGTTTTCGTGCTGGCCATGGGGATTTTTCATCTACCGGACAGCATACGGATCCGACGAGGACTGGAACCAGGCTCTTGCTAAGCTTCATCGCTATATTCACTATGATATATGGCGCACCGTTAAAGACGAACCGGAGGCAGCTAAGATTGTTTGGGAGGGCTGTCACAACGTCATTGTTGAGGATCGAAAATTGCTAGAGGGCGCTTCACCCATCAAAGTCCGGGAACTATTTCAGGAGTGGATAGTCCGAAATCCAGAGCACGATAATCATAGCGAGCCACGATCAAGCTTTTGCTTGATGATTGATGATCATGCTATTCAATCCATTCTAGCGAGTTCGGAGCCAGGTCTGGACCGCAACCAGCCCGGATACGTGATCTTGATCGGTCGCTCATTTCCTGATAAGGGGGGGCTCAGATTCGAGCCTTTTAATGGGAGTTGGATGCGACTGCTGATGCATGGGATCTGGCGCGTTACCTGTAATGCTGATGATTTTGATTTTGATGACTTGTGTCGGTGGATCGCGAAGCCGTGCTTGATTCCTTACTGTGATGGCTCTGAGAGCTGGGTGGAGGACGTGAATGGGCAGAAGGTAACGGGCCCTTATTCTTCGGGCGATGAGGAGGACGAAGACGACGATGACGATGAGGAGGAAGACGGGTATACCGAAGCAGGCGGTTATCCCCTCTACGATAATTATAAATTTCTTAAGAAGGGGGGGCATATTTAGATCGGAATCTTGACTTAAATGCCAGGATGCCTCTAGCAGAACCCATCATACACAAGGAATAATGCCATCTTCTTCAATTCAAATGGATTCAGGGTTCTATGGATGTCCATGCTTTCATCTTCCTGCGCGATACTAGTCCCGTTAATTCCCGGTTAATACCTGCGATTGTTTACACCCTGGGAGGTAATAAGAGCCCAAAACTTTCTAACTTTCTAACTTACTCCGGAAGGGCTAGTTAACTTCCCCACTCTCTCTTTTTAAAAGGCGCCGAACCCCCCTCCAAAGAACCGAACCCAGCGGACCTCTACTCCCCTTGATCTTTGCAACATGTCAGACCCAACTCCGGTGCCCGATGCGCACGAAGATTTCTTCCGCCGCCAGGCCTGGCCTGAGGCATGGGATGAATCCGCGTTCTCGCCAGACCAACAGAGGGGGAAAGTTTTCCGTCGACGTTGGGGTACGGGCACTGGCACGGATTATTTTCTCAGTTCATGCATGCGCCGCGGCCCATCTTGGCCGTGGGGATACTTCATCTACCGGACAACATACGGGTCGGACGAGGATTGGAGCCAGGCTCTTGCCAAACTTCATCGCTATGTTCACTACGCCATACGACACCAGGCCGTGCGATCTCGGCTTAATGGTCCTGAGAAACTGGAGAATGATCTCGAAGCAGCTGAGGTTATCTGGGAAGGATGCCAAAATGTTATCGTTGAGGATAGAGAGTTGTTAGAGGGGGCTTCACCTACCCAAGTTCGGCGACTATTTCAAGAATGGATGATACGGAATCCGAAATACAAAAAGTTTAGCAGACCACGGTCGACCTACTGTTTGATGATCGATGAGCATGCCATGCGGTCTATTCTGGCGAGCTCGGAGCCTTGTGCGGACCATAGGGAGTATATGGGTGCCCAGCCCGGATACGTCATCTTGATCGATCGCCGACATCCTACTGAGGGAGGGATCAAGCACGAACCTTATAATGTGGGATGGATGAGGATCACGATGGTATCAATTTATACGGCTTGGGGGTTTACGACTGGGCGCGACGACTTGGAGTTTGAGGACGTTTATCCCGCTATCGGGAGGAGGGGCTTGATCCCATATTATGATGGTTTTCGGAGTTGGGTGGAGGACGTGAATGGGCAGAGGGTGGAAGATTTCTTTCATTCAGAAAGTGAAGAGGAGGAGATGGTGGAGGAGGATGTGAATGGGAAGAAGGTGGAAAGTTTTTCTCGTTCAGAGAATGAAGGTGAGAATGATGTGGATGAGCAGGATGTGAAGACTGCTTCTCATTCAGAGAATGGAGAAGAGGAGGACGAGATTGAGGACGATGAGGAGGACGATTATCCCGAAGGCGGTTATCCTTTCCATGATATTTATGAATATCTAAGAGAAAAGGGGCATATTTAAACCTGTACTTCTTCAACAAGCGGTATTCTCGTTCCCTCTGGCAAATGCTGCATGTCGCCGCATATATGAATTACTCTGTATCCACACTGGATCTTCTTCCAACCCTGGGTGAGTGTACGGTGAAAATTATTTTATGATACACCTTGTTGCCCACAGCTCTTGTGTGTAAGAATCTGTAACAGCAATGCCTTCACATTAGAAATCACTGCAAGTTAGGCCTAGCGATAGATGAAGCGATCTCACCATGTTTGACTAGCAGGTGTTTTTAAGGAAACCATATCATCCTCTCCAAGTCTAATACCTGAAGACTTCTCCCAAGCAGCTCGACACCTGACGTAATGTCTAACTTTCTTTTCTCTTCTCTCTTTTCTATTTGGCCCCCCTCTTTTTTTTTTTTTTTTTTTTTTTTTTTTTTTTTTACACTATCCCGACGAGATGAATGTGAGCCTGAGTATTCTACCTTTGAGCAAGGGGGAGGTTCAAGAATTCAAAGCTTGGTTTGGACAGCGCTATAGACAATTATATATCTCAGACTAACAGGGACTCCCGAGAACTTAAACGGCAAAGAGTTACTGTAGGCGTTCCGCGAGGTATAGGGCTACCGATTATGATCAAATAAGTGAATTGAACTATGTTAACTGGATAAAAGGATCAAGATGGTTGATGACGAAAAAGAGGTCCTCGCCTAGGTCTGAATAAGTGAAATGAAATGGCCGAGAATGCTTGGCAGATTGTAACCTCAGGCATCAAAAACACCTTCATATAGGACTGTCATATTCTGAAATACAAGGCATAGGAATCAAAGCGTAGGCTCTACCATCAATCAATGGCATCGAAGGTATGAGTGACAGGGGGCGGAAGATTTGTGATATAGCAGCAACTCCCATCCCTAGTTCAGGACTCTTCATAACGACGACAAACTACTTCCCCAGTACACAAGATACAGCTACCCATAATCCGGCCCAGAACGAGAAAAAGGACTCCTTGAATTATGACGGAGGGTTGTATGAGGTATTTAATTGAGGACAAAATAACGAGTGGAATAATAGTGCTGTCCAGAAGACAGGGTTAGCTTGTTGGACACGAGTCTGGACGGCTGGTGATATTGATTTTCGCTTTCACAACGGCCATTGTCGCGAGTCGGTTGCGAAGGATGAGCTTGCTTGATCATGGTAGGTTTGTAAAAATTAAGGTCCATAGATCGGCATGCCGGGTCAGGATCCTGTCATGGAAGTCTGTAACGCCTCTCGTTTCAACGGTCGGCAGATGGATGGTCAATCAACATGATAGGGGATGTCATATGATTCAGGATTTCAAAGACAAAAGCAAACCCCTTTTCTACTTTTTACAGTCGAGTAAAGGGGTTTTACTCTTTAGAGCACCTAAAAATTCTAGTACGCGACTAGGGCATCGCTAGGATATAGTTTTACCCGCCTGAATAGCCTCATGTGTCCACCTAGACGACAAGCTTCGCGAGCTTTGCCCGAAAGCCGATCCGAACCAGGTTGATTAGATCGTCGTCAGCGTTTGACGGTTCGGCAGCAGAATTCTACACCGAACTCAGTCCCCTGATCGTCAGGCAACGTCAGCTAGCCGGTGGAGCTCGCCAGATTCTGATTCATGTCACCGTAGTCGCTCCACCGATGATCATGCATCAATCAATCTCAAACAGTTCTATCGACCGATCTTCCTCCTTAATCTTTTTTGCTCCGTTGCTTCTTTCAGGATCACGGTTGTTGGATGCGGGATAGTAGAAGTATAAATGCAAAGCATGCCGCCCAGGGTTGGTCAGGGCGAATCAGCTTCAAACTCGTTAGTTAACAGAATGCAGATTCTCTCCCTCTCCCTCCTGGCTCTGGCCTCTGTGGCTCAGGGCCAGCTGGCCGGCAGCGTCGGCCCTAGCACCAGCGCCAGCGACAAAGGACAGAGCAAGACCTGCAACGTGCAAGACTATGGCGCCAAAGCTGACAAGTCCACCGACATCGGTCCAGCCATCGAGTCGGCCTGGGATGAGTGCAAGGAGGGCGGCCTCGTCTATATCCCGCCCGGTGACTACGCGCTGGGCAGCTGGGTCACCTTGACCGGTGGCAAGGGAACAGCGCTGCAGCTGGACGGTATTCTCTACCGGGACGGCGACGACGGCGGCAACATGGTGATGATTGAGCATACCAGCGATTTCGAACTGTTCAGTAGCACAGCACGGGGAGCTATCCAGGGCTCCGGGTACGAGTTCCACTCTGACGGCTCGCTGTCGGGACCGCGAATTCTGCGTCTGTACGAGGTGGAGGATTTCTCGATCCATGACCTGGCTCTGGTGGATTCGCCGGCGTTCCACCTGTCGCTGGATACCTGCAGCAACGGCGAACTGTACAATATGATCATCCGCGGAGGCGACTCGGGCGGATTAGACGGTATTGACATCTGGAGTGAGAACATCTGGGTTCACGATGTAAGTCTAGAGCATCATCGCTATCATTCATAGCTAATACTCAAATCCACAGGTCGAGGTCACCAACAAAGACGAGTGCGTCACCGTGAAGAGTCCCGCGCACAACATCCTCGTGGAAAACATCTACTGCAACTGGAGCGGCGGATGCGCCATGGGCTCGCTGGGCTCCGACACCAACATCAGCGACATTCACTATCGCAACATCTACACCTGGCACTCCAACCAGATGTTCATGATCAAGAGCAACGGCGGCAGCGGCTCCGTTTCCAACTTGCTGTTGGAGAACTTCATCGGTCACGCCAACGCCTACTCGCTCGACATCGACTCGGCATGGTCCAGTATGGACTCCGTGGACGGCGACGGCGTGTCGATGCAAAACATCACGGTGCGCAACTGGAAGGGCGGCGAGGAAGACGGGGCCCAGCGCGGTCCTATCAAGGTCAAATGTGCTGCAGGAGCCCCCTGCACGGACGTCACCATCGAGGGATTCGCCATGTGGACCGAGTCGGGCGACGAGCAGTCATACGTCTGTGAGAACGCCTTTGGCACGGGCGCATGTCTCGAAAACGGCGACGACTCGACCGCCTCATACGGATCGACGGTCGCAGCGACGGCTACTCCGTCCGGGTTCGCGGCGCCCCGAATGCGGGACGATCTCACTTCCGCATTCGGCACGGATGCCTCCATTCCCATTCCCACCTTGCCGGCCTCTTACTTTCCGGGTGTGAAGCCTATTTCTGCCAGAGTGTCGGGTTCGCTGGTCGCTTCGGCGTCGGCGACTCCCTCAGTGACTCCTTCAGTGACTCCTTCAGCGTCGCCCGCTGGGTCGGTTTGTCGGACGTAAAACCAGTCACCATGCACGAAGACAAAGAAACGTTACATTCACTCCGATGATACCATCGATCCTAGTGCTTCCGTCATAGCCAAGGCCGATCATCTCGTATTCTTCTAATTAGATCGATCCCTCAATAGAGATTTTTCATTCGAGATTTTCCGGTTGATTTGCTGTTCGGATGACCCGTCCAGATGGAAAGAAAGCCTTCCTTGCATATTCCGGCGTAGATTCTCCTCTTAACTTCCCCGCTAAGGTCGCCACCACATCATCATCAACTCATCTGTAATCAACCTTCCCTTCCTCGTTTTACTCTTCGACTTCCGCCTTCCTCTAAGTCTTTTTTCTTTCTTTCTCTCTTCCTTTCTCTTTATCTTCTGTATCTACCCTGCCTATACATCATCATGTCCAAAGGACATTCTCCCTCCCCCATAGAATCGTCTCCCTCGCCCGACCGTCATGTTTCGGTGCCGTCCGTCTATCGCGCCAATGCCGACGTACTCAATCGCGCCCTGCAGACCATCGGAATGGGTCGCTATCAATGGCAGCTCTTCGCCGTGATCGGTTTTGGCTGGGCAAGCGACAATCTCTGGCCCATCGTCACCTCGTTGATTCTCGTGCCCGTTTCCTATGAATTCAACGTCGCGCAGCCTCCACTACTGACGCTGGCCCAGAATATCGGGTTGCTGGCCGGAGCGTTAATCTGGGGATTTAGCTGCGATATCATCGGTCGCAGATGGGCGTTCAACCTGACCATTGCCATCACCGCCATCTTCGGCATGGCCGCTGCCGGGTCGCCTACCTTTGCTGCGGTCGGCGTTTTTGCAGCGCTGTGGTCGGTGGGCGTTGGTGGTAATTTGCCTGTGGATTCAGCCATTTTTCTCGAGTTTCTCCCCGGATCGCATCAGTACTTGCTGACTATCCTGTCGGTGTATTGGGCCTTGGCGCAGTTACTGGCCAATTTGATCGCCTGGCCGCTGTTGGGTAATATGACCTGCCCTTCGGCGGACAATTGCTCCAAGGAGAACAACATGGGTTGGCGCTATTTTCTCATCACCATGGGCGGACTGGCTGTCGTCATGTGTGTCGTGCGTTGCATCTTCTTCACGCTGTACGAGTCGCCGAAATTCCTCATGGGCAAAGGTCGTAACCAAGATGCCGTGATGGTCGTCCACGAGGTTGCGCGTCGCAACGGCAAAGCATCCACTCTCTCCGTCGAGGAACTCGATCCGCTGTCGGCGACCCCTATCGATGCGGAAGATGCGCCACGTCGTCCCCGTGACGCGCTGAGCACGTCCGACCATATGCGCATGATGCTCGAACCGCTCTCGCTTCCTCATGTGAAGGCCTTATTCAACAGCCCGCGACGTGCCTGGTCCACCTCGCTGATGATCATGATCTGGACGTTGGTCGGTCTCGGATTTCCCTTGTACAACGCGTTTCTGCCATTTTTGCAACAATCGCGTGGCGTGGAGTTTGGCGACGGCTCCACATACATCACTTACCGTAACACGCTTATCGTGGCGGCCGTTAGCGTCCCCGGCAGTTTGGTCGGTGGCGCGCTGGTTGAACTGCCGCGCTTCGGTCGCAGAGGCACCCTGGCGCTGGCTGTCATCTCAACGGGTGTATTTTTGCTGGCCTCCACAACCGCCGACTCATCTGCGGCCTTGCTGGGATGGAACTGCGCGTTTGGATTCTCGAGTAGCTTGATGTACGCCGTGCTGTACGCCTACACGCCAGAGATGTTCGAGACAAAGGATCGGGGCACGGGCAACGCGCTGGTGGGTGCGGCCAATCGCGTGGGGGGTATCCTGGCGCCGATTATTGCCATCGCAGCGGGCGTGCAAAGCTCTGCGCCGGTATATGTGAGCGGTGCATTGTTCTTGGGGGCGGGAATATTGGCGCTGTCGGTGCCGTACGAGACGAGAGGAAGGGCGAGTATCTAAGAGATGATTGTCTGCACGGTTAGATATACAGACGTTAGTAATGAAGGGGAGGATGGATTGACAGACTGGGATAACGGAAAGTATATGCTAATGTAGGGTTGTTCAATACATACCAGAAGTAGACAGTAGGCAGTAAACAGTAGACGTAGGAAGGGATTCTACGAGGATGGAGAATCAGAGGAGGCAAAAGGAACAAACAGTCAAATTGAAACAAACAGCAAATTGCCTAATCGGGAATATCACATGACGCCTTTTCTACTCCCTGCTATCTTCTTTTTCTCCTCCTTCCTCTTCCCATCCCTCAATCTGATCTCTCGCATCCTTTTACTCTACAGTCCAGCACGCAGACTCTGCGACTCCAGCTTCTCGGTCGCATACCCCAAGACCCGACCTACGACGGCCTCGATGTCTTCCTTGGTGTTATGCGCGTGAATCACCATCCGAACACGATCCATCCCCTTCGGCACGGTGGGAAAATGCACCGAATTCACCCAGAACCTGCCGTTGCGCAGATGCTCAGCCAGGTTGTCAGCCTCCTCCAGCGGAGCGATCAGCGCGATGATGGGCGACTGTAACGGCCTGGTAGCCCAGGTCTTCTCCGTTGGGAGGCGAACGATACCGCTGCGACTGGCCTGCCGCCATTTGGGATTGTCAGTCAGCAGACGGTAGAAGTACCGCACTTTCTGCTGTACGAGCTGTCGACGCTATATGGATTGTTCTCTGTTAAACCGTGGATTCCTCCGATCTGAAGGTTTCTCGGGGGATGGAACGAACCTTTTCGCCCTCGGCGCTGGCCGCCAATTCATACCCCGCACGTACCCCCGCCGCGGAGAGAAAGCTGGGCGCCGTACTGTAAACCATGTTGCGGGCATAGTTGATCAGTGCGGCCTTCACGGTCTCATTGCAGAGGATGATCGCTGTTTTCTATGTTAACAGGAGATCATCTTGAGGTTCTCTCTGAAGCACTCACCTCCCGTCGACCCCAGAGCCTTGCCGCACGTGTTCAGTCGAATAGGAAATTCCTTCTCCAGACCAAAATGACAAACAAATCCAGACCCGTTGGGACCTACGAGCCCGTTGGAATGGGCTTCATCTATGGCACACACATAGTTGCCACCCGGAAGCGCCTCGCGGGCGGCGGCCACAATCCCATGGATCGGGGCCGCGTCTCCATCCATACTGTAGAATGACTCTATGGATATAAACACGACATTCTCACCCGACGCCACCCCTGTGTTATGATTGCGGATATCTTCCAGACGGGCTCTCAGGGCCTCGCAGTCATTGTGTCGGAATGGTAGACAGGTTGCACGGCCCATGCGCATGCCATCGTGGATGCTGGCGTGCGCCAGCTCGTCGTACACGATGAAGTCACCCGGTTGAGGGATCGCGGACCAGATGGCCACGTTACCGTCAAAGCCAGAGTTGACAAACACCCCTGCCTCGGCGCCATGGAACTTGGCGAGGTCATCTTCAAGATCGATAAGATATTTCCTGGTGCCTTCGAAAGCACGGGCCGAGGTGCTACCAATGGTGAACCCAGGATGTCGTTCTAGCTCCCGCAAAAACGCCGCTGATAACAGCCCCGAACCCGACAGGTTCAACGTGTCATTAGAGCCGAAATCAACGGTGTCAGCAAGAGTCACTGGGACAGGGGGGACGAGGAGCCGGCCATCCCGACGACGTTGGTCCAGGGTGGCTTTCAACTTGTGAGTGAGGATGTTCTGTCCAACATGCATTTCGAAAGTCTTCTTGAAGGCGAAGCAGATTTGATGATCATACAATCGCCCATTTTTCAGCTCGTTATCCAGGGAAAAAGTTCATCAGTTATATGTCCTTCCATTCTACAGTGCTCCAAAGGTCGATGGCGTAATTCCCAATGGCCTTGAGCATTCGGAACTCCAAACAAGAATCTCTTTCTGCGCCACATACCCAATTCGAAGGCCTATCCAGAGGCTCCGCTGTTGTGTCAGAGAAGAGGGGCTCCCTTCCGCCGTCAGATGCTCTCGCGTCCTTCACATGTGCCATTTTGGCAACGAGTGGCGTGGTAACGCAATTCAAAGAATTGGGTCAACGGCATTCCCCGTCGACGGTGGCTCATCTAGAAGGGCGATGAAACGCAAATACCTCGCAATCAGATACATGGAGAGCCTGTTTTATGATATCATCATCTTGGAAAAGCCCGGGGCCCAGTCCAAGTTGCCTGCAAGACGGAACCTCTCTGCCTGACACAGGGGCCTTAGGAAAGGACTCACAGCCTCGGCTGACAGGATCTGTTAAAGTTCTGTCAAGTTCTGATCTAAACCCTATTGCTTTGGCAAGGATCCGTCTTGTCAGGTGGACCCGTCCGGACAAGAGTATCTTGTTCAACAAACCTGATTAAGTCTGGAGCTTACTCTGCGCTGGATCCTCCACGTCATTTACTGCTTGGAATACAGAATGGCAATCCATGGACTGGCCGGATCTTTCCCAAGTATCATTTAGCTTTCTGTGTCGACCAGTGACGGTTGTGTTGAAACTACATCCAGACTATGTGTGTGGCCCAACCTTGATCAGTCATTTTCACGAGATGGCAAATGATACAGGCTTTAGCTTGCATATGGGCGCCGCAAACACAAATCGAGTTTTGAGCCATGTTCATCAGATGACTGGCAGGTGACCGGAAATTTGGATTCATACAGGGTCTGCATCTACGCAGATCTTTCCTGGCAACGGAATGCGCTGAGATCAAGATGATTAGCTGGACGAACGGATGCGAGATTCGAGAAGGTCCAGAAGAGGTCAGAGATTGCATAGTTGTGCAGTGCCCATACACTGATTGCTACTTATAAAGGTACGCTTGTCAGGGTATGCTGACACCCAAATACTTCAATACCAACCATATACCTCATGTTAAAAGACTTTCACCGAGAATGGAGCGGATCATTTACAATCGTGCCCTGGAAGCACCCCTGCAAATGGCTGTCACGGATGGCGCGGCCCATCTGACCTACGCAGGACTGCTCACCGAATCCATCGACCTAGCACACAAGCTCCGATCCAGAAGTGTGTCTGCAGCAGAGCCCGTGGGTATTCTGCTTGGCCCGGGCGTTCGGCAGATTACCGCTCAGCTAGCCGTTCTTTTCGTGGGTGGCACATGCGTGCCTATCGAGCCGACCATTCCAGAACTTCGCCTGCAGGGTTTACTGGAAGAGATCCACGCAAAGTATATCATCACCGGGCAAGAGGATCCGACCGACCTGCCAGGATTTGAAAGTTTTGGCATTGGCTACCCACAGGAACCGCAAAGCAACGGAGTGCCCAATTGGGAGTTTGGTACGACAGCAACCCGGAGCCATATTCTCTTTACCTCTGGCTCCACTGGAAGACCAAAGCCTGTCCAGATTCGAACCGACAGCATCGTGCACCTGGCGACGCAAACTCCCCTTACCCCGCTCACTCGGGGAGATCGAGTTGCCCAGTTCAACAACCCAGGGTTCGACCTGAGTCTGTTTGAGATTTGGGCGACACTGCTCTCGGGGGCCACCATTGTCACCGTTCCTCGGCAGGTCGCCGTGGACCCTAGCTGTTTGTTTTCGTTTCTTAAGGAAAACGAGGTTACTGTGATCATTATGACGGCTGCATTGTGCGAGATCATTGCTTTCGCCTCGCCTGAGACATTCAAAACCCTGCGCCATGTCATCACGGCCGGTGATGTTGCCAATGTGCAAGCCATGAGAAGGATCCTTGATAACGGTCCCCCGAATCATCTGTGGAACGTATACGGTCCAACCGAGTGCACCACCTTTGTGACCGCGATGGAAGTCTTACCTGAAGAGGCACAGCGGGATCGTATTAGCATTGGACGTCCCGTGGGCGAATCGAGGATCTACCTGCTGGACGAGAATCAGGTTCCTATTCAGCAGAGCGGTCAGCGCGGAGAGATCTACATCGCGGGACCAGGGCTGGCTATGGGCTATCTGGACCGATCATCCGAGAACAAGAAATGTTTCATCCAGATACCCAGAGAGGGACCGCGTGCCAGTCAGGACGAGATCGTACGTCTGTATCGAACGGGCGATCTGGCCGAGTGGCGGCACAACAGCGATTGCCTGGACTTCTTTGGCCGAGCAGACGACCAGGTCAAGCACCAGGGTTTTCGCGTGGAGCTAGGTGAGATCGATCGCGTTTTACGATCTCATGTGGCGGTCCAGGCCGCGGTGGTGGCCCAGCAGCCGCCGTCTGCGAACAGAATGGACTCGTTGGTGGCGTTTGTCATTGTCGGCCAGGCAGAAGAGGTGAATGCAGAGAGTCTGGTTGAATTCGCACGACAGCATCTGCCGTCGTACATGGTGCCGGATACGGTGGAGATGGTGAACGAGTTCCCTCTGACGGCTCACGGTAAGGTCGATCGTCAGGAGTTATTACAGCAGTGGACCACTTCTAGCCAGGAGCCCGAAGAAAGTGCCAGTGAGGCCGGTGAGAAGAAAGATGTTCTCCGCACTCTTTGGAGCGATCTTCTCCACGTCCCACGAATCAATGATGACGACGACTTCTTTAGACTGGGGGCCAACTCCCTTCAGGCGGCCTCGCTCTTGGCAATGGTCCAGGAACGCATGAGCCGGACAATTACCATGGAGGAACTGTACCGGCATTCCCAGTTCTCTGATCTGCAAGCCCTTCTGGAACCCGAAGAGCCCGTCTTTCGTGACAACGCTCCTGATGACACGCGAGCATGGATGAAAGACGTAGATCTAGTGGACAGGATTGAAATGGTGCCGGAATGGGAAGCTCCTGGCGAAGGTCGAGTGTTCGTCACCGGTGTGACAGGTTTCGTGGGCCCTCATCTTCTCCACAGCCTGATGCACCGGCCTGGTGTCAAACAGATTGCCTGTCTCGTGCGGCCGAGAGGGAACGAAGCTGCTGCGGGACGGGTGAAATCCGCCATGCAGCGATACGATCTGTGGAAGGAGTGCAAAGCGCACAAGTCCAAGCTGCTGATCTTTGAGGGCAACCTCTCCGAAGACCACCTCGGCTTGGACCTGGAGCTTTTCACCTGGCTCTCCAACTGGGCTTCGGTCGTGTTTCATCTCGGGGCGAAGATCAACTACTGCGAGTCCTACCGCGAGCACCGCGATGCCAACGTCCTCGGGACCCGGAATGCATTGCAACTCGCCGCAAGAGGTCGCCACAAGTCCTTCCATTACCTTTCTAGCATCGACACCTGGGGTCCGACAGGCTTCATCCTCGGCACGCAAGAACTGCATGAAGATGAGCCCCTGCAACCTCATATACAAGGCCTGCGCTACGATATCGGGTACGCGCAAAGCCAATGGACCGCCGAAGCGATGGTACGACGGATGCGTGACCGGGGCCTGCCCACAGCCATATACCGCCCGGGATTCACCATCGGACACAGCCAGACAGGGGCCAGCAATCCGGACGACTTTGTCACGCGGCTTATCGTGGGAAGCATTCAGCTGGGTCTCTTCCCTCGCCTTGATCAGCGACTTGAATACGTCCCTGTTGACTACGTTATCTCCGCAATGCTGCACATCGCCTCGTCCAACGCCAACCTGAATCACTCATACAGTCTCGTCGCGCCGGACCGGAACGACTCGGTCACCGTCACCGACACAGCCCGCGTGCTCAATGAAGCCGGATTTCCTGTCACGGTCGTCGACTATCCAGAGTGGGTGGCCCATGCGGCGAGACGGCAACGGCCGGATGGACCACTAGCGCCGCTGCTCCCGATGCTTCAGGAACGTGTTTTGGGACAGCTGACACGCTGGGAGGCGAGTCAGTACTCCCCGGTATATCGGTGTGATAAGGCTGTTCAGGCGTTGAGAGGGAGTGGGATTACGTATAGAGGGCTTGATGCGGAAATGTTGAGGGGGTTTGTGGCGTTTTGGAAAAGGAAGGGTTTTTATGATTTGCGTGCCGTGGGAGTAGTATATTCTCAGTTTCATTGGTCGGTGGATTGGAATTGTGACATTCTTTCACATGGCCAATCATCTGTCAACCACACCCCTTGAGATCATTGACATATCATACCTTCTCAGAAATCCACTCATTCCAACACATTCCATTCCACACCAACTGTCCCCACCACTTTAGCAAACGTCACAATCCTGTCAACTTGCCCCTTGCTCATATGGCCCAGTCCAACCTTATTGTGGAATGTTAGTTATTCTCGGTAGAGAATTTATTGTGTTGCAATTCACCCTAATTTCAGTGTCTAGCCTAATTTTCCCAACCTCCTCCTCAACATCACCCCTGCTCTCCTCTCCCCTCTAACTTCATTTTCCAATCCGATATCTTCTTCCCACAGACGCCGACGTCACCCAACTCAAATACAACCCCGACCCCTTTAATTCAGAAACAGAAAATAAAGGGAAAGTATGATCTTAAGACTTGTTGCACTCGAAACTCCCCACGAAGAAATCGCGCGAGAACCGATGTTCGCCTTCCTTGAGACTGTAGTCATCTCCTCCGCAGTTTCTTTCGCTGTTCGTGTGAAATTCGGATTTGGGTTGTTCGTTAGTCATGATAACATGTAATTCGCCTTCGAAGAAGGGAAGGGAAGGGAAGGGAAGGGAAAGAGGAAAAAAAGGACATACGTCCAGAAAGTACATGTCGGGTCCTGCAGGGTTCCTGGGATGATGGTGATTTCGGAGACTGGCACTTTGCTGCATGGTTGGATTTTGGTTAGATTATTATGATCTTCGATCGGTATTGGGGTGGGATTTTTTTTTGTTCAAGTTTTGTAAGAGATGGCATAGGTAGGTAGGTAGGTACTCACTTGTAAGGGAAGAATGCGCAGTCACCCTCGACGACGCCGAAGATGGGGTTCTGGGTTCCGACGCGGAAGGAGACGGTGGTTGACTGGTTTATTTTTTTGGTGGGTTAGTGTTTCTCTCTTTTCTTTTTCTGGTCTCCGGATGCACTTGGTGCGTGGGGTTGAGAAAAAGGGAATGACACAGGACATACACCAGGTGCATCTTGAGCGAAAGCCACCGAAGAGGCAACGAGGAGGGCGAGAGCTTTGAACTGCATTTTGACTTGTTTGAGTCTGGGGTTTGAGTTTCAGTAGTTAATTCTTGGTTTGGTGGAGAATAGTACAAGGAAGAAGATATGAGCAGCAGACACAGCTCTTTAAATAAACCACCCCAGCTACACCCCCGAGTCGGTGTGAAGAACCTGAAAGGCAAAGCCAAGCGCGGCTGGCTGAGCAATCCAGCCCAGTCCGCATGAACTATGAGGCTGGTGCATTGCATCTGCAGCCCCTTGCACATATCACGGTCTCAGCCGCCATTGAGAATGTTGAGGGAATTTCTTTCCGGGGGCTGAACGTGTAGTTTGTTAGCCCCGGTTCAATCTGGGCCGGATTAAGGTAGGATCTACAGAAAATTAAAACCTAGTTAATTCGGAGTAGCTGTGGGGAGACCTTCATATGGTTGTCGTGGTTTACTAGATTGTGTTGGAATTGAGACCTACTGAAACATGTATCACGATTGTGCGGTGAGTTGGCGATCTCGCTTATTGTGATGTCTAGGGACCTAAAGATAGTCAGGTAGAATGACTACAAGAGATTTTCACTATTTACCTTGACTATTTCGCTGTCTCGAGTAGTTTCCCCGTTGTGGAGTTGTGATTGGGTGCTTTCATCTGAGACCGAAAGAAGGGATAGTGCGAGACTGAAAAGGCACTATACAGGGAAAAGTACACCGGCCTATAATTCTCCTCTAGGATCATAGCAAGGATAGGCGCAGTCTATCGTCCTAAGTGAGAAATAAAGAGCTTTACCTTGAGGGATTGATTAAGGTAAGCTATTGGTTTAAGAGAGAGAGTATCTGACTATAGATTTCAAGGGCGTGATTTCAAGAACTATGCCATCATGTCTAGTGCGGTAGGTTAGCTTTGATTCAGGCATCCAAAAGAATTTGTCAATCGGGCAGAGTACCCTCGACCTTAAAAAGTAGTCAATACAGATGACTTGCGTTGAAAACTGATCAAGCATGAATAAACGAAGGAGACTTGGAGATGATCAGTCGGAAATATATATCGTAGGGTGATGTTGATGAAATAATTCAACGTAGAAGTTCTAGGCGCCAAATGGGCATCGGAATAGCGAAGAGAGACCAGATGATCTATATATCCGAAAACTATATTAATTGAATGATCTGTCACAGGAAAGACTGGTCTTCTCTGAGCTGCGCACAGAAAGGGCCATGGGTGAAATGCTTGGCATTCATGCCTGAGGCAGCAGATATCTATAGAATGCAAGGCATGATAACCAATCTTATTTAAAAGGTACTAGTAGAAGTCCAATATTGATAGACAAGCAAATGCCTTCTACATTTGCGCGTTTTGAGATCTCACATGTAAACCGACATGTGCGGATATTGTGATTTAGACAATGATTGATATAGATAGCTGCACTGGTGCATCACGACAGCATTGTATAATGTGAAACAGTTATTATAAGAGTGCCCCCTTTACAAAAGAACTGTAAAAGATTTCAAGCAATATCAGGGTGCTGGGTCACTGCAAAAGAGGAATACTCAACTCGTTATAAAGCAAGCAGTTACTAGCGTGAAATTAAGCGATGATTTGGTATCAATATGTGCAAATTGATGACGTAGAGGTATCTGGTGGGTTTTGCATGTTTTATCTTTGGACGATTTAAAAATACATATTTAAAGGGTCAAGTGATATCACTAATAACAGTTATTGGGGTGTGCTCGTAGAAAAATAAACACGAATCCCTAACAACGCGCATGGAACAATCTTCAATCTCAATATATGTTCAGTGCGAAATTGTGAAATATCCAGCCCATGCCTCTACGACACCACATGTGACCCATTAGAACAGAATAGACCTACTAGTCAAATACAAACTTGTTATTGTGGTCGCCTCTTTTTTCCTCTTTTCTCCCTCCACCTCCACCACCACCCCCTCTACCACGGTTGATATCAACACCCAATCAATCCATCCACTCAAGCGGATACATCCCATACCATGAGCTCTCTAATCTCACACAGCACACACGGCGAATGGGTTGAGCGAGAGGTAAACCATCCTTTCCCAAACACCCTCGTTAAGAGATGATCAGACCCACTAAATCATCTAGTACGTACTCGACATCTCCAACTGGCAGAGGGAACTGCACGAGCTCATATCCACCTACATCATCGCCTGCCGACAGAGGAACAACGGAAGTGCCATTCAACGCGGCCGCAGCATCATAATCGAGACTAGCGTTGACGACGGAGAAGGGCAACACTATGAAGGGCCTGTAATCAAGGTTCCTGTATATATCCCCCCTTCCCCTCCCACAACCACACAACTAGAACTGACGGGGTTGAACTCATGCTGACGAACGAGAAAGATGACCAGTGTCTGTGCTGAGTGCTTCCGCTGCTGTAGACGATACATGGTCGAGCCTTTGGTGCCGTTCTTCGAGAGACATTTTTCCAGTAGCCAGGTGCTCGTCATCACGATTCTTTATGGAGTGGAGGATGAGGTAGATTGCTCTCATAGGGGATGTGAATGTGTGCCTGTTTGCTGACTGTCGAAAAAGAAGCTTCCGTACCAGTCAGATGTCGAGGACGAGTTGGATGTGATGTGGGCAGCGAATTTGGAGTCGGTGCAGCTTGATGCGCATACTGATGACGGCAATGACGGGGACGACGATACCGAGGCGGATACTGATATTGAATGAGCGTATGGACGTGGAGGATAAAGACTGCGGCGAAAAATAACACAGTTTTGGAATGATGCATGTGCTGGTGATGATTCTGATTAACGGGGTGGCGAAAGGTTCTGTAGTTAGTTGACCGTTGTCTATTTTGGAGATGAAATCTGGAATGATCTTTTATCTATCTGTAATATCCTACATCGTGGCATGGTTTCTTTCATTAAACTAAGGCTGTACATGATCGCGTCTTGACTTTCTGTTTCGATTTCCTCTGTATTACTCCGTTATTGAGTTTCTTGTCTAAGAAAGTTCGGAGATCACCGGGGATTAGATAACTCCAATTGAAGATAAGATAGGAAATCAGATCTAGCACTTGGCATGACAGTCACCTGAATCCCCACAGTAATTCATCGGAGGAATCCGACAACTAGCGGAGAATGCCCACCCTAGGGCGCGATGGCGTTACGGCACGTTCCAGGCAGACGCGACGGCCAAGACTCCCTGCCTGAATTCACATTCTATATAGATGATCGTCTCGAACAGGCAAAGAATAAACAAATCACTGTCAACCTCTCCACTCCCAAACTCACAACCAACATCTACCACAATGAGAACCATCCGAGCCGGTGTTCTCCAATCGATCAAGGTCATTTCCGACGATGAATTCATCATCAAGGATACGATCTACGGCACCCATCGCATCACCGAACCCGTGCTGATCGAGCTGCTCGACTGTCCCGCGCTCGCGCGTCTACGAGGAGTCTGTCAACACGGTATAACCAGCCTTCTCGGCTACGGCCCTCAAATTACCCGCTACGAGCACTCAGTCGGGGCATTCTTGCTTGTCCGCAAAGTTGGAGGCAGCCTGGAGGAGCAGATCGCCGCCCTCCTCCATGACGTCAGTCACACCGCGCTCAGCCATGTCGCCGACTGGGCGCTGTCGCAGCCCGGCGAGAGTTACCACGAAACCAACAAAATGGAATACATCGCGACCACGACGCTCCCTCAGATCTTGACAGAGCACGGTATCGATCACAAGGTCTTCGACGAGGACTTGTATCCCCTTGTGGAACGCCCGGCGCCGCATCTCTGTGCCGACCGCTTGGACTATACGCTGCGCGATAGTCGAGTTCTCCAGGATCTTACACATGAAAAGGCGATGCAGGTGTATGCGACGGTGACGGCGTATCCGGACGCGACGTCCCCAGATCGGATTCTGACTCTTGCCGACCCCCAGCTAGCTCTGGATCTGGCGCGAGCGTACATCGCCACAGACCAAGACGTGTGGTGCAACCCGGTTCACCTAGACATGTATCGACGAGTGGGCCAAGTGATCGGGGATCTAGTTAGTCGGAAGATTCTCGATCGAGATCTCCTCTACAAGTATCCGGACGTAGAGTTCTGGAGATATCTGGCAGCGACGGCGGAGAAGGCCGGGTCGACGGTGATTGCAGATATCGAAGCGGAGGCGAGAGCCTACATAGGCCAGAACCCAGACCTTACGCCTCCTCGATCGGAAACGCTGTTACTTCCCACGGGAGCCAAGGTGCGAACCATTGACCCGGATGTTGTTTTGGAAGGACAGGCTCCACAGCCGCTGAGTGTAATTATTCCCCAGTGGGGCTTTGAGCGCAGAAAGTATATCGAACGTCGTGAGGCGCAGCGCGAGAAACCTAGCACGAGAGGCCCAGCCCGATATTGAGGACGAGACATCGAGGGAGCTGGATAGCATGACTTGCATCGCAGCATGGAGAAGAACTGTGCTGCGGGACCTTCTCAGCATTTCTTTATCAACTCTTATGATGTATCTTATCCCGGTTTCGTCTGCCCTCTTCAAAAGTCTGTCAATTAGAACATTGAATGGTATCAATAGATCGCATCTCCGTACAGCAATTATGCACAGATAAATAGTTATGTAGTGAGATGACTCAGCAACATAAAGTAATACTGCACGTGCTCAGGCAGCCAGGCACGCCGCAGGGCCCAAAGCAGCGAAGTGCATGGGACCATCTGCATCCTTTCTTCTTCTCGTCGCCCTTCTTTCCCTTTCCCTCCATCCTGATACGCCGTTCGGAAATGAGGCGATGAGTTGGCGTCTGGCCACATCTGAACATACCGCATCATTGTTTGGGCTCCCCCGCAGTGGAGCTGATGGGTGCCTGACCGCCAAGTGGGTTGCCTGGTCTCTGACAGCTGGTCTGCTTGTCACTTTCTGGCGCCGGGCTCCGATTCCGATCCTCCCACCCACCCTGCGTATCACCTCACCTGTTGTATGACGGCCGTCTTTTCTTCTCTGTCCTCCCTCGCGGGTTTCAATGCAAAGACCGCTTCAAATGACTGCGCCGCGGCTCCAATTCCTACCCGGCCATGTCCTCCGCCCATTATGAGGGCGATTTCTGGGGAATGCTGATCAACCCCGATAAGAGCCCCGCTCCGTTACTCGAACAGCTGTGCCTGGCCATTGCCCAGATTATGGTAAGTCGCGGATCGAGCTAATTGTGGGTTGACGGAGACGTGGAATTGAAACGTGGAATGCTGATCTCCGCAGACGTCTTTTGACGAATATGCCACGTCCGACCTGACTCCCGAACGACTGGCCGCTTTCTACGGCAAAGTCGGCGGGAACTACGACGTCTTGTTCCTCGATACCAAACCCTCCGCCTTGTCTTTTATCTACCAGCGTCTAGGTTGCTTCCACAGCATTCAGCCCTCTACCGACCCGTACAAACCTCCCTCCGTGCCTGCACTACAACCAAACGGATTCGTGCGATGGCAGACAATTCAGTTGCTCCTGGACCCGGACGAGCATTCCCGATACTTACAGAATGCGGTGGCACTGTGGGATATTGAGAACCCCAATGGCGGGTATTTCCCCAAGGATATACCCCGAGACGCCTTTCCGGCCGAGTCCGACCCGGAGATGGTGAACTGGCACGAGGAAGTGAGTCGGCGCTTCGAGTTTGATTACTGGAAGAAGAACATCTTCCGCTCGTCCCCGCCCAGCTTTGGCACGTATCATTCTCACTTCAGCCAGAAGGATGCCGCGAGCAAGGACAGTTACAGCCAGGATAATCAGGAACGTCAGAGCCATCGACAACCCACCACATCGCATCGTCGACACGCCACCACCACCAACATCCCACCTATCAATCGCCCTCAGCGACGCCGCAGCACCGAGATGCCGTCTGGGGGTCGACGGGTCCATTCCACATTTGTGCGACGTCCGGAAGAGTTCCAGCCGGAGTACACCTCCCCTCGCGCACCGTCCCCGCCCACGTGGCCCAAGCCGTCCCGGCGGGGTCGCGAGCGTGCGTCGTCACGTCCAGTCAGTCCAGGAACCGTGTTTGGGAACGACACGTCGGATGCGTCCTCGGAGGACTCGGGTTTGGGGGTTAAAGATCCACGGGTGAATCGGTATAGCTACCACGACAACCTATCGCCACCGACGTCTCATGCTAGGCGTCATTCACACGAAGCATATGCCCGCCGGCCTAGACAGGAATTGTCACCGGATGCCCATCGCTGTCATGGGCCGCGAGAATCATACGCCAGTCCCGACTCGGGGCGTCTGTATGATTCCGACGGTGCACGTCGAGTGCGGTCTGCCAGAGTATACCCGGAAGAGTATCATGCTCCTCACTCGGGGAGCCCGGGAGTGTTCCGCGAGCATGTCTTCGCCGAGGCGGCTCGGGCCTCTCCCGGGCCCGACATGCCGGTTCACCCGCATGCGCATCACCGCCACGTCAGCACGAACTATCCGTACGTGATGCGTCCGCATGCAGATCTCGACACATGTGTGATGGAAGAACCCCGCCGTGCCAGCTACAGAGGCACCCCTCACCCGGCTAGCCCTCCCGAGCGCATGCGGTTCGCTAGCACCGGTAACGCGCGGGGGCCTCGATGGGCGGTACCTACTGTGACTAAGCGGATGCCAGTGATGGCTGACATGGAGTATGCGCGGGGGAGACGGACGCCGATGTATGAGCGGTGACCGACAGATTACGGCTTTTGATATATTTGCAAGATGAGGATATGAATGATGTATGAACTCTACTCTGGTATGTTCGGGTTTACTGGTTATGGTTATGGGTATGGTCATGAACATGTTGGGTTACGACTACGATTACGTTATAATGAATTATGATTAGACGGACAGTTTTGCACGTGTACATGCAAGCTTTATTAGAAGTAGGATAAACATTAACCAGCGAGACTATTCAATTATTACACATCTCTTGATACCGGCAGTATGTTCACGATCCCCCCCTTCCCACTATTCGTTCACAATCTTGACCTCTTCTACTGTCATAATACATAAGACCGATAAGTACTCAAATGACTGTATAGAAAAAAGATAACCGATCACTGGATTGTATTTGCGAGCTAAGCCACTCGCCCTCAATACACTTTGAGTCCCGGTTCGTCTTGGCGTTCTGGTGCCTCAGGCATAATAGCCAAGACTTCCGCCCTAGCCCTGATGTCCTTTTATGTATGCAAGTTGCAACACCATTGAAGACATCTTTCTTGCTATCTCGGCGAATTCATACAGCCAATTCATGTGGTTGACTTCTTGTTCTATTAAGTTGGCTTTTATGATCATGCTGTAGGATACCTCGAACGCAGGAGGTCTAGGATTTCAATCCAATGGAAGGTAGTATGTCCGGACGCAATCTAGCAAGAGAACAATGTAGTCCATGAGACGAGGGTGCGGCGGAGAACAAACAAAGGAAACAGTCTTATATTGTAATTAGGAACGCTTGGAAGAATAAAAGATCCTTGAGGGTCTTCATCATGAAATGGTCATAGACGGCAGGGTCTCACGGTTTGCAATCGTAGTTCTCCAGGCTATACGCCGAGGTCTGCCAGTCATTATGGAGTGTCTATGTATCATATGGGTAAGTTAATCTAGTAAATTGGTAGGACGCTGAGTTTTAAGGTGCACATGACAAGAATCTACGGTGCCTCTATCTATGAGGAGTGTAGGAGCACGGTAAGCCACGGTTTCGAATGTTGTAAATGATTTTCTTTTTTGCTTCATTATTTTCTTGTATCTTCCTTCTGCCACGTTGACTGCTTGCACTACTAGCGCACTTTGAAATGTTGGCGTGCCTAGGGCCTTCTCCAAGCACACGGAATGAAATGCCCATCCCTTTGACGATGAAACATCACGCCACATAGCCTAGATATAGATCCCATAATTAGTTCTGCCTGTACTACTGACCGAAATACAAAGGCCGAGAGCATACCGAACGTCGTTAGCATTAGGTTCATAGCTCACAACCACCCGTTGCACACCAGGCGTGCCCCCGTTATAGGGGTTCGAGCTACGCACGAGCGGAAACTCCTCTAGGCCCACACCGACACAGTCACGGGAGAGAGGAATAGCTGGCTGGTTGCCGTTGAGGTTTCCGAAGTAATGCGGATAGTTTCTAGGGTCATTTCCTGGGTACGGGCCTATTGCAATTTTCATTAGGTCCCGTTAATCTTGGCTATACACACAAAGAGGGGGTTGTGCTGGTGGGGAGGGTCACTTACCAACTTTCCTTCCTGCATTGTGAAGTACCCGAGCCTGGTTGGCAGCGGCAAGAATATGTGCACTGTCGAAGTTTTCGCTGGCTTTTTATGGTGTCTATGGTTAGTGGATCATGGTATACGTAAGGCTTTGGTGGAGGGTTGGTGCGAGTTGAAGAGCAGACGTACCACATCCAACGGAGTTCTGGACCAAATTTCCGTTGATCACAATAGCTCCACCTAGGCCTGCCGAGATGGCAGCACTGAAGAGAGCAGAGAGCTTCATCAAGGGCAATGTATAAATCGACGTGTGGAGAGTTTAGCTATGAGAAGGGTTCGTACAAGTTGACCGGTAGACAGAGGCTGTTCACTGCCGTTCTTATAGGATTTTCTCAGCTGACTGGTGAATGCCTTCGTCGGGTAATTTCTTGGTTCATTTTTCTTTTCTCCGGCGAGATCTATGCATATGCGAGAGTTTCAACGGCCTAGTAGACAAATTATTGAATGGAATGCCGAGGTGGCATGTAGCACAGTTCCCACATTCTCTATGGCTTGATATGCGGAACGGATAGCAAGGAAGGTAAGCTTGGAGCTCTAGCGACATGCTAAGTACTGGGTGTTACTCATGAAGGGATACTGACATTGTGAAATGGTAGTTAGTTGAACAGACGGGCGCCTTGCATGAAGGGCATGAATCTCACTGCGTATGTGATTAAAACAAACCCCTTGCAGTTTTACGTAGAGCCTGGAGTGATATCCCCCATTAGATCTTCTGGCAAACTGGGCCCAATGACCTATTGGCATGTATATCACAAAGATTGGTTGGCTACACATGCAACCAACCGGCGCAGCATTCCTAAAGAGACCCGAAAATGCCTGTCCCACGGATATCCCCGGAGCCCACATATGAGCTACATGTAACTACCGAACACGGCAGGTCAAACTAGCCTGTCTGAGTATCAGTCGCATTTAGTCCAACCCCTGTCTTCTCGCCATCGTGACATCGCATCCACATTCCCACCTTCTTAGCATACTTCTGGCTCTGGGCTACGGTCAGTGGTTGGGTAACTCAGAATACATACCTCGCTACTGGCACCTGCCCTTCGCCCCCTCTGCTTGACAGCAGATCAAGAATCCTCCGGTGTTGACATTCGGGACGTCGCAATACGAGGTCTTCCATTGGCCCTGCCACTTCGTACAGCAGGAACGAGAGGCTACTTGATTATTGCAGCCGCAGTTCCGTGCCGCTGCTATTCCCAGGATGGTAAAAGGCAGGTAAGTGGGTATATAGGGATGATAGATAGTAGGCAATGTTGGATTATGGTTGAAATCATGGAAGTTGAACGGCTTCGTTGCTGCTGTAGTCGTGACTGCTTTTATACCCTTACCCTCTTGCTGCAGGAGCTGGATCATATTGCCATCCGGTCGTTCTCGGAATTGGCATCCCGCAAAAAATGCTACGATGCGGGGCTGGGGTCGATAGGTACTCTACTGTGAGATGACATGTATGACTTGCGGACGAACCATCCCTGTTGACGGTCAAATGCAAGATTGCATAGATGACGCATGCAGTAAACGTTTAGCAGAGAGTGTCAGCATCATCGCATGCGCTTGCTCTAGCACCGTGGATACGGTAACATAGATTTTCTAGTACCGCAAGACGAACGGCTGCACCGAATGCGGAATTGAAGTTGTAGCGTATAGATGGCTCATCACGAGCTTGTCAGACTCTGCTGGACAGTGAGGACGCCGTGCCGACTGAGACATTATAACCGAGAACGGCCTCGTTACCTCAGGCCATGGACGGCCGATAGGTGTTCCCAGAAGCCGCTTGGGGATTTGAGGTAGGATGTGCTTGAATGATGGCGTTGTGCCTCCCTCCAAAGATCAAAGACTCTCGGAGAGTTGGCAGCACAGAGTGCTTTCCCGGCTAGCTTCGCTGTCAAACTCGGTGGGCCAGAAATGACTTGGGGTTGATTAAATGCGCTAGAATGGATCTATGATCAATCCACCTGTCTGCACGTTACATGGGCGTGCTCTATATTGCCCCACCAACTTTTGACTGTCGATACCTACGGACCCCGGCGTAGTATATCCTGTTGCTGGTCTATATAGTATAGGTGTTCTTCTATAATTGTGCCGCCAGCGTCGCCGTGGGCTCCATTCACACAAACCCCAGTCCATCAGATCCCAGACCTTGCCCTCGCAGTCCAAAATGGCTGACACGACTCTCCTCCATATGGCAAACGCCGGAGCCGGCGAGGCGATGATCCTTGAGTACGGCCCAGCTGCTCAACGAAAGTTCATTATCGTCGACGGCGGCCCAGCAAATTGGGACGGCTCGCTGTATCAGGACATAGCCTACTTCAAATATTTTTTCTCGGCGGCCAAGAAGATATGGGGTGACGGCGGGCGCACAGAGCCGTTCAATCCGTCGGCAATTATAAGTTCATGCCTGAATGAAGATCACTACAGGGGACTGGTGTCGTATCTGAAGTCAGCGAGTTCGAAGAACGGAAGCTTTCGGGGCCCGATTGTGGTTCTGAGCACTCAGTCACTGGGTCTCGCGGAGTTTAAGGCGGTCCTAGGGAAAGGTCAGCTGAAATGGACCTCCCAGCCAGGGTTCCCATCAGACGCTCTGTCAGGTCTGATCTGTGACGCTCCGGATAGCGAGTCGATCAAAACCTACAAAGCCAGCGCCTCAGACAACAATCAAGGCGGAGCCATCACCCAATTGCCCGCGAATGATGCCAAATATGAGGTTCTGAACAGCGAGGGTGGTATCCTGATGCATACCGACCCAGGGAGTCCACGAAAGGGGCATATCTTTTTCACTGGCGACGACGCGGGCTGGAAAATAGGCCCTAGTGTTGCCGAGAAACAGTACTCGATATACAAAATCCAGGACCACGGTAGATGGCAGAACGGGCGGCTCGCAAAAGAAACTCGGATTGTTTCTGATGGCGTCAAGCGCGAAACTGCCCTTCGCAGTCTCTTTGCAGCCAATATTCGAGGCTACGTAGGCTTCCAAGACAGTTCCCTCCTGAAGACTCGAGCGAGAGTGCTATTCAACCACATTTGCAGCGCCGAACAGCTCACAGCGGAATCAGCCGCTGCGTATCTCACGAGTTTGGATACACGGCACCAGGCCTACCTCACGGCCTGTGCATCCAACCTCGATGACGGCAATGGGAACTTTGCTATCGAGCTGATCGAGACACATGGCGGGACTGCCCTCACCCCCGTGCCCTCCGAAGTCATGCTTCGCGCCGAAGGATGGGTGCACTCGCTGCAGCCCTCGGAGCCGGAATTTCCGCTATTCTACTCCATGCAGGAGTCAAAAGTTGCACCCGCCGAGGAGTGGATAAAGTGGATCTCAAGTGACTCTTGGAGCTCGAGGTACCTGAGCATACTGAGTATTCACTCTATCTGTGACTTTTTCCAATCCTTTTCGGCTAACGCGTATGCCGTGAGTGGTAATTGGAAAGGTCGCCATGAGTTAGCAGCCACGATAGTGGGCCTGGGTCTTGCGATGCACAACAAGAAACGCACGGCTATCTTGTACCTGACTGATCCAAGTGCCTTGGCAGTGTCTGTTATAGCCTTCTATTGTTCCGTGCTGGGGAAGGATATTACAACGTTCTTCACGCCGACCTCCTTAAGTATTAGGTTCTTGAGTCAGGGTTTCTACCTAACGCTTAATGGCGACGAAAGCCCCCCAGCAAACGGCCGAGATGTGAACCAACGGTCTGCAGAGCTGCGCCTTGGAACGTCCAATATGGTGACCGATGCTGAGGTTAAGACCCAGCTGGAATCGGATGCGTCGAAACTGGCAGACCGATTCAAGGCCTCCGACGGCGGATATCAAGTCTCGTCGATGAATGTTGGTACTACCTCGTATCTTTGCCTAACGGCACCAAACAAGCCTGGAATACAGACCAGTAAGCCACTGCCTCTGGCTGTGATTGAGAGCTGGTCATCGGCAGCAGACGCGCTCGACTCTGTCCAGTGTATCCAAGCGACAGCGACTGGCACCTTGAACGGCTCAGTGATGAAGCTGGGAAAGCCATCGGGAGCGAATTCGTGGCCATTGACCTGGGTAAATCAGGCCAATGGGGATAAAAGAACCTTTTACGTCAATAATACCACTGGCGTAGTCACGGAAGGTAGTGTACAGACTCCACCGGCGACAGGTAGCTCGGTAGCCTTGTTCAAGTTTGAGACCATGGCAGCTAGCAAAGTCGCCCGAGCGCCATTATTGTCGCTTCCACCTCATACAGACGATAGATTGGCCATTTCGCCCTCACTGCGCAAGTTTTGCGAGGCTGCGGGTATAGAGGTTTCTGCGAGCTTTTCTGGTACAGATGCCCTTGCCGCGTTAGTTGGCAAAGACCATCTCACCTCGCTGGGCTTCACACTGAATATGGAGGAGGCCGCATTATCCTTTGCTGTGAATTTGGATTCCTCCACCGTTGACTTTGTTGATAGCGGTGTCTCTTTCACTGTTCATGCAGCGAGGATCCACTTCGTGCTCTCAGATAGCTCGACTATCTCCTTTGGCTCAACAAAACTTCGCGTTATATCTCAAGTGATTGAGTTAACGTGGGACACGAATTTGGCACTTTCCACCACGTTATACGTTAACTTCAAGGGAGGTATGAGTATTAAGGATCCGAAATCCGTGGAAAACGCGACGCGCACGACACCCCTTCGGAAATGCCTTTTGGGCATGGGCATGAGTGCCGATGCATTGGCGACCATCAAGATACCAAAGTTGCTTAGCTTCTTGAGCGACCGACCAGCAAGCGTTATCGAGATGCTGGAGGAGCAGCTGCCGGCAGTCCTGGTAAAGAGCGGGATTGGAGCCCTGAAGCCCGACTTGAAAAACTCAGTCGTACAGGCTTCGCACACACCAACCAAACAGGCTTATATCAGTAACGCGAAGATTGCTTGTGACTTGGGCTCAGCTCCATCCTGGAACAAGAAGATCACACTGATGGGCAAAGAGCTCACGATTAAGGACATGAAAGTTGTGATCGAAAATGCAGCCACCTCTGCGCAGCGAATTTCTTTCGTCGGCTCCGCTTCAACGCAGGCTATTTCTGGTTTAGATATCACCATGAAATGGTCTAGCGTACTTGATTCCAACCACGTGAGGGAATGGTTCTTCACCTTGAATAACATGTCCATCGCTGCCCTCTCGCAGCTCCTGCCAGACACGGCCGACCTCCCCCAGCTCACAATCCCCATTGCCGAGTCACCACTGAGCAGCCTCGTACCATCGGTGGTAGGATTCTCACTGAGGCAACCAGTGGCCAGCGTATCCGATTACCATCTGGCCAATCTCTCAATAGCGGTGACTATTGCAGAATCAAGCTGGAAGAAGATGCTACCATCGTCTTTCCCAGTACAAAAGATTGGACCGCCTACGATTCGCGTCAACGTGCATAATCCGGGGAGCAAGAATCTTCGGCAGGTAGGGGTTGACGTGGAAGTGACACTAAGAAGTGCTATTGCGTTGCAAATCCAGTTCGGGGCCGAGCCCTTAGTGGGCAACCAACATGAGTTCCGAATGAGAGTGACTGGCCCTCCTGAAGGGGTGAGCTTAGCCCAAATCGCCAGTGAGATCGGGCTGGGTAATGACCTCTCGACGAAGATTTCTTCGGCGATCCCCATTGTCGGGGACTTTCTGTCCAGAGCTCATGTCGTTGTTCTTTGTCCGACGCTCACGCTTCAGGGCTCCACCGCGACATTTGGGGATTGGCGTCTCATTTTAACGCTGGAGACCTGGCCCATCACCGATGCGATCGTGCTGCACAGGACGCACTTGACGTTGGAATCTATCAGTGGTATGATTTCAGCGAAGGGTACGGCCTCGTTGTTGGTCGGCAACAAAGAGGTAGACGTGGCGGCCAAAACGCCCCAGGCGAACCTGCCAGGTGAGGTGCGCGTCACCGCACCAAAAGGCATCTCAGCAGCGGATTTGTTGAGGACGTTACGTTTGCCAGACCTAAGCGACATCCCAGAGGTCGGCTCCCTGCTGAGCGTGCAACTTGATTCGGCATCTTGCACGGTAGATTATACAAAGACCGAGCCCCGTAAGCTGGTATGCGTGGGTGCGAGTTTAACCTGTTCAGGTGAAAGGGTTTCCATCGGGCCTTTGGTCCTTGTCGGAGTGAAAGCTACCTTCCAGTATCATGGACAAGACGATCCCCTCGGTCCCGGAAAAGCGCAGAAGACCTTCCACCTCAGCGCCACACTCGAGGACAACAGTTTCCAAGTCGACGCCTCTTATGATGATGCGAAGCCGGGATCAATTCAGCTGCGTTTTACTAGGAAGTCGAAGGTCACGTTAAATCAGACACTGACGAAACTGCTGCCCAATGATATCACGAACGTTATTGCACCAGTGGTAGGCACGCTAGCAGTCGATCATGTGGAAGTTTCTTTTGACCCCAAGACGAAACGTTTTACGTCATTCGAGGTTGCTTTAAGTGACCTTGAACCCTTGGCAGTGGACAAAGTTACCTTAACATCCCTGAGGGTTGTCTACAAGGCGGCAGTGGTGGCAAAAGGAAATGACAAAGGATCACCGACGTCCCTGAAGGTAAACGGATCGGTGAAAAAGGAGGCCATTGGTGCGACCTTCGAGATTAGTTGCTTGCCAAGCTCCAAGGTCCCGTCGGAAGTCGACTTCTCGATCCTGCCCACAAAGCCAGACAGTCTTTCTCTCGCGAACTTCATCACGCTCCTAGGTGTCGATCGGCCTGCGTGGGCTTCACCGTCCGGGAGCCCGGATTTCTTCACCTTCCAAGTCACGAAGATCAGCGGGCAGATCGCCAAGCCGGCCAGCTCAGAGCAGAGGAAGTCTCTTGTTATATCTAAGTTCGAGGCTGTAGTGGAGACATCTGCCAAGCTGACAGTTCTTCAAAACCTGAACATTCAGCTTGACCAGCTCCGACTTGACCTCAAGTACGAAAAAGGCAAAGGTCTGTCTGCCCAGTTCAATGGACGTTTGAGTCTCAAGTCTCCAACGGTAAATGTCTGGGTGCGATACACCGATGAACCCGTGAAGCAGTATGAGGGCGAACTGTCAAACATTGAAGGGCCCTACGATGCGAAGGAGCTGGCGAATAGGTTCCTCAGCGAGGACCAGTTTAAAATGCCCGAGAACGTTGAATTTCCAGCAACGCTTCCTCTCGTATCGCTTCACGTTCTTATCAAACCCGGAGTATCCGCCAAGGTTTGGGGGATGGGACAGAAAAAGTGGAATCCAACGCTTTCCGGTGTGCCAATAGAGATGGCCTCACTAGGGGCAAGTGTCGAAGTGCGAGAGCCCAAGGAAGAGAAACAACCAACTGATAAAGAAGGTGATATGGAAAGGATTGACGTGAAAGACGACGGAAATGGCGATGGAAAGGGTGACGGGAAAGCCGGTAGGAAAGACGACAAACTCCCCACAAAGGTGGCCAAAGACTATGACATTCGTATCATTGGAAAGCTGGGCTTCACGGACTTCACGGCTGCAACAGCATTGCTGGATATCCGGACCAACCATGGTCTCATTTTGCAAGCATCCGTGAAGAAAAAGCAAAATGCAAAGAACGAACTGGAGGGACTGACAAATGAGCTGGCCTCTACGGACAAAGCCCGATTTGCCCAGCTTTCGAAGAACTCGACTATTCCCTCATTGTCTATAGCTGACAAAGAGCTGCAGTTATACCTGGACTTTGACAAGAAGCTCTTCTATCTGGCTGGAACGATCGGCGATAATATATCCGCCCTGATTCTCGGTCGCCCCAAGCTTGGGCCAGCGCCCCAAGAGAGTGACGCGCGTAATTATGTGGTTTCTGTGGTAGTGCAAGACATCGGCAAGTTGTGGCCAGAGTTTGATAGCACAGTCGGTCAGGTATTTGACTGTGAGGTGCTTGCTGGGGAGATTGTTGCGTACGATGGCACCTACGCACAACTTACTGACGACCTGAAAACCGCCTATTCGCAACTCAAGATCAAGGGCTCCAACGATGCATCTAACGCGATAGTCTCGCAGGATGGTAAGGTGGGACTCGGTGTCCTTTTCTTTGGCAAGCTCAGCCTCAAGGGTACCAAGGCAATGACCGACGCCGTGAACATGATTGTGGAGAAGGACAAGCCAGCGGAGATTATTGTTTCTGCCATGGTCACCAAGCCAGCAGCTAATTCTCAATTCCTGGTCAGCATCAGTAATTTGACATTCTGGGGAGGACACCTCGTTCTCAATGATACCAGGGGCATGTACAGCAACAAGAAATTTTCTGTGGCTGGTAAACTCACCGCGACATTTGAGGGACTGGACAAACTCAAGTTTGATATCAACCTTGACGTTGAGCCCGGGAGCACCAGATTCAAAGCCATCACCGCTGTCGGAGATGATACCAAACCAGTCAAACCGTTTGGCAAGTTTCATTTTCAAATGAAGAAATTCAGCATCGAAGGCAAATTTCTCCGCAAGGACGGCAAGCGGAAGAGTGAGGTGACCATTACGGGTGACGCAACCCTGGGTGGCAAAGTCGGACTGACGGGTGCCCTGATGTTTGTCGATGGAGCGCCTTGCATTGCTGGTGTGAACTTCAAGGGCTTGGAAATAGATATCAAGGACGTGGTGCAGTTGTTCAACGGCAGCTCCAGCGGCGATAGTACCGCGGTAGCATGGCCGAACGAGTACCAAGCGCTGGCACTGAAATTGAACGACTTGTATTATGCCAAAAGCGACCAGACAATTGACGGGAGGCAGTATACGACCGGGTTCCACATCAGTGCTCTATGCAAGTTGTTTTCAGACGAGTATAAGTTCTCGCTCGATGCTGCCTTTGCGGCCCCTGGGTTAAAGATTGAGGCCAAATACCTACCGTCGATTGATCTCGACTTTGCCAGTTTCCGCGACACATCCATATCAATTGAGGCAACAAAGTCCAAGGTAATTAAATTCGCATCTTTGACCCTGCGCATGGCTAACGATCAAAAGAAATCATACACTGGTAAAACGACGGTCACTGTGCTAGATCTCAACCCGACGTCGGTTGATCTTAGCTATGCGTCGTCCGACCATTCGTACTTGGGAACGTTCCAGTACAAAGGTACAATTTTGGGCCTTTCCAATCCAACGATCAAGATCAAGTACTCGAAGGAGAAGAAGTTCCAGGTGCTGGAATTGCCGATCCCAGCAGAGCTCGGTGAGGCCTTGAAATTGGTAGAAGGGATCGAGGAAGCCTCCAAGACAATAGACACGAACAAGTGCGGCGCTCTGGTGAAAATGATTCTAAAGATTCAAAAGACGAAGTTCTCACTGAACGTGGCGCTTGGTGGTACAAAGCCCTCCGTCAAAGGTGAGAAGAAAATTCAGTTCTATATCACCGGGAAGTTCGAGATCTTTGTGGCAGATAAGATTGTGGCAACCATTCAAATGCCAAAGCTACACGGCGCGCTGGAGGATTTCAAAGCAACCAGTCTGCAAGATGCCATCAAAGAGCTCTTGAAGAACAATGCCAAGGCGCTGGGCGAACAAATCTTGCAAGATTGGGAGCAATTCCTGAAGTTATTTGGAACGATAGCCCTCGCCGACATCAGTGAGAAACTGTTGAGCGTCGCGATGTGCCGCAAGATCAAGACGGACAACGTCAAAGACAAGGCGAGGCAGACAGCAGAATCGAAGAAGACCGACGTGAAAAGCAAGGGAAGCGAAACCAAGGTGAAGCTGACCGAGGCGGGGGGCGCGGCGGGCGCGGCGGGCGCGGCGGGCGCAATGGGCGGCCTCGCGGGCGCCTTGGGGGCGGCGGGCGGACTGCTAGAGGGTTTTGGCGCCGCGCTGGCCGGCTTCGCTGGCTTTCTGGTAGGGCTCTTCAGCTTCTTTGGCATAGGATCGAGCGAGGAACAGAAATACTCCAAGGACAAGAAGGATCTCGAAGGCCTTCACACGGAGCTCAAGAACATGCACTCAGCAGCCATTGAGTTCATCCACAAAGACGTGCTAAAAATGGATGGCAGTCCAACCTGCACCTTCGTGACCGGCGAAAGGCTGCACGTTGACTGGTCCGCGATCAAACCCAATAAGGCCGGCTTCGACTATGAGAACTTTCAACGTTTTACCTGGACGGTCATCGTCAGCTTTTCGGGAAACATAGAGGACAAGAATAACTTCGTCGTCAGCGTCCCAACCACGATGAGCAAGGATATCGATAAGCCCGAGTTTCTATACGCCCCAACGGTGTATGTCTGGGTAAAGGCGACCTACAAGCACTCCAGTGATCCAAAACAAGACTTGGTTTCGCTACCAAGCAGGCGAGGTAGTAAATCCCATGTTCCTTCTCTAAAACCACCGGGGGTGAGCTTTTCTTCAGCTTCCGGCCAATGCACCGTCACCGTCAAACCGCTAGAATCCGAGAAATACCGCATTGTAATTGCAGGTGCAGACGAGCAAACGCCAGGTTCGACCTTATATAATCCGGAGCCGCACACGCTGGACCAGAACGCGTTGGATATTCCGTGGGCAAAGCTCCAGGTGCCCGAAACATTACCAACCTCCGTGCGTGCCTATGTTCAGCGGCTAGCAGGAAATCCCAATAGCCACAATGACTCGCCTTGGGCCAAATCGCCACAGGAGGTTCGTCTCGCGCCTGTGCCTAAAAACATGAATCCTAAGATGAGCAATGCGAGCGAAAACACCGACGTTGATGTGCAATGGCAACAGCCCGGTGAGGCCACGACCCCGGTGGACTATGAACTGCAGGTTTTCCGGGTTGATGACGATAAGCCGATCAGCTCCATTCAACAAACGCCTCAAACAGTGGGGCCAGATCAACGCAAAGTCCGACTTTCCTCCTCAGAGTTCACTCCGGGTCTTCGCATTGCGATCAAGGTGCGGGTCGTGCAGAACGACAACGCGATTGCCCTGACGGTAACCAAGCCATTTCAAATTGTGATGACGCCTAAACAGCCTCCCTTCTGTGACTTCTTGCCACTGGGAGCCCTCATTCAACGGTTCCGGGTGGGTGATCAGAACATCGTCCTAGGATACGACAGTCAGGATGACTACGTGCAGTACAAAGGACCACAATTTGGTAGGACCATCGGCCGCGTTGGGAATCGGATTGAGAATGGAACATTCCAGTTGAATGAGGTGGACTATCACCTGCCACAAACAGATGGATACGGCAACACCACCGATGGCGGCAAGCGCGGATGGGGCAAACGCATTTTCCAGGGCCCTATCAAGGAGAAGCGGAATGGGGTTGACGCTACATTATTTACCTATCTTAGTGCAGACGGCGAAGAAGGCTTCCCAGGGGAAGTCGAGATCAAAGTCTGGTACATGGAAAGCCACGGGTCCACGGCAACCGGAAAACCGACGACGGTGCTTACAATTGAGTATGAAGCTGCAACGACCAGGGAGGAGGTGCAAAGCACCATCGTCAATGTTACCAACCGCAGGTATGTTTGAAGCTCCAGACGAGGGGATGTTACATGCTAATTAGAGCCTGCAGTTATTTCAACCTGACCGACGAGCCGTCGATAGAAGGGACAAAAGTAAAGCTCTGCACTAGAAAATATCTCCCGGTCGACAAACGAGGCATACCAACGGGTGGTGTTTCCGACTTCAGTACTGACTTCACCCAAGAAGCCCCTCTGGGGGCTGATGAACCAAAGGTTGATCACTGTTTTGTGGCTGAAAGCAATGGCAACTGGACCATCGACACGCGGGGCAACCCTCCCAAGACCCTTGGCTCATTCAGCAAGGGCAATGTTCACCTCGAAGTGCAAAGTACAGAGCCGGCATTCCAGTTCAACACCGGAGACCATCTAAATCTTTCGGAAAATCCTCGCTATGGCCCGCGTTCGGGCTTCTACATTGAGCCGTGCCGGTATATCAACGCCATAAATAAGTCAGAATGGCAGAACATGGTTATACTCAAGCCTGGAGAGAAATATGGCTATAAGAATGTCTACACGGCTTGGAAAGAGTAGATCAAGGCGTCGTCTCAGTTGCGACATACAATCATGGGATGTTAACCAGGAGTCTTTACTGGAGTATATCCCTTACAATTCCTGTAGCGAAATAGTTGTTTATAGCTCTCCACCAATCAAATAATGGCATACGTACGAAGGATAAAGAATCCGAGAGTCGGATCCGAGAGCATCCCCTGCATACTATCAGTACATCCCTGTCTAACCTACCGAGACATTGGGGAATGTCTCTCGCTCCCTTGCTCCGGTGTATCGCGCTGTCACACAGTCTCCTGGCTCTTGAGAATGATGTGGCACTCGGGAATAACCCTCTTGCTTCCTGTCATGGGAATACTACAAGCTGCTCCCACAGCTTCGGGTCCTTGATGGCTCCAAGCACACCCAGAAAGACAGTGTCCTCGTTTTACACTTATTATTATTATTATTATTATATTGGACAATGTCGGGGTGATTTTAGTCAGGTTTGACGACAATAAGTCCAAGGACCACACGTAGCTATAGCTACTACATTCACAACAATTCGTGAGAGTCAATGTGACCCTTGTTGCAGCCTTCACTCGCCCCCTGGCTGCCAAGGGCCTTCCTGTACGATCCAAGTGTCTTAGTTTCCCACCACGGTTGAGCAACATTCCGCATGCAATTGACACCGGAATGCACCTCCCCACCTCTTACATGATGTGAGAACCAATCATCAATATAGCTCACCCTTGCCCCGATACGCTCGAATGTTTCGTTGGTGGCCTTTTGTAGGATATCCACTCCTCCCACGACAGGGCCCCATGGATTAGGCGCCAGGAACATCGACTCATTTCGGACCACGCCACTTACCACCCCCGGATGCAGTGGCGTGGCGTGGCTTGTGCTGCAGTTTCGATCTGGAGACACGCTTCTGTCTGCGCCCCAGCACAGGCCTGTTTGGAAGAGCATGGGAAGTGGATGAACGTCGGTCTCACGGATGCCAGTCTCCTTCATCAAGCGCTGTACGACACGCTTAATACGCTTCGCAAACCGCTGATTGCTCTCAATAAAGTCTGAGCGCTTCAAAAGCTCATCAATAGAGTATCCTGGAACTCGCGGGTTGGGGGGGCCAGGGGGTATCGGAAGCTTCGTCTCATTCTTTCGTGAAAACACCAAGGCGCTCCCATGTCCCTCCTTTTTTGCTTTCTCTAGGATTTCCAGGCACAGGCTCGGGTCGGCAACAAGGAGAGCCCAGCCATATGCGCTTTTCCCTTTAGGTGCTGGTACAAACTGGAGAAACTCATCTATGTGGCCGATAGCCAGCCAATCCGCGTCGAGTAGCAAAGGGTCTTGAACCTCCTGTGCCCGCAGATATTCGTAAATGTGAGGGTTCTGATGGCCGTGAGAACCAGCAACAATGCGGCCTGCTGGATAGCTCTTGCTCCCCTTTTTGTATGGAGGAATAGTGATCACGTTGCCCATTGAGTTGACCTCGTCTCTGGTACCACCGGGACTGTAGATTGAGCCACCAATATGCTTCCGTGCTCTTCTAAATGCCATTTGTCCCGCTGCCCTAGATCCTTGCGATGAACGCATATTGATCTGCAGGGTAATTGGCCCCTCGGACCCTGGCATACTCGTATATGCGAAAGTTATGTAGTCCTGGACCCACACATCATCGGCGTTGAAGAGTTCCAGACTCTCATTAGAATGGGAAGTCTCCAAAGCCCTCTTCATTTGAGTAACGAATTTGTGTTGCCAGATAAACAAGGGGACTTCGGGGTCTTGGTGCGTCTCCACCGAAACAAAGGTTGCAGCCCGCTGAAGAGAATGAGAAAGAAGCACCGGTGCGACCCGAAGACGAACAACATCATCTGACGATACCTTTCCATCCTGAATGTGAAGATGGACTTCAACTCGGCCGTCCCACCCTCCGGGTCTTCGCGTATCGCGGGCGTCGATTCCCAGCTTCAATCCTTTCTTCAACTCCTCGCTTGAGAACCGATAGTCATTGGTAGTGAAGTTCCACCTTTGATCATCTTCGCGAAAGATACGGACGTTCTTTCTGGCAATCTCCTCGTGGATCTCAATCGTTCCCCAGGCATCATCGCTTATATTTTTGGCTGGTACCGTTGCTAGGCGAGCCATGTACCGCGGGGCCCGTTGGACATCGTCAGAGGCGTCGTGGCAGGCGGCAAAGTCCTCAAAACTGGTAATATTTCCGCTTTCAAATAGTTTCTCGCATCTTAGATCGGTATCGCCTATATTTGGCAAGAATATGGCGCCGTTCTTATCCCAGTCAAGTTTCTGCACGAGGTCACTCTCCTCATGGACGTCGACGTAGCCATCCCGATTGCTGTCGGCGCGGATATCGGCGTGCAGCCCGAAACTCAGGTTGTAGAGTAGCGGGCTGGCAGCTATTACCAGTCAGTACCTTAGATCCCTTTTGAATGTGTTCGCTCATGATTTCATCACATACCTAATAGCTGCATCAAGTGACGAACGTAGCCCATGATCAATGACGGATTAAAGGCGCCTATCCTATCACCCAGAACCGACGTAGAGGCAGAAGTTGGACCAATATATCACACGTTTGTCATTCCGAAAACGGCATCATTTAGGGTTTCCTTCCGTGGGTCTTCAGAAAAGATTAGTTTCAGTCCGGCCTTTGGGACATGCTACGTGACATGTCACATCGAGTCCATGACACTCTCTGTATGATAGTAGTTACTACCTTAACCTCTAGATGGACGACGTCATGGAGTGTTGTCTTGAGGTAAATGCAACCGTAGCTTTATCCCAGATTTTGGCCATCCTTCCAGTCAACGTGTCATGCACCAGGCATTGACTGTCCTGTGTTTGGTCATAGCCTGGCCATAGGGATGGCAGTGGACAGAGTCGAGTCTACCCTTCCGCGACTCGATATCTGCACATGAATCTATTGTTGGTGGCTACCACATCCTATGGGAAAGGGAAAGAGTCCCAGAAACGGAGGGGAAAGGGGTCGGTTTGTGATATATAACTGAATCCGAGGAGCAGGTCTTCGACCGTACCGTTCGGTGACCCTCAATGGCCACTTCACATTCGCGATGCCATTTGACAAGGATTCTCTTTTAGCACTCAATTAATGCACTCGGGCGTACTGTATTCGCATGATTTCAGTCGTTGCCTGTTACACCATTCTTTTTGTACCAATCTCGCCGCCCGGTAGCTTGCACACCCACCTATATATTCTTTGCGAGCTTTGCCACTGGTGCACTGGTGCATAGCCGATATATCAGCATTCTCCGGGGCATGGGACATACATGTATACTAACCTGGTCGGATCCGTTTATTGGCCATCAATTCAATGCTATTTTGGCTATGTTCGCTCCATTATAACCTCCCTCCTGATACTTTACTGTACAACTAGACTCTGTATGCCTTATCTTTACCCATCTAGCATGTCAACCAACTGCTTTACCCATTCCTCCATCTTCGAACCCGCACTCAGAAAACTATAATGATGTCCTTCCGCCCTTATCACGGTCACATTCCCATCTCCCATAATCCAGTCCCAACCAAGTGGTCCATCTGCTCTATCGTTGAGAATCCACTCCGTCACTCCGCGCTGCGAGTCTGGGACGCTGAATCCCCTGTCTTCTTGGCTCTTGTACGTCCCGTCGACACCTTGTTTTGCGGAGATGAGGATCGTGGCTGGAATTCTCATTCCTTCACCAGGTGGGGGTATAGCTGTGAAGCAATACCGCCCGAGTTGCTCCTGTGCTAATGAGGCATCGCCCGCGCCAAATGCGGCTCTTGTTGTGGAGATATGTTGTAGTAAACCATCTGGCATACGAATTGAGTATGGAGAGGAGGGCGTAGGAGGGCACGGGCATGGCGCGTCAAGCAAAACCAGTTTCTCGACTTCGCCGCCTGCTTCGAGGAGTTGGCGCATGGATTCGAGGGCGAGAATCCCGCCGAAAGAGTATCCGCCGATCAGGTAGGGTCCTTGTGGTTGTCGACGTTTAATTTCGGCGGTGTAGCTGGCCGCAAGGTCTTGGACTGTGGGGATGGCATGGGTTGGGGTAGAGGTTTCCGGGGAGGGGAGCCTGATGTGCGTGTAGGGGCTGTTGAGCGCGTAGATGGAGGTGGAGGTGGATGGGCACGTTTGGGCTAGGAGCTGGCCTAGCTGCGTGAATACAGTTCCGTAGCCTGGACCGCCGGGCATGAGGAAGAGATTGCGCGCTGAGGATATCCCACGGTGGAGGAGCAAGGATGTTGCTGTCGCGGGGCGCGGATCTGGCGTGGATTCTTCTAGATTGGTATTGCCTACTGACTTGTTTGCCGGTGGGTCGTCACTTGCCGGTCCGATATCAGAGCATGGTGTGTCGTCTGACTGAGCTGACGAAGAAGAGCTGCTTGGCGTGTACCCCAGGGCACTTCTAACCAACTCATAGAGCGACATGACGTCCACAGTACCGGCAAAGTCTGCCAATGGGATGTCGACGCCTAACGCCTCCTTCAAGTTACTGATGATTTCCGGAGCCACTAGAGAGTCGGCGCCGAGATCGTCAAGTCTAGAACTCGGGTCGATTTCTGCAGTCTCTAGCTCAAGAACATCGCCGAGGATGCGTATGACAGTGTTCTTCCAGACCTCTGCCGCGACAGGATTTGAGTAGGACTCGTTGTCGCTGGGCGGTCCACCGCCGTGCCGTTGTGGCGAGATAAGATCACACAACGCCGCCACATCTGTAGCTGTGACAAGATCGGTGGTAGAGATATCAACGCCAAATCGGTCTGAGATACCGGCCAGAATCTCGGCGCTCACGAGCGAGTCGATGCCAAGCTCCTCTAGCATTGCTTCTTTCCGCACATCAGCGAAGGGGACATCTAGACACCTACTCAGTATCTGTTGCACTCCGATCAGGATTTCGTCGTCTTCTTTAGACACTTGCGGGGTAGGCGGGACAGTATAATCTTGCTTCTGCTTCTGTGGTTCGTCGATCTCCTCTAAAACCCCTGGATTCACCGCCGCCAGCGTCTTCACTAGGGAAGTACGAGGCACCCCGGTGAATCGGAGCCCCTCAGCAGACCAGATTATCTGCTGACTGGTGTAATCGAACGCGAGCAGGTCTAGCAACACAGTCCTCCTGTCCTCCCGCACAATCCGTGTATATGCGCGATACTTTCTGCCTTGGAGGGATCCCTTCGCTGGCCTTATCAGTCCTATTCCCGTGCAGATGTACGACGTGTTACACTGGAGACCTTCCTCCTGATCCGCATGACGCAGTGAGTGCACAAAAACGCCGGCCACTTGCATGAAATAATCCAGGAGTAACGCATCTATGACATTCTCGTTAGGTGCAGCAACCACCGACTTGTCCGTAGGCATGTCGATCTCGCCGGCTCCTTCCGAGCCCTTGCCGACTATATATCGCAGCCCCCGGTACGGAGGTGAGTAAGTGGCCAACGTGGCGAACATTCTATACACCATTGCTCCGCGCAGAGCCTCGGTTTCCGGGTCCTCGAGCAAGTGGGACATGTGTGTCCATGTGTTGGTTGTGTCTGCGTCTGCATTCTTATCACTTTGGACCTTGCCGTAGTAGACGATACCAGTGCAGTGGGACGTCGGTCGTGCGTTCTTATCGTCTTTGGGTGTGGAGAGTACTTCGAAACGCCAACCCCTCTCCTGCGTGTTATTGAGGGTACATCTAACGTTGCGCTGCGTGTCCAGACCCAGCGGCGCTTTAATTTCCACGGCTTCAAAGCCGATCTCATTCTCTTGGTCACTTATATCTTGCAGCAAACGAACCGCATGGGCGACCAGCTCCAAGTACATTCCCGCCGGGCACAATGGGCTTCCAACCACCACATGACCGCTGATTAGTTGTTGATATCGTTGACTGCGCGTGTCGATGCTGAACCGCATGGTAGAATCGGAGTCCGACTGGGACTGCGGGGGTTCTTGCACAATATATGGGAAATCAATAACGTTCTTGTGGCAATGAGGACATAATCTGTATTCGTCATCCGTTTCCGGGCCGGAAGGGTTATATTCAATCCAGTGTCGATGTTTCTCGAACTGGTACGGAGGCAGATCCACGCTCCGGCCCTGAGGCGTCAAGAAGTTGGCCAACTGGCTTCGGTGAAACGGCCAGAACTGAACCCCACGACTGGTCTTCCATAGAGCGGCCGTCGCAGCTGCGAGCGATCGCCGTGGATCGACGCCATTGAGTGCGATGAATGTATGGTCATGCTCGGTTGTCGCCAGAGCATTCTGCGCCATCGCGGTAATCGGGCCCCCGAAGCCCGCTTCTACGAATGCACACGACCGGCCTAACCGTGCGACGATGCGATGAATTGCATCTCCGAAATAGTTGGGGTCTCGGGTATTGCGACCAATAATGTTAGCGGTTGGGTCCATACACGTCCAGTCCTCCTCGTGGCCTGAATCATGGCATGACACGAAGGCGGATGATGGGCGCTGTAGTGGAATCGACGTCGATAATTGGGCACAAGCATCCAAGATCGAATCTGCCATGTGGCAATGATATGCGTATATCCCCCTCAACACCTTGAAGCGGAGTTTGTTCCTGTTTGTGAGGTTTGATTTGTATTGTCGCAGGTACGTCTCCAGAGCCTCCACGTCCTGCGTGCTTCCCGCGACAACGTAGTTGTTTGGTCCGTTGTAGCACGCAACCTCGACCCTTCCGGAAGGGTATTTATCAGTAAATTGCTGCAGGTGCTGCATGGAAGTCATGTTCGAGGAAACGAGATCGGCTTCGATGGCCATCATCAAACCTATATCCGGTCCCCACAGTCTCTGGAGGATAGAGGCACGCCCCGTGATAAACTTCATGCCACCTTCGAGCGTTAACCCCCCCGTAATGACCAGTGCCGCGCACTCGCCAAAGGATTGGCCACAGACTGCCTGCGGAATGACCCCAGAGTCAATCCACGACATGGCACTGGCATACTGGATGGAAAACATAGCTGCGTGGCGGAGAACTAGGTCATTTTCACCCTCGCTATCACCGGATCCGACACCGTTCAAAATGGTTGGAAGCACACTGGGTAGACCGAGAGCGAGCATGGCTTCCTCGCACTCGTGCAGTCGGGCGCGGAAAACCAACGAGTCGTCGTAGAGGCATTTCACTGCCGGGGTGGTGGTTCCATTCTGGCCGCTCAGAAGCAGCACGATGGGTTTGGAGTCCGACACGGAGATATGTGCTTCCGGGTTGCGGAGCTGGGCCTGCAGATCAGACACTACTGGATTTAGTTACTGTCATCAGACATTAAAGGTGTACTACTTACGCGATCTTGCTGTTGTGGAGAACCGATGTTGAAGCTGCCCATTGCCTTTCGCTGCCAAAGCAAACGCCAGCTCAGGTAAGCCAATGTCATTGCTCTTGCCGCAGATATACTCCCGGAGCTTGGCACAAGACGCCAAGAGACTGGGCTTGGATGCAGCCGAAAGAAACACCGGCCACTCCGATGTAGGTTCCAATTCAGTTGGTCTCATCTGGCTGGTACGTTGAGCAAGCGGAGGTGCAACGATAGCAGCAGCGTTGTTACCAGACGCACCAAAGCTGTTCACCAGGGCCAGGCGCGTCTCATCGGCCCAATCGTTCAACGACGTCGGGATCGCCATGTGATCTGGTTCCAGCGCGGCAATGTTGGGGTTCAATGCCGTAAATTGTGCCTGTGGCGGGATCTTGCCGTGCTTGAACATGAGCAGCACCTTGATCAGTGAGATGACACCCGCTGCTGCTTCGGAATGGCCGACATTGGGTTTCACTCCGCCCATATGCAGCACCGATCGCCTGTCTGGCCCACCCAAGACCTGTCGGATCCCCTGGACCTCGATAGGGTCTCCGACGCGAGTGCCCGTGCCATGGGCCTCGATGTAGGAGACTTCGTGTGGATCGACTCCCGCGCGCGCCAGCACATCTTTATACAATGCTGCCTGGCTTTCGAGCACTGTATTCGTGATACTGGTATTGTTGATGTTCTGGTTATTGCCGGTTGACAGAAGCACGCCGTGGATCTCGTCTCCGTCCTGGAGCGCACGGTCCAGCGGTTTCAGAGCAACAACCCCAACGGCCTCGCCTCGACAGTAACCATCGGCACGCGCATCAAAAGTCTTGCAGGCGCCTGTCTCGCTGAGAAAGCCTGCCGTGCGTAAAGCGTCGAACAAAGCCGTGTTTGGGATCAAGTTGACGCCACCCGCGATCGCCCGCGTGCACTCGCCTACCTGAAGAGCGCGACAGGCTTGATGGATGGCCACCATGGCGGATGAGCATGCCGTGTCAATGTTCTGCGAGGGACCTGTCCAGCCGAAGAAATGACTCAGACGACCTGACACGAAGGAGCGCAGCATCCCTGCCGCCGTGTACGGCGAGGGCGGTTGCGAGCCCTGGTTCAGGACGTAGTCTTGCGTGTTCATTCCCACGAAGCATCCTGTTATATGACCGGTGAGGGGGTCATGGGTCTCTGATGCTGATTGCTCGCCGCTGACCCACCCTGCCGCTTCGAGTGCGTGGTATGTGGTCTCGAGCATGAGTCGCTGATGCGGGTCCATGGCCGCCGCTTCGCGTTTGGACCTCCCGAAGAACTTGTGGTCGAAGGATTCTATATCGGAGAGGAAGTGACCACAGAGACGGTTTTTCGTCCTAGCCGAAGCCTCGGGGAACCGAACGGGGTCAATCTCACGAACCGTGCTCTCCCCGGTCAGCAGTGCCTCCCAGAGTTCGTCTGGTGTATCACCGGCGGCCGTCCGACAGGCCATACCCACGACGGCCACGGCCTGTTTCGGGTAGTCGCTGTACCTTTTAGGCTTCTTCCGCGGTGTGATTTCCCTAAGAATTGGATGCCTCAGGTGCTCGTCGGGGCCGAGTTCCAACGCGCGTACCACCGCCACCTGGTCTATCCGAAGCGCGAGAATCTGCCCCCAGGCCTCGAGCGCCTCCTCCTTAGATATGTCCTCAATGCCTCGGTCTTTCATCCCTTTGTTGATCATACGAGTCGCGGACTTTGACTGAACCGACAGTCCTACGCCGCGCCACGTCGTCCACTGAACTGAAGTGCAGTTATCCCCTTCGCGTCTTCGCTGGACCGCCAGCCCGTCTAGAAACGCATTCGCTGGCGCGTAGGAGAGCTGGCCCGGAAACCCGACCAACTGTCCAATGGACGAGACCAGGAGAAAGAAGTCCAATGTGGCTGGTGGAAAGACTGCATCGAGGCTCAGAGCGCCTCGCACCTTCGGGGCGAATACGTTCTCGATATCAGCCCGCGTGCAGCCTTTGAGTGTGTGATACCCTGCCGTTCCTGCGGCATGCACAACGCCCTTGACGGCTGGAGCATGGAGTTTACTGATGGCCTGCCGTAGCGTGGAGTCTGCGCCGAGCAGACTGAGGTCAATGGCCAGCACATGGACTTTGGCGCCAAAGGCCTCCATCTCAGCGATGCGAGCTAGGAGAGTGTTGGCACGGATGTCGCGCGCTTCGGACTCTACCCCACGTCGGCTCAGAAGTATCAGATGACGAGCGCCCTGCTCAACCATCCAGCTAGCAGTCTCGAGGCCTATGCCGCTTGTCCCACCTGTAATCAGATATGTGGACTCCGAATCGAGCGCCATCGCTTGTCTCTGTTTCTCCTCACCGTCGGGGAGCAATACGGGCTGAAGTGCCGCCGTTTGCGGCCTTCCTTCTTCCTCATCCTCACACACTCTGATTATGTCAAATCCCCGTGCAGATGTGATAGCGGACAGCGGAAACCGCAATCCCTCCTCCTTCACCTCGACCAACCCCCCAAAGAGATCGGGGATTTCCATCTTCAGCACGCGCGCCAGCCCATGCAAAGGCGCATACCCCAATTGACTAATTCCATCGTGGTTCTTGACCAGCGAGAACAGCTTAACGGAGTCAGCACCCTTCGCCGTCTCCGTCCCCGAGGCCTGGGAAGGCTGGGATGATACCAGCACCTGCGCGATGGCAATCAGGCTTGCACACGAGGCCACGGCCGCAGAGTAGACATTTTCGCGGCCATCTGCGGCATACGGAATGTGTACGACGATGGACGGTGTTTTTTCTGTCAGCTCGGCGTTGAGCTCTTCAGGGTTGGTGATGACGGCAGTGGTGTAACCTAGGTTGCTAAGCTGGTTTCGGTACGTGGCTAGCTGATGGCTTTCGCACTGGCTTTCTTCTACCACAAACACCACTTTTGTGAATTCTAGTGGCTCTGGGGACAATGGACCTGGTGTCCAGTGGATTCGGTGAAATTGGTGCGTGGAAGTCATAGCTAACAGGACGGATGTAGAGCCTGAAGATATGAGCTACCAGGCTAGATTGTCATCGAGGAGAGAGTAGAGGATAGGGGAAGATGGCAGAGTCCCGAGACCGGTCAGAATTTGAATCCTCAACGCCACAGATTCAGGCGGGGTATTGGCAACGCCCAGAATCCGCAGCTGGGGCGTACGGTGGACATCGTGACGAAGGATTTTGTGAAGCGGGTCCACGTTTTTTTGGCTGAATAGCTCGCCGTGGAATCAAATTAATTTCGGTTCGATTGCGATTCGGTCCGATCCGCACATAATCGCCGAGTTGAGCACGGACAGCTTGATCATGGATGTGTGGTTTCAGCCATTGTTGTAATGATGAGGATTTTTCCCGGGCTTCGTAAATAATGAGGTTCCTGATAGACCAGTTCAACTCAGTTGAGATGATTGGGGGCCTGGCTGTTGAGGGAGAAAAGGTCTTGCTGGACTGGCCCACTGGCCTGCAGGATCAACGTACACTAAACATCATTAGATTAAATACGATCCATCAAGGTTAGGGCTTGATTAATACTCGTCATTTTGCCTCATTCAGCACGTGGTCTACACCGTATAGTCGGTAGGTAGTCCAAAATCTGATTGTGGAAATGCCAATTGGATGAGCAAAAGCAACGGGTGATGGAGCTGCAATGCCTGGATTGATGTTTTCGATGAAGAAGAACGGGGACCAACCAAAGTTGACTTTCCGTCACATGGACACTAAGCCACATCAGGCAAGCGAGGCCATCCCGATACGGAGATATCATCCGGTGTGTCCTCAGGCATACATTAAGGGCTTGGCGTTCTGTAGCCTCAGGCATCGCACTGTCCACCAAGTCGATTGGGTTTATGATAGGATCGGAGTGGTCATACGAACAACAATATAAATTGCCTTCAATTAGTAGATTATCCTGTCATCCAAACGTACACTTCTTGGAGCCCCCACCAACTCTAAGCCATCCCCGCCCTCTCAAACGTATGTCCAAACTCCTCAAACACACGACACACCGCCGTGTCCCCAGGATCCTGCACCTTCTCCAACGTCAAGCCTAACGAGCTCACTCCTCTTGACTTACTCCCCTTTCCTACCGGACGAATCCGATCCCCATCATCCTCTTTGTCGCCATAAAACACTCCCTTCGAAAACTCATACGCAACACCTCTCGTGTCCAACCACTTCTTGTCAGGGTTCGGATCCCTTGTCCGGAAAAACGCCCCGAAAACATCCTCCATGACTTGCGCCAGATGCACATCACTGGCTCCGTAGTACGGAGCTACGTTCTTTGTCTTACTGTTCAAATTGCCCCAGATAGGCAGCACATCTGCGGCATGGCAGGTGGCGTTGAAGGTGTTGTTTGCCAAGGGGGAGCAGGTGGGAGGCGTATCGAGGGTTGTTTGCATGTGGCCTTTGGGGAATTGGATGTTGTAGATTGGCGCTTTGGTTTGATGGTGGGTGAGGTTCAGCAGGGAGGAAAGAGGACAGGTCCATTCGCTAGCTGTGAGGAAGGAGGAGATGACCGGGAGGAGGGAGGTATTGCGGCCTTGGATTTGCGGGGCGGTGGCGTTGAGAAGTGCATCCGCTAGGTCCGGGGGGTATGCGAGGTTCAGCAAGGTGGAGAGAGCTGCCGGGGAAGTCTTCATCGATGAGGCGTATTCCGGGACGTAGAGGCCTGCTTCATCGGCGACGGTGGTGAAGAGAGTGGGCACTCTGTTAACCGACGAGTTGGGAGCGGCCAGGAGGTTGTGGAATTGGTCGGCGATGATGCCGGCTTCCGGGTCGAGAATCGGAAGAAGAGGCTCAATGGATGCGAGCATGGGCGAGGCGTTCAGATATCCGAATGCAGTAGCGTTGGAGGCGTTGGCGATGCCGGATTCGAACGCTGTCGAGTTATCGAGGAATGCGCTGGCCGGGAGCGAGCGCAGACAGGCGACCAGACTGGCTTCTGGGGAGGTGTGGTGCGGGCAGCCCAGGGCCGGGGCGAGATGAGGCACCACGAAGTCCGTGTAGACGTCGCGCGTGAACCAGGGTAGGTCGACCGGGGCGGATTGCGCGATGGCGGCGGAGAAGAGGGGCGCCGCGGCTGGGGAGGAGAGCAGCGCTACGACGCTTTGGCCGCCGGCAGACTGTCCGAAGATGGTGACGCGGGACGGGTCGCCACCAAAGGCTGCGATGTGTTGTTGCACCCAGCGCAGGGCCTGGATCTGGTCGCGCGTGCCGTAGTTGCCCGTCGTCAGATTTCCCGTTGCCAGCCAGCCCAGGACCCCGACACGGTAGTTGACCGTCACCACGATCACGTCGTTGCGGCTGGCCAGGTTACCACCGTCATAGTCGATCATGGACGCGCTGCCTTTAGTAAATGCGCCGCCGTAGAAGTAGACGGCGACGGGCTTGCCGGTGGTGTTCCGGGCAGTCCGTGGGAGCACGGGCGTGTAGATGTTCAGATAGAGACAGTCTTCAGAAATATCACTACCCAGCGTCCCGAATGCCGAGGTAGACTGGATGCATGAGGCCGACACCTGCGTCGCCTCGATCTGCTTGACGCCGGTGTAGGGCTGCGGCGGGGCCAGTCGCAGAGCGTTCACCGGGGGATTGGCGAAGGGGATGCCGAGGAAGCGGAACGAGCGCGCATCGCGGAAGCCGGTGATAGTGTAGTCATGCGAGGCGACGGAGACTCTGGACGACGGGACTGCGGCCCGATTCTTATCGGTGGTTGGCGGCACGCGCGAGGTGCAAAGGGCAGTCAACTTGCGCGTGCATGGCGCAGCAATGAAGTCCTTCTGCTCCGGCGAGTACGCCAAGCAACCGGAGGAGTTCGCAGAGACCCAAATGTCGTCCGATCCCTGGATACTTTCGGAGAATGCCAAATAGCTGAACTGGTAATCCAGTTCCGTCCGGTTGGCCAACGGTGCGGCTGATAGGGGATAAAGCTGTTCGCCGATGGCTGCGCATCGAGCGGATGCTTCATCGTGGGTGAGCCTGTCATGCACAAGAACTGCGGACGTTCCGTTGTTCTTGGATCCGAGGTTGTTGTAGTGTAGGACCTGCAGAGTACCTAAGGCGTCGGCATGAGGGACCAACGCGGGGGCAGGGGCCGCCCAGGCAGTCCCACACAGAGAAGCTACAATCAGTAGTGGTAGCTGCATGCTGATAGACTGTTGTGAGACACCCCCAGATTGCTGACAGGTCGGGGGAAGCTTTGTTTATGACTCCCTGCACGTCCTGCATCGCCGGTCTTGTAACCCTGCTTATATAGGCGGGCAACACCCGGAACCCCCGGCAAGGCAAAGGAAGCCAAGCATGGCCAATATTATTGCCCGACCATAGAAATACCCATCTGCAAGGCGTGCCCAGAAACCAGTGGGGATGGCACAGCAGGGTTGTGTTAGGCGAGCAGAGCTGACTTGCCGACGCAGCCAACAGGATTGTTTCTCTCGCCAGGCGTAAGGGATTGGCTTGGCAGGTTTTGTGGGGTAAGCAGAGCTTGGGCCCCCAATGACGACTGTGATTGAGCAGTACACTGGTGTACACCGTACAGAGACTATGGGCCATCAATAGTTACTCACTAACTTGTTGTGTCTTAGGTTATTGAGTACGGAGTATTGACGGAATTGTTATTGAGGTGAGTCCTGTTAGGGCACAGATCGGCACGGTTCAGGCACTCAGGCCAGACTCTAAGGCACGCTCTCAAGGTCTTCCTAGCTGGGTTTAGCGCTGCCAAGAATCTTCCGAGGAAACAGATTCTTCGAAGTTCGAGTATGGAGTGCACTGTAAACTGATCTGTGGGCTGGATTGGTCTGCATGGTTGGTTAAGTTCCTTCTCATGATGTGCATTAATTGATAGATTTGTTCTTCAGATGGTTATAGCAGGTTGTCTTCGTAATCGGGAAAAGTGAGGTCTCAGGAGCGCGGAGATGGCGGGGGATATATATTGCCTGAGCGAAGGAAAGCCAGAGATATCTACCACGGAAGCTGAAGATTTGATGCAAGACTTGTTCGCAAGACTTCTCAAGGCTACTACTGATAAGAGACCGACAACAACCATTCCATACCACCAACAAAACAGGATCCCATATCTGGCAAACGACGTCCTCGGCAAAAGACCGACGCCGAATTGACCGAGCGCCAAGAGGCCCCGTGACTGCTCATTTGCCCCGAATAGGAAGGCAGGACTGACTCAGCATGTCGTCACGGGGCCCCGCACGGCACATCCTCGGTCCTTCTGCCCGGTGGCGATCAGTCCGTCATCCCCCGGATTCTGTCAGACGTGGCTGAGTTGCGTTGGAAGGAGTCATTCATTTATCTGGTCATGACGGCACCCCGAGGTGACATCGACTTGAGCCCTCGGACAGTCTGTCACGAACTCATGCAAGATTCATGATGAAAGACCCTAGAGGTGCCGTGCGGCTGGTCGAAGTAGGTCCGCGGGACGGCCTGCAAAATATCCACGATCACGTCCCTACGCCCCTGAAGATCGAGCTGATCCGGCGTCTTCAACGAACTGGTCTTCGCGCCATCGAACTGACCTCTGTAGTCTCCCCGCGAGCAGTGCCCCAGTTGGCCGACTGTCGTGATGTTCTCCGAAATGAGGGGATTCGCCACCTGCAGGACCAGTCGCGCATGCGCCTGCCGGTCTTAGTTCCCAACCTGAAGGGATTAGAGGTGGCGATCGAACATGGGGTGCGCGAGGTGGCGGTGTTTGTCAGCGCCTCGGAGGGGTTCAGTAAGGCCAATATCAACTGTTCCGTGCGACAGGGCCTCGAAAGAGCCAGGGCAGTCACTCAGAAGGCTAGTCAACATGGGATCGCCATCCGGGGGTGAGTCTTGCTTACTCGTTTTCGAAGACTGTCAGCTGACTTTGCAGTTATGTATCTTGTATATTTGAAGATCCCTTCGACGGACCAACCCCCCGGGCCGCCGTGCTTCGTTGCGTCAAGGAACTGCTGGACATGGGCTGCTACGAGGTCAGCCTGGGTGATACGCTGGGGACTGGTGCTCCGGATACCGTGCGCGGTCTTCTGACGTATCTGGTCGATAACAATATTCCCACCGATCGGCTGGCCGGTCATTTTCATGATACCTATGGGCGAGCCGTAGCCAACACCTGGGAGGCCTACTGTTGCGGACTGCGCGTTTTTGACAGTAGCGTCGGTGGTCTGGGCGGCTGTCCATTTGCCCCGGGTGCAGAAGGGAACGTTGCCAGCGAGGATTTGGTGTATATGTTCCATTCCGAGGGGATCCAGACCGGCGTCAATATCCTTCATCTGCTGCGGACTGGCGTGTGGATCTCACAAGCCCTGTCCAGACCATATGCCACTAGGGCGGGGCGAGCTTTGGCCTTGAAGCATAAGCTGCTGCCTTCTGCACATCGCACTACCGTTCAACCGGTCATTCATCCAACCACCAAGTGGTCGCCTATTGGAAAGGGGGCTAACTACTCTGACCGGCTGTTGGTCTATCGCTCCGGTAGTAACTTGAAGGTTGTGTTAAATCGACCGAAGAAGGGAAATGTTCTGAAGTTAAAGATGGTATCCGACTTGGTCAATCTGATCGAGAAATGCAACACCGAACCTTCCATATCACGAATCATCGTGACTGCGAAAGGGGATTTCTTCTGCATGGGAGTGGACCCGGCCATGGAGCCTGCCGAAGCCGAGAGCCCACTCGACCAGCTGACGCGGTTATTTAAAGTAATCGAGCATTCTCGGAAGACCACAATCGCGTGCATCAACGGGCCTGCTTTTGGTGCCGGTGTCGGCCTAGCACTATCGTGTGATATTCGTTTAAGTATAAAGTCAGCCACATTCACCCTAGATCAAGCTGGATTGGGTGGGAGACCGGCCTCGTCGGTGCCGTCCGACCATCCAGTCACAGCAACAGAATTGAAATCGTTCGGCGTAATCGCAGAAGTTGCAGACGACGCCGACGATCTGCAAGACTGTTTGAACAGGCTGCTCATGCGGCTGCGGACATCGCCCTCCACCGCATCGCGCATTTCCACGCGGCTGATACGCCTCATCTGGGCCCACGCCGAACGCGACAATTCAGAGGCAGCAAACGAATTTCTTCGGTTCGAGTCTGTGAATGAGATGGACATGGACCGGGCGGTGGCGGTTGGTTGTGCGCAGTAGGCGTCCGTGCCTAGATAGGGCTTGTAAATCGGTGTGATTGTAGATGGTTATTTTACACTTGCATAGTTGGGTATAAAGGACCAATAGATTTCAATATGTTGACACTTGAGATACCCTAACACGGCTCGGCTATTTCAAAGATTCATGCAGACATCATGCCACCGCTTGCGCGTTGGCATGCCAAATCACGAACGCTGTTGCCCTGCCAAGGGCGCAAAACCTCCCCTGCTAGAGCTGATCCTTAACACCCCGCTCTCCTGTCATCTCCAACCTCACCGACCCAATCTCCCAATCCATTTCAACCACCATGGTCCTCCGACCTGTCGCCTGCCCGTTCACCCCGGAATTCGATACCCTGGTCCACGAACAACTCCAGAAATGGAAAGTCCCCGGTCTCACGATCGCCATTGTCCATGGCTCTAGCACTTATTCCAAGGTATGGAAGCTTCATTCACCATTTGGAAATCCCCTACCTACCTACTTATTTAATTCTAATTGACTCCCCAGGCCTACGGCATTGCCTCCTTCCCGAACAAACCAATGACGCCCGACGCGCTCTTCTCCACCTGCAGTACCACAAAAGCCTTCACAGCCGCCGCGGTATCCCTAGCCATCGATGACAGTCAGAAAACCCCCTCGCCAGTATCATGGACCACGCCTCTTTCATCCATCATCCGAGACGACTTCGTCCTGGCCGACGAGTCCGCCACTAACAACACGACCCTCGAAGACGCCCTCTCCCATCGCACAGGTCTCCCAGGTCACGAACTCGCCATGATGATTGCCTCTCCGAAGGAGAGTTTACAGCACGAAGTTCGAAAGCTGAGATCCTTTCCCTTGTCCGATGCACCGCGCACCGTCTTTCGGTATTGCAATCATATGTACATGGCTGTTTCTTATGCGATTGAGAAATTGACAGGGAAGAGGTTAGGCGCCGTGTTCAGGGAACGGATCTGAGATTTTCTCTGTATGAACGATACTTATTCTGATGTTCGCGAGGCAAGGAAGAGTCCCGGGGCGAGTAGTCGGCTGGTCACGGGGTACACTTATGTTCCAGATAAAGACAGCTATGTTGCCGAGCCGCATCTGGGCTACGCGCCTACGACCGGCGCCGGGTCTATGGTTAGCAATGTCCTGGATTATGCGAAGTGGGTGCGTTAGTTGATTTATCGCACTGGACCGATATCTGACGACGGGTATACGGCGCTGTTCATGCCACGGACGATTATGAATGGCTCTGACGCTGACGCGGGTGGGATTGTGGTGCCGGACCCAAAGGCACCGTATCATCTGTATGCGCTGGGATGGTTTGTCGATCAGGTCTGCGGGGAGACGTTCTATTGGCATAGTGGGAGTTGGCCGGGGTTTGGGATCATGGTGGGATTAATTCCGGAGAGGAAGTGGGGGTTTGCCATGATGGGAAATGCGGTGGATGCGAGGCGTGTGGAGAGGGAGTTATATTTGTATCTGATTGAGAGGTTGGTGGGGAGCTCAGGACCGTCGCAGTCACAGCCGCAGTCTACCAGCACTAAGGGGAGGAGGTCGAGGACAGCAGAATCGGAGAGTCCGGGTCAGGAGAAATGTCGACTTTTCCCTGGCTACCCGGATCCGCCCATCCCACATGCTCTTCCCTTGCAGCAATATGCGGGTGTTTACAGTCATCCCGGGTACGGGTCATTCGGGCTGGTTGTTGAGGATGGGAAGTTAGGAGCGGATTTGACGGACAGGGTGGGAAGACTGCGATTCGTACTTGAGCATGCAAGCGGCGAGTTCTTTGTTTGTGTTGCGTATACTCCGGAGAAGGGCGAGTCGCTGGGAGAGACGTTCCTGACGGAGTTTTATGTGAATTATAGTGGGGTGGCTGCGAGGGTGGGATTGGATTTGGAGCCTGCGTTGGGTGGGAAGAAGATCTGGTTTGAGAGAGTGTCTGATTGATGATTTTCTTAGACTTGTGTGGAGGGTTTGCGCTGTATGCGGCTTAATGTGATTGAAAATAATCCACATGGAATATTTCGTGCCTTCGGTGGAAAAGCGCGTGCACTGGAGGTCAAATTCTGTTGTGGTAGTTTAAATAGGAAATGTGAGGTCGTTTAGTGTGCATTATATATTCATGGCAAGAGGAGGAGCCACTGTTGATAGGGAGGAATATTCTGTTTGGCGCCACACAAAATGAAAAACTGCTCCAGATCATAAGCGCAGGAACGAATTTTGTTAAATTGATAGAATCTGAAAGATGCTCGATGGTTGCAGGTCTGTAACTCCGTAGATGGTGAAATGCTTGGTGTGCTGCCTCAGGCATTACAGTATCCACTTGATCTTGTTGCCTCGATGGCCCACACTAATCTCCGTAATGTAGCTGAGCGTGGACAAAGCTCAACATGATAGGCCCATAATTAATCATGAGAGTATGGAGAGTTGAAAACCCAGATTTGCTGATGATCAATGCATATTTTCGTGGAAAAACCTTCCAATTGAAGAAAATTTGTATATATAACCATTATCCACGAGTGCTGAATCAAGGAACGCCGCGAAGAGTTTTTGGCATTTGGATACCTGAGGCAAGCTGGCAATCATTTCGCCGTTTGCTTAGGTACCCCTCCAAGGCACTTTTGAGATAGGCAACACCGCGGAAGACCTTGACATTTCCTACATTAACCATCAAATAGTTCAGAATTGATCAAGGCATCATGGCAATTGGGGTACCACCAGTCCTGAAACGCCAACAAAGAGAATAAGCTTTGCGTAAAGTTTGTACCCCCGAGATAAGATAGCTCCGTCTCCTAGTAAAGTAAGCAGGTGGTAACTTAGGTCTACCCTTCCGAGCGGGATCCAGGGGGTCCGGCCCCTGAAATTTAATAGCCTGCAGCTAGCTGGTCACTTAAGCGAATGTATATTAGAGCACACATCCGCCGTAGCTATAACCACTCCGTGTTTACCTAGGGAAGGCAGCGACAAGACTCGAAGCAGAGAGCAATTTCCGTTCCTTGCACGGGATCGGCCTGTGCAGGTTCAATCCAGACGAAGACGGATTCCATCTGGGCGATCGGTGGGGAGGGCGGTAGGATATCATCAAGTTGGAAAAGAGAAAAGGCCATGCCAAGACTGCCCTGCCCCAGGCAGCACGCGGTGCCTGCCTGGAAGTGCCTGGTCCGATCAGGCCCCACCAGGCGCTGCCTGATTCTGCCTGCGGCTCGATCCCGTGCCTGCTTGGCGGTGAGCCTTTGGACCCCACGCCTATCACTAACCCGATTAGGGAGTTCCATCACAGAGCTTAAATATCAACAGGAGAATCTGCTGCTCTGCCGATCCAGACATCTCAATCCTCTTTCTCAACCCTCGTCCTCTTTTCATCCTTCTGTTCACTCTCTATCATCATCAAGACGCTTTCACTCCACCATGACTTCCACCCTCCCTCCCCTGCCCGCAAAGCATCAAGACCTGGTCTCATGGATCCACAACCACCCAGACACCCCAATTAACGAGCTCATCAGACCCTTCAATGAACACGAAGCCGTCGTCCGAAAGCTCTTCGCACAGGAACCATCAAACCCCCTTCTCCAGAACAACTACCTCAACATCGCCCCCCTATACGACCAAACCGGTACTAATGACGTCAGAACCCGAGCCCGCGAACCGGCCGCCGAAGCTCCTGACGTGCGTGACAAGTATGTCCTACCATTGTCTGAGGACGCTCGACGGCCCAATGGCTCTCCTGCCGTGGTGTCGAGTCTCAGCGAGTTCAAGAAGAACTTCAATATCTTCTCCGAAGGCTCACTCAGCGACATGGACTGGAGTAATGTGGTAGTGGCCGGTAGCGCGGTGGTGACTTCGCTGCTGCCGGTACCGGAGGAGTATCGCAGTTCAAAGCGCGCGTTGCGGCAGTATTATCACGATAAGTTTGCGCCGGCGTCGGACGTCGATTTGTTCCTGTACGGACTGAGCGAGGAGCAGGCCATTGTAAAGATCAAGATGATCGAGGATAAGGTGAAGAATGCCATCTTGTATGAGACGACGACCGTGCGCACCAAGAACACGATCACCATCGTCTCGCAGTACCCCACGCGTCATGTGCAGATTGTGCTGCGTATTTACAAGTCCGTCTCGGAGATCCTGACGGGTTTCGATGTCGATTGCTCGTGTGCCGCGTACGATGGAAACCAGGTGTTTGTCTCGCCGAGGGCCCTGGCGGCGTATGTGACGCAGACAAATCAGATTGATTTGAGTCGACGGTCGCCGTCGTATGAGAATCGGTTGTCGAAGTACTCGCACCGCGGGTTTGAGATCCACTGGCCGGCGTTGGAGCGGTCGAGGGTTGATCCGGTATGTTGGGATGACTAGTTTGCGGGAATTTGCTGATGATTCTAGACTATCTTTGAGAGAAGCTTTTCCAGAACCGTTGGTCTGGCAAGACTGCTTGTTCTTGAGAAATTGCCTAAATCATCGGATCGGGAGGAATATATGGATCAACGACGGCGCGAGCGCGGACGGCCTGACCGAGTGCGAAGAGGTCGGGGCGAGTTGAACGGTAACGTCAAAGCTGACTGGGAGGATGAGACCCCGGAGTGGATGGAGGGCGATGAGCTGTCGGAGTATAACACGGTCGTAAGTATTGCCTGCCTAGGGTGCTGTTATCGTTTCTAATGTGTCTAGACTATACCATATGGACCCCGGTTCCACGCCAAAAGGATCGAGAAACTGCTCTACACAAAAGACTTGCTTCTTAACGCAGAGTGGAACAAGCCGAAAGACAGAGAGGTTCACCTGCATCGCCATCCTGCTTTCTTCGGCAATGTGGAGGACGTCATCCATGATTGCTGTGGGCATTGTCCGGTTCCGGTGACCACTGAAGAGAAGGAGGTGGCGGAGAAAGAAAGCAAGACGTACATTTCTGGAGAAATCTCGTTTATCAAGGATGACCCTGGTCGCCAGGAGGTGGGAAGTTTTAACCCTATTACCGAGACTGATTGGACAGGTAAGCCCCCTCACGCAGGAAGATAGAGCCCAGCTAACACGACTAGAAATGGCTTACATCGGAAACACCGAACGTCTCTGTCACGCCATTGTGGACGGGGATCTGGACGCGGTCAAAGAATGGCTAGCTGGGGAGGATGCGGACCCGAACAGCCGCGACTACACCGGACGCGCCCCGTTGCATCTTGCTTGCATGACGTCCACACCTGAGATTGTGCAATGCCTGGTGGACCACGGGGCTAGATTAACTGCTCGCGTGGCTGACGGGCGAACGCCTCTTCACATTGCCGCTGCTAGAGGAAGCGTGGAAATAGTCAGAATCCTGCTGCACAAGAGCGAGGAGAATGAAGCTGAGGAGGACAAAAAGGCAGAGCTGCGCAAGGGCAAGACCTTGACTGAAACTGCTACTGAAGAGGCCGGTGATGAAGACATTGAAATGGTTGATGCCGAGGATGACGCAACCTCTACCACCGGCTCGTTTGTCAAGGTTGAGAAGGAATCCGAAAGCCGTGAAGATGCCGAAACCTTGCCCGGAGACGAAAATGACGACGAGCCTGATATCTACGATATCAATGTCGTTTCTTGGGACAGTCGCACGTCTGCACTTCATCTGGCTATCCTCAACAATCAGGTGGGTGTCGTGGAAGAGCTCGTCGGCTCCTTTGGGGCGGACGTCCTGCTGCCGATTAAACTGCTCCACAACTACGATAAAAGCCCGCGCGCCGCCATCCTTACCCTGGTCCTTGCCCTTCGACTTCCCCTGGATCAGGCAGTGGTGATGACCGAGAAGCTTCTGCAACTGGGCGCCACGCCGACCCAGGCCGATCTGGATCACAACACTCCCCTTCATTACATCGCGGCTACGCCCTATCGCGATCTGATCGATGTTTACATGAAATGTAACGAGCCCGCCACCAAGAAGGCCCTGGATCACCTTGCAACAGCTGGTAGTTCCTGGAACCCCACTATGTATTCCGCCCTGATGGTGGCGATCGCTGCCAAGGACAGCACCAACACCATAAAGCTGCTCGAGCACGGAGCGACCCCAACCATCTCGTTCAATAGCTGGTTCAAGTCTGCCGCAGCGGCGACGCCTCACATCCGCAATCTGAACAGCGAGACGAACATGCGGTCTTTCCAACACGGTGTGACACAGCCCATCATCGAAGCGGTCAACAGAGAGCTTCCGGAAGTTGTGCTCGAGCTTTTGAACCGGGAGGTCGACCCGAATACCCTAGACAAGGCCGGATACGAGGCGCGCAATTCGAGCAACAAGAGCAGCTACTACCCGGGCAAATCTCTCCTGGACCTTGTTCAGGACAAGCTCAAGGAGCTGCGAGGATACGAGGGCGAGACTCGTTTCTTCGTGGAACCATCCTCCATGGAATCGGATGACGTATATTTTCAGGGCCTGGAAGAGGGAACTTACAAGATGTGGTTGGCGCGAGAGCAAGTGCGGAGGGAGCGCGTGGAGTACAACGAGGCCAAGGAGGACTATGACAAAAAGGTCCGAAACTTCGGAACGAGAAAGGGGCTTGACGAGAAGAGAGTCGTCGTTCAGCGCCTTATTCAGGAGTTCGAGCAGGTGGAACAGGTTTTGCTTGAGAAGCGTGCCAAAACCTTCAACGAGATGTACCCCGACATTGAATCGACCGCTGTTTTTTTCAATGGATCAAAGTATAAGCCTGGCGAGCCTGAAGTGTTCAAGCTGAAGTTGGACTTTAATATTCCGGAACTCACGGACGAAAAGCGGGAAGGTTATTTCAAACTGTGAGTTTTCCGACATTATATGGAACATTGCTAATTTCAGTAGATTCGAGGCAGCGTGGACCGGTGATATCCAAACAGTTCAGGCGCTTACGCTGGGAATGTGGGGAGACGACAACCAACAGCAACCTCTCCAGATTACTGCCTTTGATACTAATGATATGTCGCCGTTTGGTATCGCCGTCATTCGCGGACACTTCGAGTTGGCCGAACTCATCCTCGAGATTGCCCAGGCGCAATACAAAGTGGTGGAGACGAAGAATCACGAGCGTTATAACATGGACGATGACAGTGAGTTTGACGACGACAGCGACGAGATCCGCATCACTAGCGAGACGATTGACGACAAATTCACCGTGGATGATATCGGAGCGTTGGACTTTGATGTTGGCAGCACGATCTCTCCTGGGAGCCTAATAATTCGGGAATACCCTGTGTGGATGTTCATGCAGGATCCACCGAAGATCGGCCTGATGGGCAGGCGCCATGGCTCATTGGATCTTCTTGAGTATGCCATTCGGGAGGACAATGTTCCTCTCTTGACATTTCTTCTTGAGATGGGTCAGAAGTATCAAACGAGAGATGAGACTACAGGTTCTGAGATCTTCTCTCTGTGCGAGCCTGAAATCTACCTGGCGATTGAGCTGGGTCGGCTGCGTTGCCTGGAAGAGATCATCAGCCGTACGGGAGCGGATCTGCCGATCGACCAGCTGGTCAAGAGGAGTGGCGTACAGGTTCATGAGAAACCCAAATACTACCAAGGCCTGTCTATCCACGGACGCAAGCGTACCGACTGGGCTGCTGCTGGAGGTGGTCGGAGGGGTTGGGGGACAGAAGAGCCCGAGACGGACCAGCATCCCCCTTTGCTGGTGTCTGCCTTTCGGGGTAGTTTGAAGAGTACCGAGTGGTTCCTGGGCACAGCTCCGACACGTCTTTACCTCAACTTCACCAAGCAGCATGGGGAGGATAAACGGCTGAGCCTGCTAGCTCAGTCTATGGATGGAGTCGAAAAGTCCGTGAAAAACTGGTTGAACACGAGAAGTCAGTCCCCCTCTTCCCCTCTTCCCCCTAGACTGAGAGAACGTAACTGACTATTTAGGTCACTTGGTCCTCCACTGCGCTGTCATGTCCAAACCCACCGCCGAATCCACCGAACTTGTTCAGTACCTGATCACCCACTACCCGGAGTGCATTGAAACCAAGTCCGACTACGGATACACACCGCTCGCGCTCGCCTATTCCCTGCGCCGTGTTGCATTCGCCGAACTACTCATCAAAGCGGGAGCCAACCAAACGATCCGAGACAGTAAGGGCAACAACCTGATCCATCTCATGCTACGCAGCGCCTGCGGAGACCACCTCGAGGACCCCGACAACGTGACCAAGCTGCTCAACCTGCTCGACAAGCGTCTGGTGTATTCCATGTTCAGCGAGCGCTCGTCCGACGGCCCTGGATCCCTGACTCCATTCGCGCGCTGGATGCATTACACTTACTCAGCAAGACCCTACTGGCGAGACGAACGCAACCATAACATGGAAACCGACAAGCGGGTAGAGATTGTTCGCGCTCTGCTTGACTTCGCCGCGCCCACAGGCCAGAAACACCTCGAGATGCTCGACGGCACCGGCAACACGCCCATCCACGACGCCGTGAAAGGCCAACTCCCGCAGATCTTCGAGTTGATGATCACCCACCGCCCGGACCTGTTGCACCGCGAAAACTCAACCGGCACCACGCCCCTCGAACTGGCCGTCGACGCGTGGACCAGCGAAGCGACCGAAAACCCGCCCCCGATCCCCAACAAAGACGACCGCGGATATCGGAGTAACACTGGCGGCAAGAACGTGGTCGATACATCACCGGAGGACCTCGTACAGAAGCCAGCGGCCAGCGAACGGAAGCTCATCTGCGACATCAGTCGCGCACGAGTCAGCGGACGGTCGGAGAAGCGGAAATTGGTGAGCTTGAATGAAGCTAATGAGGTGGCCAAGAGACTAGCGGTGCAGAGCGAGGCCAAGGCGCGGGCGATTCGAGGGAACGGGGGTGTAGTGGACAAGGGGGCCAAGAAGTGGTCGGATGAGGTGACGAGGTGGTATCAAACGGCGAGGCACTATACTGAGAATGAGTGAGAACCTATTGATCAGAAAAGGCTTGTCTGTACGCAGTCATGTATGTAGAGAGCGAGGCGGATATTGCGGAATCTCATAAGAATGAGACATGAAGATTACTTACCTACCCAGTTCCTAACCTGACACTACTAACCAACTCCCTAAGTCTAACTATGTAACTAGGTAGCAATACCACGATCGCCATCATTCATCCAACAAGCAATCGGATAAGACAAGACAAGAAACACATAATGTTTACCCCGCAAAACCAACCCCGGAGCAAGCTCTTAGCGTCTTAGCATTCTGGCGGATAAGTATCCCGCCTGTCGGAAAATAATCAGCGCCCTTCCCCGTCACTGGTAGGGTGAATTTAACTTGCTCCCAACTTGGACGATCACCACTCTATCTTCCGACTTGAGTTTCCCCACCCCCGGATTCTCTTCTAGCTGCGCATGGGTGTGTGGTGTATTTTGGGATGTGGGGGTGGGTTGGTGGGGGTTCCCCGGATCATGATTCATTCACCTCTACGGAGTAACCACTTTCCTATTCGTGACATTGCTGAATAGTTACTATAGTGGAGTGATTCGATTTCCCTTCGGCATTACCGAATTCATCTGCCGCTTCTGAACTGTACCTCTCTCTCCCAGTGCCAGATAGCGAACCAGCTAATCAGCCACTCAACCCAGGGTATGCCTCAATATGAAAGATAAACAAAGTCTTGGCTTGGCTTGCTTGGCTTCCTTGGCATCGACGGAAATGCACACCATCTGATCCTTTCCCCGCGGGGGAGCTTTGAAATCCGCTCTCTTGCTTGCTTCTGTCCACGAGGGTGATGATGGCGGGGACGGCGATAGTCGGGTCCTGTCCATGTGCGTTGGGGAATGTGGGGAGGGGAGGTAAGTTGATTCGATTCGGTTGACATAGGTCGGGATGTTGACGTGACGTGATGATCACTGCGTGAGTGTGGAGTGTGTGGAGGTGTGAAGGGCATAAATATCGAGACAGGTCTTGGGGGGATGCTTGGTTCTTGTTTGTTTTTTGTCGGCGAGGTTCTCTCTCATATTACTAGCTCTTCTGTCTGGTTGCTTTGATTTAAGAGCTATTTATTCCGTCTAGCTGGACTATACGGGCACTCTGTGTCTAGTGCCTTGCATACTCCTACCTACCCTCAATAGGAGAGCCCGGTTCATCATACCCCAGAAACACTTCACCAGAGAGCTGAAACCAGAGTCATAACTCCTACAGAGCAAGAAAGCGAGAACAGATCCGCAACCAAAATGACCGACCTCAAAAAAGAATCCCTCGACTGGGGAACGGACGAAAAAGTCCTCGACCCCGTCCATCAAGAACGCGTCCCTGCTATCGTGACGATTGAGAATTTCCGGGTCTTGGGCATGGATCCGCAGGATGAGGAGTTTTATATGGGGTTCTCGGAGGAGAGGAGGAAGAGGGTTACGAGGAAGGTCTGTTTTTCTTTCTTTGCTTTCTTCCCAATCAAGTTGAAGAATGTTTGGACAAGGAGGGATCATGCTAATGCTTATCTTGGTTGTGAAATGGATAGGTCGACATCCGTCTCGTCCCTATGCTCGCAGTCCTATACTTGATATCTCACCTTGATCGATCGAATATCGGAAACGCCAAGATTGAAGGTCTGGTTGATGATCTCGGATTGAGTGGCATTCAGTGGAATATTGTTCTGAGTATTTTCTTTGTGCCATATGTACTGCTAGGTATGTTTCTTTTTTCCATCACTGCATCCCTGGTTTGGCGAACTCTGCATTGCATGAAATGATGGCTGATCAAACCAGAGGTACCGAGTAACATGCTGCTGAAGAACTTCAAACGCCCATCGGTCTATCTGGGTATCCTGATCGTGTCCTGGGGAATTATGATGACGTTGACCGGGGTGGTAAAGAACTTTGCAGGCTTGATGGTAACCCGAGTCTTGCTAGGTGTTTTCGAGTATGTTGCTCCCCTCCCCTATCTTTCCAGTCTAGGAAATTCAGCTAACGATTTAGGGCCGGATTCTTCCCCGGCGCCGTATACCTCTGCACCTTCTGGTATATGCCTAAAGTCTTGGCTACTCGGCTCGCATGTTTCTACTGCGCCAGTGCGCTGTCCGGTGCCTTCTCCGGCCTGTTGGCAGCTGGTATCGCGCAGATGAACGGCGTGGGCGGATACGAAGGCTGGCGATGGATCTTCATCCTAGAAGGTCTGGCCACAGTCGTGCTGGGCTGTGCTTCGTTCTTCCTACTGATTGACTCGCCACGACTGTCTGGTCGGTGGTTGGACCCCGATGAGATTCGGTTCCTCGAGCTGCAGGCGTTTATCAAGGAAGGTGGGAAGTTCAGGGACGAGGCGCAGGGCGGCAGCAAGAGAGTTAAATGGAAGGATCTGAAAGCCGTGTTTCTCAACTGGAGGATGTATATCCTCGCTTATATCATGCTGTGTCAGTCGGCTTGTACTTATGGTGAGTTCCTTGCGACCTTATTGTCAGCCCTGTCTGAAGACATGCTAATGAGCCAGGTAACAAATTCACTCTGCCCACAATCACGAAATCCATGGGCTTCAGCAACACCGAAGCTCAACTCCTCACTGTCCCGCCGTACGTGGCCGGTGCTATCTCTGCCATCTGCTTCTCTCGCCTCTCGGACAAGTTATACTGGCGGATGCCTTTCGTCGTCATCCCCCTCTGTCTGCTCATCATCGGTTACAGCATCCTCATGTCGATGGACGGGAAGCTAGGCGAGAACCTCGGTTTGTCTTTCTTTTCGGTTATCATCGCCCTCATGGGTCTGTATCCGATTCACCCCGCTACGTCCAGCTGGACGTCTAACAACCTGACGCCGTCGAACCGGAGAGCGATCGGTCTGGCGCTGAACATCTGTATCGGCAACACCGGTGGTATCATTGGTAGCTACATGTTTCTAGAGGAGGAGGCACCGAAATACTACACCGGCTTTGGGCTGTCGTTGGCATTGGGTGGTTCCGCGGTGCTGTTGGCGTTGTTCCTTGAGTTGTCGTTCTACTGGGAGAACAAGAAGAAAACCAAGGTTTCGGAGGAGGAGGTTAGGGCGAGGTATTCGGAGGAACAGCTGTTGGATATGGGTGATAAGTCGCCGTTGTTCAAGTATACTCTTTAGGTCGATATTTGTACTTCGCTATTGCATGAATGAATGCTTTTTATACATCAGTGCACGACAGCCAAACGACTCTTGACCGGCACATTCTCCTCCATCTTCGTGTCAGGAAATCCATCCACGTTCACTCCTGGTCTGAACAGCAAGCAATGGGTCGACCCGCCGAAATGAAACATCCCAATCTCGTCCCCCTTTGTGATATGCTGCCCCTCCTTGACCCTGACATCGCACGTCGACACTTCGCACATCCCGACCCCGAGGAATGCCATCAACCCGATCTTCGGGTTGTCACTTTCGATGAAGATCACCGCCCGCGTCGCCGTTGCCGTCAGGTACTCCTGCGCCGTCACCTCGCCGGACGGATCAATCTCGTTGCTCGCCTGGGCCGTCGCATTCGGATCTCCCAGTCCCTCGAACAGAGGCTCAGAATAGTACGTCCCTGGAACGACGTACGCTTTCACAATCCGTCCGCTCACGGGGGCGTGCCAACGATGATAGCTCAGCGCACTCAAGAACGCCTGATAGACCGTGCCACCAGCAAACCTTTCCGCCAGCTCATCATGCGCCAACATATCATCAATCGAATATGGCTGTTCCTTGATCCAGAACCGATCCCTCGCCTTAGCCCCTTTCACCAGCTTGTACGGCTGCGACTCGCACGCATTCACCAGGACATCATCATCCTCTGGCTCCGCAACAGGCCTAACCCCTTCTCTGAACCGTCTCGTGAAGAAGTCATCCCACGAGTTGAACCCGTGATACTCCTTCCAGGGATCACAGATATACAACTCCTCGAACCCCAACCCATCCTCCCTCCCCTGATTCGCCACCTTCTCCAACCACTCCTTCCCGGTAGGTCCCAACCACCCCGTCTCGGACTGATCGAGCACCTTTGCACTCTCCCTCGAGCTCAAAAACTCTCCCCAAGCGTCCAGCACCCGCTTAATCATGGCGTTGACCTCGGGGTCCAAAAACGCCGCATACCCGCTCCCGGTCCCCATCGGCCAATCCAGCACCGCGTTAATCGGTAACCCGACTAGCCCGACGCGCTTCGAGAGGTCGTTCCATGACGGCGCCGTCGTGAGGAGGTAGTTAAGCACCTGGAGCAGGTGTTCTGGGTCGCGGATCTGGGGACAGCCCGTGGGGTCTGTCGTGTAGGTTCTGTTTGTGGGGATCTCGTCGAACATCGAGTGCAGGAGCATGTGGATTCGGGTGTTTTTGGCGATTAGGGATTGGAAGTCGCGAAGCACTGGGTGGAGGGGTTTTTGGTGGTTGGGTGAGTCGACGTGGGCGATTACGCCGCCGAGCCAGGCGTGGTGGTCGCTTGTGCTGGGGGGCATCCATTTTCCGACTCTAAGGAAGAACAAGGATTAGATTGGGTAAATTGACTGGAGGAGGGAGGTGTGCACGGAGCTTTGCTTACCGGTGGAGGCGGGGTGTGTGATTGTTGTGGTGGTTGTGCTTGGCCATATTGGTTGCCTGGTTGCAGTGGCTATTCTGTGGTGAATGTGTCCATCTCCAGTTTCAGTCCCTCAAGCAGTATATATAACCAGGCGCAAGAAAGCCACAACCAAGACTCAACACATTACATCACACCCTGCGACCCATTCGTCCCGGACCTCGTACGGTGTAAAGCACTACGTCAGCCAGACAAAGACCAAATCGCAAACAACGAGGTGGTCAGCGAATCGGTTGATGGAGTTAGGGCTCCACTTCCATGATAGATGACGTCATGTTTACTTGACCTCCGCGCGTCGGAATCCGGCCCACTGCGAGTCCACTCCCTGCCTTGGTGCGATCCCGGAGAATGTGTCATTGGATGATGTGGGGACAAGGTACGAGACCAAGCTTTGATCTGTTGAGTCAAGCTTTTGCTCAGTTGGGGGGCGTGGAATGTTGATGTGAGGGGGAAAGAAGGGATCGGAATGCGGAGTCGCGTGGAAGAGGGAATGTGGGTGATTTTAAGGCGGTGGAATTTAATTACTCCAAAGGTCAGGAGAACTTGGCCAGAAACTCGATTGTTTGGAGCTTACTGGATTACTCTTCCTTTATTCAGGGAGCTGGTTGTAGGAATCTCTTGTCTCCCTGACGTCGAATGATTATCGGCTGTCATGTTCTCGAAGACTATAGTTGTTGACTAACTACTTGATTACTCCTTGATATTTGATTGATGGCACATGGGCATGCAAAACAATTTCTGGTGCGAAGAACATTATAACGGATGGAAGCCAATTGACCCTTTTCAATTCCAGAAGTTCAGGGACCCAGCCGAAGAATAGGAAATACAGCAAAGAAACCAATGCGAAAAATCCACTCAGCAAATCGTGCCCAAAACCAGAACATTGTAAACTGCCCAGTGTAATTTGAACAAACATCCGTAATAAAGGCACTTCGAGAACTCGGCGCCGTATTTGCTCTCTTCCTGTTGACCTGCCAAACGTTCTTTCCAAGCCCGCGGTACCAGAGTTGTTTGTTTCGGCATGTCGTTAATCTGTCGGACCATGTTGACCAAGCTTACGCTGTCGCCATCACGCCTTGCGCCATATTAGACTCGAAAAACAGAAGTGAAGGGAAGAAGGCATACCTGCGTGGGAATCCACCCGCTACTCTGATTTTTTCTGACGCTTGGAGCGTGGGGTTTGAGCAGGCTTGGACTCGTTCATTTCATCCCGGGCCAAACGCTGAATGTCATCCACATCCTTTACAAAATCCTTCATGTTCTCGCGAAGCTCAGAAGCCAATTCCTGAACAAATTTCCAATTGTCGTATGCCCCGAGGCGGACCCTGCTTGCGTCGAGCTGGTTATCTTGGAGGTCATGGTACTCGTCTCTGGTCTTCCTCAGCTCGGCCAGTTGCTTGTCCTGCGTCTCCAGCTTGGCTTTGAGTCGTTTCACCTCGTTCTCAAGCTCCACGTTCTTCAGAGTCACTCGGCTGAGTTCCTGGGTTGATTCCTCACGACAGGCCCTCAGCTGGGCCTCTATGCCGTTGAACATGTCACTCATACCCCCTTTCGAGGACGCAACGGTGCTGATATTCCCCTGTGTAGTGTCGGACTCCACGCCACGAACTTTCGGAGCTGGACCGTCAAGCACGACGATGTCTGCTTCCTGAGCGGTGCGCTTTACAGGAGAAGCCGCAGTAGGGGTCTTCGCAACAGGAGTGGTCGCAGTAGGAGACACAGTAGCAGGGACCATTGCAGTGGTGCGTTTTTCAGCATGACGCTTCACAGCATGAAGTTTCTTAGGGGAAACAGAAGAAGGAAACTCCGGAGCTGGAGTCTTTCCTCTCATCGGAGACTCGTTGCTCTTTGATTTGTTGGCTGGAGAGGAATGCATGGTGAGCGAGCTGGCAAGGTTTGTAATGGTGTATCAACAAGACTTCGAAGATGTAGAGAATGGCAGAACAAGGACGACGAAGAGAGCACTAGTTATTTGACAGGGAATAAGTCCTGGACCAGGGAGAGGGAGGTGAAAGAAGAGGGGAAGAGAAAGCCAGGTGCGAGAGATGGTGAAAGAAGGGGTTGTGGGAGGACAACAAGTGAAGGTACTAGCAACCACAACAGTGAATGGAGTGTGACAAAAACAAGTTTGGCGTCACACGACCATTCAAGGGTCTCTGTGGGTTAGATGAGTGGTCATTAAGAGTACATGCTATATCCTTCTATGCTTGTTTACAGTTGGCACCTGTTTCCATGGTAAAGCTACAGGGAAATTCCAGATCTCCTGATCCGGTGGTAAAGTGCAGGTTGTAGTTCCCTCAGTCTCTTGCTTAGGTTGACGAATATCTTATCTCACTGTTACCAAGTAAGGTGTATCCCTAGATCATAATCCCAAGGGATATATCCTCGTACGTCTGTCAATTTGTCGGTTCTACCGATGGTACAGGACAAGGCTTTGGAATCGGCTAGTCATGGGTTACAACGGGCCATGGATGCCTGCGGCAGATAGTAGCAGCCATGACGAAAAAGCACACTTGTTACTACAAGTGTTAGGTACCCGTCCGGCAGTTTTGTGGGGTGGGAATCTGGTTGATTCCACTTATTTACAGCTAAGGTGGGTTATATAGCGGTTATTTCCAGTTAGCTGGTTATATCGAGTTCCGTAACAAAGAATGACTGATAACGTAATCCACAAGCGAGCTGCGAATCTAAGCGAGCTGCGAATTTTCAATCAATGCAACCACTACTTGAAGCTATTTAACCACTAACTCCATTAGATTTGACTAACTAAATATATGAAAAAGTAGCTATTTACTAGGACAATTTCGTATAGTATGTCCTACTATTCCACAGCCACTACAGCGGGCAGGAGCTCGTCGACGAGGCACCGGAGTAGGTTCCTCAGACTGCTCATTAAACTGCATATCCAGCTGCTGAACGCGATTTTAGCCTTCTTGTACAGATAAAAGAGTATTCTCTCCTAGTAGAGCACGTCTTCTTGCTTTCTTTTTGTATTTTCGCTCGTTTTCGGCTCGTAGAGACTTGATTTCTTGCTGTAAAAGAAGGTTGATTTGCATCGCCATTTGAGCAGCCTTTTCAAGATGTTGAATATGAGCAATTGGGCTACTAAAAAGCTTTCATTTAGCACTAAGACTGTTCTGTAAGCTGCGTATCTCTCGATCTAGTTGGCGAGTATTCTGTGGAGTCTGGAAAGCAGAGGAAATTGATCCTTCAACTAGTGACAGTGCAGGTGTAGGTGTATGTAGTTAAAAGGTAAGTTTCGAAAGAACTCGTTCTTGATCAAGTGGTTTAAGTCCTGCTCCTGCAAAGCCACTGCAGATATTCGTAGAAATAAAGATTTGAGCCCGGGCGTCTGGATAAAGCGATAAAAAGTCTTCTTTATCAATATGATTATTACCCGCAACCATACGTCCCTCAAGCAGCTTTCCATATGCGCGTTTAAGCGGGCCAAAAACACCCACATCAAGCGGTTGAAGAAGGTGTGAAGCGTGGGCAGGCATGCAAAGACATATTATTGCATTTTGTTTGCAAAAATCGTCGAATTTAGCAGTCAAATGACTACTATGGCCATCCAGAATGAGTAGGCGTTTTGCACCAGTCATATAACGCCTGGAAGAAGGTTCAAAGACATTTTTTAGCCAAAGAAGACCTATTTCATCGGTAGTCCAGCCATTTTGACTTGTTGCAATCCACCAGTCTCCAGCAAGCTTAGGTTCTTGGAACCAAGCAGTTTGTTGTTGGGTCCCTTTCAGTATAAGAATGGGTGATATATGTACGCCGTTTGAGCTGACTGTTTCGATGATTGTAACCCATTCACGATTACCTTGAATAATCCTGCGTGATCGCTCACTACGCTTCACTACAGTAATTACTTTAGCAATTGAGCAGAGCCCCATTGCAAAGCCAGTTTCATCAAAATTCCAGATATCGTTCTCGTGTATGCCGTGTTCTTGAATAGTCTTGTGGACCAGTTGAAACCATGATATTATAACCTTTGGATCCTCTTGTTTTGCACGTTGATATGTAATTCGTCTATTATATCGTGTACGTAGTTGAGGATGACGTTTGGTGAAATTATATGGCCAGTTAGAACCAACATTTGCTGTAGGATTTCGAAGACGCGCGCGAAATAAGATTCCTGCTATTTCGCGTAAGAATTCAGGCCGCATTGGAAATCCTCGCATATCTGCATCTAGTAATTGCTTAAGAATCGTTTCTTCTTCAAACTGAGTAAGTTTATGATTATTGGCGCGTGTTTCTGATCGTGGTGTTGCACCGTTGAATCGATTGCGTAGGGTACTTTCAGAGATCGCAAAAACCTGCGCAGCGCGTAATACCGATTTAATTTGGCCCTTTCGATAAGCTGAAATAGCCATTTGAATACGTGATTCTTTAGAAGGAGGCATGTTGTATTTGGTGTTGAAGATATGACGCGTTGAATAAAGAGGGTGGAGTTTTGATTGAAAATTCGCAGCTCGCTTAGATTCGCAGCTCGCTTGTGGATTACGTTAACTAGAGGGCAATTGGTTACTAAGCAGTAGGAAAGCCAAAATCTATCGGGTTGGAGATAAATCTCCAATGATAGCCTGATGTTTCTTTTATAGTACTATAAGTATATCAAAGCAGAAAGTTATTAGTTCTGAACTATAGTATCAATATTCGGGTTCTATTAACAAGCTGCCACTGACCTAGAATAGAAATAAATTGATATACAGTTTTCACTTGCATAAAGTCAGCATGGAACTATAACTTTGTTATTGCATACTTTCACATCATAATTGATCTACTTTTTCCAATATTTAACTACCCACTCGCATTCACTCTTCTATCCCTAAAAGAGTTTCACAGAAGCCAGCTTTTCTACCAAGGTCGAGAGTTTGGTGAGGCCTGGTTTGGCTTATTACTTACTCCTATCCCATATGACAGGAGAGAATGAAAGATGATACCATCCATGACAAAAGGTCAGCGTCTAAGGTATACATTCAAGTTCCTGAAACGAGCCCCCAACATCACACATCACACCTGAGAACTGGAGTAGCTGCTCCCTAGAAGCCCCAAGATGAGGGAATTGCTGCCTATCATACATGATGAACCCTTCTTGTATGGGAAGATATCGATTATCTGGGTCAGTTGGCCCGCAGAGCAAACGTTTGTATTGGCAAATCTTCGCGTGGCAGGGATCGATGCCCAGGGCCATTTACGGAAAGATGTAGGACGGTGACCGCAACACCATTTCAAGCAACTTTGCTAAGATGCAGAATTACGTTTGAAATTTTGATCCAAGGATTATTATTAAATGGCCTTGAATGGAAACAGTGATCTGTGATGGTAGGACTGGTTACTACTGTACTACTGCCTACAAAATTTGGGAAAAGAGTTTCAGAGGAGACTAAAAGCAAAATAAAATTCAAACGAAAGAATCAAGTATCTGGTCAATCTGATCGAAGGAAAGACAAAGGTCAAAATCTGATAATAGCAGATGACAAGCAAGCAACAGAGTAGTCTCCAAGCATCCACAGCGAGTGTAAATTCCCATCCCATAGACGGACGGACTTAGAATGTGGGATTACTCTCAACCAAAAGCCAATTTGAATAAAGGTGCACGTATCTCAATGACCCTTCTCCCGAGAGGAAGAACCACCTTTCTCCCTAGGATAAGGAGTACCCTGCCGCCTATCCTGAGAGCTACTCTCTCTCTCCTTAGACGGCCCCCGCGCAGTCGCACGGATTACCGAAGTATACTCACTAAGGTGAGAACTGTACTGCTGGATGGAGTCGTTGAATTTCTGCAGCTCCTTCTGCATTTCCAGAAGCTTCTGTCGCTCCCTCTCCAGCGCAGCTACCTGATCCGCCCCGACTTGGACTCGAGGCCCAATAGCAGCCCAGACCTGCAATTGAGTTGCCAAGGTCCGGGTCTTTTCTGAGGTGTCACCAACGCTGCGCTCCAGAGCGGCCATATGCTTTGAAAGCTCACTGAAGCAAGCTTTCGGGTTGTCAATCCGGCGCTCGTGGGTCCTTTCAGCTGGCGAGGACGACGCGGGCTGTCCCTGCTCCTTGTGACGATTCTCCATCCGACGCTCGTGGACGCTCCTCTCAGCGGGCGAACTGGGCGCCGCCTGGCTCCTCTCACGATTGATATCTCTCATAGAACCTCTCCTTCTCAAAGTGGGTTTGGGCTGAGCATCTCTGTCTATCGTATGCGCTTGCATCCGGTTGATCGCAATACTAGCTCTCTTCAAGCTCGATGCGATATTCTGAAGTTCATCAGCCTCCACCCTACTCGACGAGCTTCTCTGCGGTGGCAGGGTTGAAGTTCTCGTGGATATGTGCACATGCTCCCTGCCGCCTGGAATGTCCCTGGTATAGGTTTGCTCGAAATAGTCATCTGGCTTCGGAGACGTGATCGGCTCGTTGTCCCTCGTGTCAGCGCTGAAGCTCACTCTGCGTCGCCGGCGAGTATTATCCCTCTCGGATGTAGGGGTACTTGGCTGGGTGTTGCCCCCATGAGAGGTTGAGCTCCGACGCTGGGAAGACTCCGCGTTCATATTGGACCTGGGAGTCCTTGCGCCTGCATTGCTGGGGGCGATACCCTCCGCGGCCTTGATCCTATCAATGGGATTGCTGGAGGTGGGCTTCTCCCGATGGGTTATCTCCGGTCGAAGACTGGCTCGGGAATCCTTTCGAGCAGGACTTCGGGGGTTGCTGTTCTGATCCATTTTGTCGGTAAGACGTTGTAGATAGGTTAGTAGCAGACAACAAGAGCGGTATAGATAGCTGAAGCTGAGGCAATGGAGAAGGAGTTGAGAGGTGCAAGATCTCATTGACCGGCAGCAAATGAGCGCTGCTTTATATACATTGTCCTGTGGCCTACAATGATACATCTCGGAATTTGCAGTCTGTGATCCCTGGAAGCTTGCCGTAACTGGGCGGGATATCCCAGTTTGGTAGGCCTTGCATCGTTTATATGATTGCCTCAAGCATCTTGCAATTGTCTCTGGGTGAACCGGATGTTCTCAAGAATAGACAGGGGATCTTCCGCTTTGACGTCAGTGTTAGTATAGGAGTGCCAAGTTCATTTTCTTGCAGAGAATCAATGTGGTTGCCATGGATTTGAGCATCAATTAGCCTTGTTCTTTTCAAACACAGTTTCCAGCTAGTTCGAGTGTCTGGATAATCAACATTCATATACACTTGACCCTGCCACACAAGCATACAAAAGCTAGTTGATGGCACAAGGAATTATATCGTACTCTTTCAGCCATCCAAAGGTGCCAGAAACATTAAGAAATTCTTCCATCAACCTACGCCATATGCTAGATTTGATATCAGACCCTGCTTAAAACTCAAAGCTCATCAAAAATATCCAGTGCGCATGCGATAATAGTTTCAACCGTCCGAACTTGCCAGCCGGTATCGACCATATTCGGCACACTGGAACCCATAAGCGTTGGCCTGCCGTTAACATTAGAATAGTCCACTAGAAGGATGACTGCGCGACGTACCCAAAAATGATTGCGAGATTTCCAATGGTCATCCGGTTCCGGTTGGAATGCTGCTGGACCTTATTTAGGTGCTAAATTGTCATTAGCCATGCTACGACAAACTTGTCACAGAATACCATACAAGTGTCAAAGCCCTCAGGGTCGCGTATTGTGGATCAGAAAGCTGATTCACAATAGCATGAATAGAGTCTCGACGCTGAATATCATCGCTTAATTCTGGAGTTCGGTTAGTATGTGTGTATCAAAATGATAGCCTGGGCAGACCATTTACATACTAGCTGCATCAATGAAGGCAGAATAATACCGCAAGCTGAGCAGTGGGATTGGCAGTTCCCTCAAGAATCTTTTCAATAGACTCGCAACGTTGTGGATGTTATGATGGAAGTTGGCAGGTATTGTCAAGTCGTGTTGTGGGTCTGGGAATGTATGTTGGTAAGATAGAAACGCGTGCTTCCAGCCAAGGATGCTTACTGAATTCAAACTCCGCAATCATACGTTCCATGGTCTCCGGCTTCTCGGACTGGCGGTATATCCCCTCTAGCTCAAGGCCAAATCTCTCAACAGCCTCGATGCATTGTTGGACGACTTTAGGAACAGGAAAGTCTGGGTGCCAGGAGTAGAGCTCGTCTATCGTGACCCCAAATATCTTGCGCAAACCCGTTTGGCGTCCAAAGGAGGGTGGTGGCCTGGTGTATAGGGTATCGCTCTCAAATGGGATATGAGGTTGAGAATCTCCGGGGCTAGAATTGCGTCGGGCAGACTCATCGAGCGCAGGAAGATGCTTATGGGCCTTGAAATCGTTGCTCCGCCATCCACTGAATATACCTTTGAATGTCCTGCCGATTTTGGATTTAGCGTCAGATGATTGCTTGGCAGTGGTTTCCTGCGACTGCCACGTTGGTCGTTCGCTCGTGGACGTTATCCCCGCTGTGAATGGGTCCTGTTCTTGAGGGTATCCTAATTCTGTGGCTCCTTGGACTTTAGTGAATGATAGAAGTAGCTTTCCTGTCCATCTGGGACTTACTGTATAGTTCCGAACCATTTGGCTGTTCTGGTGGTGGGTTATTATGCGCTCTTGAATCCCATATTTCTCTCATTCGCTGGGAAATAAAAGTATCGGTGTTTCCCACATCACCGGCGCCCAAATTACCATAGCCATAGGTTCTCGGTAGATCTACAGTTGATAATGTAACTCCTTTCCTGGCCGGTGAGTATCGCTGATTCAGTCGCGCCTCATTGAAAGGGTTATGGAAAGGCTGCGAGTGTTCGTTGAACCAATGAAATGCTGGTACTGTCTCCCTGACGACGCCAACCTGTGTGGCAGGCTCATCGGCATGGACGAGAGTTGCGCCTCCCATGGTGGTGGACTCAGGGTCGGCGCGTTCAACCTGAACATTTTGCGTGCCTGAACCACGGTGGATCTCGGACTGACCCTCACCAAAGAATTGAGCGAGTTCATCCAGAGGCGTCGGGTTCAGATTTACATTTTCCTGCTCCGACGAATGGACGTGGGTCCGCATGTCATCTTCGACGGGGGACGCATCTCCTGCCAAAGGAACACCAATCGTCCCGGTTGGAGACCCGGCAACCTGCCGCGAGTCCAGGCTCATGTCTCTCCCGTGGCTAATTTCAGTGTTCCATGTTGCCATCTCAGCCTCGTGTATCTGGTTAGAGTCGTTCTTTGATTCCTGTGTGGCGATAGTATTCCACGTCGCAAGCTCTTCGGATTCTGGATCTGCGACCGGAGCCGGGGGGGATACATTGCGACCCGATCTAACCGAGCCTTGACGGGATAGCGGAGCTTCATTGAACCACGTGTGTTGTAAAGCCAACTCTGCGGTTGCGCGGTGAAGGGGGTCTGGGTGCATGAGAGAAAAGATGCATTCCTGGCCGCTCTGACTGACACGTGCCGCCAGGAGTAGATCATACGGAAACATATCGAGATCGCTCATGTACTTGAACAGCATGCCAAGGTTTTTAAATGTCGCTTGCTTGGTGACCATTTGAAATGCAATCTCTCCGACCGCCCAAAGATCCGGCGCATATGGACTACCGCGCTTGATAAAGCCGTGCAGCTCGGGTGCAATATAGCCAAGTGTTCCTTTTAGCGTGGACGACCCTCCAACTTCATCTTCGATTCGTTTGCTGATACCAAAGTCCGCTATCTTGACCCACCATTCATCAGGAGGACAGGACTTCAGAAGAATATTCTATCGTGCAGCGAAAAGGTTAGCTTGGCTTTGACAGTGGTTGGGGAATCTCACTCTGGGCTTCAAATCACGGTGCGCGAATTCATTGTCGTGCATCAGGAAGAGACCATCCAGAATTTGAAAAGTGACCTCCTTCGCTTCGTGTTCTGGTAGCGCTGGCTTATGCTGTAAATACGTATGGAGATCTCCCAACTCAAGATATTCCATCGCGATGAATAATTGGTCAGGACTTTCATACCAACCAAATGACTTGACAAATGCACGCTCGTACTGCTAAGTGTCAGCCTGCGTCTTGATAGTAGCGATATACCAGTACGAACTTTCCAATGCGAGAACTTTGCTATAGCCTCCAATTCCCGATTGTAATCCACTCGTGTCGATTGTCGTCGCACCTCCATCTGCTTGATCGCTCGAAGTGCATTTTCCCGCCGAGCTCCTTTGATACATTTTTCTAGCCAAACACTTCCATAGCTTCCACCGCCAATCTTTCCATACCGCCTCCAGTGCTCGGATCGGGAGACGAGTCGACGTCGCGATTTATAGTCCGGCTCATGGTATGTATGCACAGTTTCAACGCTGCTATCGGGCAAGAAGTGGGTTTCAAGTTTTGAATCTCGAACCAAGTCCGGCATTCGAGGGGACTGTAGCTGGGACGGACTGTGCCTTTGTTCGAAGCGACTATCGGAGGGTGGGGGAGAAAGGCCAGGACTTTGCGACGGATTCGAATCGCTGCTGGAGCCAACACCAGGAGCCCTCCCCAGCTCATCCGCCATGGTGAATGTAGCTAGCCGGTAAACACCTTGTCCGCACTTCTGTCATCTACATTAGAATTCCAAACATTAGCTCTCGCGCATTCTTATGAGGTTGTTAGAGGAGTACCAGCAGTGATAGTTCAACCACCACGGGTGAAGGTGCTTATTCATGAGGGTTGAGGACGTCGACCCTTAGACCCTGGCGAGATTCACAAAGGCCACAGCCACAAGGGACGTCTGCGAAAGCGTCAAGGATGATGAGCACGATATCGCGAGACGAAAGGCTGTAATCATGGATTGACGAGGCTGTGTTGACGAAACGGCGAAAGTGCGACGACCCCTCCAGCTTAGCGCCGCGCATCTCGTATCCCATTGGTCGAATTCCTCAGCCGCACCGTCACGAGTTGTCAGAATAAAAATAGGATGAGGATTGATAAACGCTGAGGAATCCCCTCAAGCTATGTTGAGCTCATCATTTCAACTTGAACCCAATGGCCGACCCATTATCAATCATATCCGCAGTGGAACTCTGCTTCAAGTAAGTTCGTCCCTGCACGTCACCCGCAGTTATCCGTGGGTAGATGACCTCGCTAAGCCGATTAGGTACGGCGCGATTCTGGTTGAACGCTGTTCCGCTTTCGCCCATGCAGAGTCCGAGCTTTGGGAGCGATCGGTCCGGGTGAAGAATTACTGGGTCCGGGCCGAGACTCAGTTGAAATTGGTCCGAAGCATTGCACACACGCTGGACGAAGAACATCAGATAGTGCAGCAAGAGACGGTAGAGCTGCTCGCAAGCAAACTGAAGATTGCTGTCAATAGCATTCAATCTGTGACTAAACGGAAAGAGGTAAATGGTCAGGAAGTGCGGCAAGTGCAGCGATGGAAGTATGCGCTACTGCAACAGAAGATCGACGGGGCCATTGAGGATCTTGAACTTTGGCAGAGGATGTTCGACCCTTCTTGGTACTTGATCATGAAAGCCGCGACCGCTCAAATAGATGCCGAGTTGCATACCTTCACACGTGAAGTTCCGGCTGAAAGTCGTGCTGCATTAACATCCGCCCAGTCGCTTAGGATGGCTCTGGACCCTACTGCGACCAGCACCCTTCGTGTATTCCTTCGGGAGGATGGCATCAATTCACTTCAACTGAGTATTCTTCCTTTGTGCTCAGCTCAGCTAGCACAAAGAGAAGACCCATCAAAATCACTCATCCTAGAGCGATTTCAGCCATCTGCAGACGTCAACATCAAGCAGCTGGAGAAGGACACCCGGGATTTAGCAAGAAAGCTCGCCCACTCCAGCCCTGTCGAGTTTGGCCTTCTCAACTGCAAAGGGGTTGTGAAGCATTCCGACGATAATTCCCCCTCACGCGATCCAACAGCATTCACATTCATCTTCAGAATACCTACTGGCTACTCGAATCCTCGCAGCCTTCGCAGTTGTCTTGCAGCAATGCAGGGGACGGACACACTCTCCGACCGGTTCAGGCTGGCGAATGAACTAGCGAGATCAGTCAGCTATGTACACACTTTCGGCTTTGTGCACAAGAACATCCGACCGGAAACTATACTTCTCTTGACGAATGATTCGTCGGTGGGATCAGCATTTCTGATCGGGTTTGACAGCTTCCGCATGGCCGAAGGTAAAACGCTTCGCAAGGGAGACGCGGCATGGGAACGAAGTCTCTACCAGCATCCAAGTCGAGTGGGGCAGGTTGCTGCAGAAGACTATATCATGCAGCACGATATCTACAGTCTGGGCGTATGCCTGCTCGAGCTAGGCCTGTGGGTATCCTTCGTGCAATATGATGACAAGGCGGCGCCTCTGCCCAATGATTGCTCTAGTTCAAAGCCGACCAGGAATCTCATCTTGGGAAGTGATCTGCCGCCCGTACTTTTCAAAGACCATCTAGTCTCCCTGGCACGTGGGGAGCTTCGCAGCAAGATGGGAAGCCGATATGCCGAAGTTGTTGAGACATGTCTCACATGTCTTGATCCTGACAATGTGGATTTTGGTGATGCGAACGAGTTCCAGGACGACGATGGGATTCAGGTGGGAGTGCGATATATTGAAAAGGTCAGGGTCTGTGATGTTATCATTGGTTAGAAATTTGCTGACTCTGAGCAGGTAACCATGAAACTCAACAATATTTGTGTTTGAGGTGCAACTTTGCTGTGATATCGAAGAAGAGTTTGGAGATTTGGCTCGTATCAGTGGGATGTCAATATGGCCAATGGCCGACCTTTTGATGGGGGCATCATCTTGTGATGGAAGAGAGGTGGGAAATGGCCAGGATTTGATGGCAGGTATCAACTAGATGAAGGATGGTTCAAGAAGATGGAGTTGGCGCTCCTTGCCAGAAAGGGAAAGCCACCATCGTATCACGTGGTCATATGCGCTCGTCGGCATGAGCGAATATATATAGCCCCATTTTCTACCTAATTGCTTTTGTGATCGTAGAGATATGGAGTTTGCTATAACCACTAAGTCTCAGTTGTTTGCTTAATATATATTGTCATTTCGAACCTTTACGTACTAAGCATCTAAGAAACATCGTTGGCGGTACTTTCGTCAACCACTGCGGTTCAACAATGTGGAAGATTCCGGTAACTGCATGAAGAATGGAGATTTCCGTCTTCTTGACCACGAGATCCTGCATTTGAGCTGTGAAGCTCTGATATGATAAAAAATAAAAAATTTCATTGATTTCGTCATTGTATTGCATATAAAAAGGTTTTTTTTTTCATGTAAATAAATCATTATCAAAATAATCAATCTTCAATTCATGAAATTTTTGATCATTTTTATTGTTTTTAATATCCAATATTTTAACAGATTATGAACCCGACAACGTTTTAATATATTATTTGATTAATTTATTGACAAAAAACAAAAATATTTAAAAATTATATTTTTGATAAAATAAGATATCTTAAAAATTATAGATTTAATTAGAAAATAAAAAATATTATTATTGATATAATATTTTCAAAAGAATATTCGAGATTTTTATTAAAAAATTTTAAATTTTTTCATGCGTGAATTGCAATGTTCAACATAAAAATTTATTATTGCGAAATTTATTTAATTGTTTTGGGCGAAAAAAAAAGAAATTGCAATAATCAAAAAATTCAAATAATTTGAAATGATATAATATTAATAAAATGGAAAGAATTCTAAAATCATCGATGTTATTTTGAAAATAATTTTTAAAAAAATTGAACAAATGTATCAAAATTATATAAACGTGATAAAATTTATTGTTGTATTTAAAAAATAATATCATATTATTTTTAATATGCAATTTTTTCAAAATTTTCGACAAATTATTATTATTAATTTTGACAATTGTAAAAATATAACAGATTATTTTAAAAGATTGAAGATTGTATTTGAATAATTTGCAAAAAATTTTAATACAGCTTTAAAATTGAATAATTTCATAAAAAATTTAGTTTGTATTTATAGGATTTGAAAAAAAATAAAATATTTTTTTGATTTTTTATTTTTATTTTAAATACAATTGCAATAAGATTATTTCTGAAAAATTTTTTGATGTTTTATTTGAGAAAAAAATTTCATATGAAATATAATAATGAAATTGTGAATCTTGTAAAAATGTAAAAAATAAAAATGAATAAAAAAAATAAAGATTCAAAAAATCCAAAAAACTTGAAAAAAAAATTATAAAAAAATCCAAATCAAAATTTTTAATATTTCAATTATTTTTGTATAAAATATAAAAAGTATAATTATATAATTGATTATTGTTGAATCAAATATTTTGAAAAAAAATTAAAAAATTAAAAAAAAAGAATTTTTTAAATATTGTAAAAATATCGTTTATATTGTTTAATTAATTAATAAATTAATCGATTTTGATTTTGAAAAAATTTATTTTTTTTAACATAATAATTAAATTATTAATTTTAATTTAATCTGCCATTTCATTGACGAAATGAATTATTTTATTTTTAGAATTATAAAATAATTGTGTAAAATGATTTATATTGTCATTGATTAGATTATTTATTCGATATTGTTAATTAATATAAAAATGATTTTAGAACATTCGAATTATGTAAAAAAATTGATTTTTATTAATGTTTTTTATTTATTAAAAATAAAAGTCAATTTAATTGAAATGATTAAATTGAATTGAAAAGATTTTGATGTTAATTTTTTATTAAAAGAAACTATAATTATAAAAATAGAAAATGGAATTATTATGGAATATAAAAACATTTAAAATAATATTTATATTATGAGAATTGTCAAAAATAACGCATTTTAAATTTTTAAAAATCTCATTTTAAATGATTGCGAATTGTTTGTTGACAATAATGAAAAAATAATTTAGAATATGATATAAGAAATATTTCAAAATAATTATAGAATTATTATAATATGTTGTTAATATCGTATAATTTATGATTATATGATTTTGAAAACAAAAAATATAAAAAAAACAAATTAATTTATATATTTGACATAAACGATTTGTATATTTTTTTATAATTAATGTCAAACATTTTTCACAAATGATTAAAAGATTTAATATTAAGGATTTTTTTATATTTAAATATGCATGTGATTTTTGTTTAAAAATTACAATAACAATTCAAAATGAATAAAAAATTATGATTTTTGTAAAAATGCGAAATGATTGTGTTTTTATTAATTTAAAAAATAACTATTTTAATATGTTGTCTGTTTTCAACAATGATATGAAATATTGATTTTTATTTTTTGATTAATATATTGAATATTGCACAATTATATTTTTTAAAAAAAAAATATCAACGTTGTATGATGATTTAGATTTATGTTGATAAAAAAATTATGTAAAATTTTTAATTATTTATTTTTATAATAACAATGATAAAAAATTTGATAATGTTAATTTTTAAATATAAATAAAAAAATAAAATATTTTATAAAACTTTATTACATTTTATATTTACAATCAAAACGGTTTTATTAAAAAATTTTCAAAAATTATTTTTATAAAAATTTATATTGTGTTAATTGATAACGGTTTATTTCGAAAATTATAAACAAAAATAATGAAAATAATGATTTTTTTTGTAATATTTTGTTTGTTAAAAAAAAGATTTAACATTTTATAAAATTTATAATTTTAAAAAATCGAATGTGAAAAATTTTAAAATAATTAATCATGAATATACAATAATTGTTTTATTTGAGATTCATTTTAAAAAAAAAATTATAAAAATTGATTTATATACATACATGATTAAATTGATCGATTATAATTTTTTTGAAAGATAATATGTTGTGTGGAAAATTTCAATAAATAAATTTAAGCATATTAAAAATATCAGATTTAATAAAAAATCAAATTTTAAAATTTATGGATTTTCGAATGACAATTATAACAAATGAAAAGAATTTTTATTAATGTAAATATTAAAATGAAATTTTATAAAATTGTTTTAAATAATGATTTTAAAAATAAATTTTTTAATATATGATTATTAAATTTAAGATTAATGATTTCATTAATTGTTTAATTAAAAATTTGTTAAAATTATTTCAAAAAATGATTGTTTATATATTTTTTATAAATCATTCTTTTGTCAATAAATATTGCGATAATTATGATGAAATAATTAAATTTTTTTTATAAAAATAAATCAATAAAAATTATGAAATCGGAAATTAAAAATCTTATTAAATGCAAATTATAATTTCTTATTGATTTATTAGATGATTGAAAAATGTTTTGCGGACGTTAAATTTACAAATTTAAAATAAATGTTAATAATTATATTTTGTGATTTAAAACAAAATGAATAATAAAAAGTTTTATGTAACAATATAGAATTGATTTTTGAAAAATATATTTTTTTATTATACGTTTTATTATTATTTGCGTTTTTTTTTTTTGCGATTATTGTTGTTTTCGATTATAATTATTTTCAAAAAAATATAAAATTTGCGTTTTTGTAAAGCAATTTTTTTGACGATAAAATCATTTATGTGAAATAATTAAAAAATTTTGAAAATAATAATAAAAAGATTTGTTAATTTTTTTTGTTTTTTTATAATTTAAAATAATCCACAAAAATATAATTTTTCATATTTTATGTCAAAATGGCAAAAATAAATTTTTATTTTTTTTTTACAAATGAATGTGTTTTAACCAATAATACAAACATTTTTTTGATTTTATATATAAATAATTTATTGTTTAACAGATCTTGTAAAATTATTAAAAACATACATATAATAATTAATAATGTATTTGACAATGTTTATTTTGAAAAAACTGTTTATTATTTTAAAATAAAAATAAAAAAGAATTGCTTAAATCAAAAAATTAATTTAATTTAATTTATATACATATAACATGTGTTTGACAATTTTGATCGTAATTTGAAAAAGATTTCGTTCATTTTAATATATAAAAATATTTATTTTTTTAAATCAATTTTAAAACAATTTAATTTTACATTAATGAAACGTTATCAGAAATTGTTAAAATCATTAATATATATTATGTTTTAAATACATTCAAAAATGTTATTTTCAATTAATCATTTTATATGATTTGCGTCAAAATCTGACAATTTATATATAAAAAATTGATATATTTATTATATTATTTTTGATTAACGATTGATAAAAATATTATATTTTAAATGTTTTTAAAAAACGAAAATAAAAAAAATGAAAAAATTTGTAATTTTAAATGTTTAAAAATTTTGAAAAATTATATGAATGTTAATTTCGATAAAAATCTTGATATAAAATAATTTATTATTAATTTCATTTTTACGTTTGACAGAAAATCTATTTTGTGAATATTAAAATTTTAAATAATTGTGAATTTGTTTATATATGAAATTGAATATATGACAATTAATATAACAAATAAAAATTTTTTTTAATTTGTTAATTTATTTAAATCAATAAATTTTGAAAAAATCAAATCAATAATTATTTATATTGATTTTAAATTAATAATAAAATTTATTAAAAACATTTAAATGCATGTTCAAAACAAATACATTAACATTTACATGTATTAGATTTGTGACGCGATTTAAAATGATAATATTAAATTTTATTATTTTTTTATA